ACTACTCTGAATTCAGTGGGAATAACACTATGACAGATTGAGAATGGTAACAGCCACAGGTTGAAGCACTCAACTTCTCCCAAATTGAAACTATGTATAGTAGGGGAGGAGGGTCCCATTTCAATAGGGACAATGCACCTAATTCTACCTCAGATAGCTGGTTAGGAATATGATATCATTAGATGAAGGGGAAAGGAAATGTTTGGGTTTAGTTGCTTTAGGTTGGACATGGCTGATGGTTGAATCGTTCCATTCATATCGAAAATGAGGAGAATTCGAGAAATAGAGTTAAATGAAAAATGTATATATCTCATAATTGAATTTATATTTGTTATCACTTAACTCATTCATATGTTCGATAATTGAAATCATATGAAATTATACAAAAAGTTATATCTAGACTACGATGGATCAGTTCACCGGTCGAACACTAGACTTATACCTTCCTCACAAATTCACTAACATAAATAAAAGTGTGACAATGTAGTATATTTTGTTAGTTCTATTTTTATTACTTGGTACCATCAATTATGGCCTTACATTGAAGAACACTAAACCCTAAACAAGAAGGCAAACAAAAAAAGGGAGACACACCTCTTAACATACTTTGCTTCTTGAGCCAGTTTCGAACCAGCCTAGCTACCCTATGACATTTCATCCATACATATAATCCTAACTTCATTGCAGCATGTGTTTCTGGTAAGTTTGGATGGCTTGCTTTCTTGGTTCTTGTCTCTTTCTTCCAACGAGGTCATGTACTAACGACTTTTTGCTAATGGTGTTGACGAGTCAACCCCACAATTGGTGTATAACTTACTCGAAACCCTACAATAAACGAAAATTACGTATCGCTAAGATTTATTCATCTATGATTGTTGAAAAGGCAGGATGAGTGAGAGATCGATGGTGATTTGACGTAGGATTGATCAAGTTCATGTCCTTCATTACTACACCATGTTCGTGTGAGCTTCCCATTTGTCTTGTTTGTATATGGTCGAACGACTATCGCAAATTCGCAATGCACATTGGATCTATACCGAACTGATTTGGTTGGTCCAATCCCAAACCGAATTGACCCAATTAGTCCTTGTTCAACCAAATTTCCAATATTGCATCAGCCAGTCATCGGATGCAAGCTTTACCAATACCCTGATAAGGAACCCTAGCCATACTTGTCATGTAAGGCTCGGACTCAGGTTCAACAAAGCCTAGCTACGTATGGAGACAACATGGTTTATCCTAGGGTCGAGCTTGCCCTGTAGAACGAAGATGAGTGAGGCAAGAACAGCGGGAGGGAAAATGGAAAAGAGGATGAAAGGGAAAAGGAGCAGAGACAAGAGAGGATTGGGGCATTGACAATTCGAGCTGACAAAACCGATGGATATATAGGGAAAAGTCCGAAGGAGAGGGATAGAACAGACAAACATAAGCATCAATACCATTTAACGCGTTACATGATGGGAATGAATGGATATGAATTCAACAGGGTGCTCTGTTTCTTAGTTTGAGGTAAAAACAGAGTACAAACTATTTCATGTAGTCCCCCACTAAAATTACTGTTCATCAGGACCAATTCATTTATGGCTTCCAACAGCTTATTTCTGCCACCCTGCGCCTGGTTGGTTGGTAGCAATCGAGTCTGTGAATTTCTGAGGGGTAAATGTAAGTTTTCTCATAGTAAAAGCCATAGGTAAGTAAGATAATAGTGGGGAGATAAGAGTTTTTCTTCATGACAATGTATATATACCTTTGTTTTGTTTAAGTAGGTTCGATTCCGAACAAAATGTCTCTGTGTTCGAATTGTTGATAGTTAATGTGAGCACAAGTACAACAAACATTTACAAAATTCCGAAGTTCCGTGAGCACGACGATAAACGTCGACAAACACACCTGTTTGTCCAACTATCTAGACAACCAAATTTACTAGACGTGCACCACATTTTCAATGAGTCGAGTAGTGTCCGATCTTGCACACGAAGTTGGTGCACTAATTATCTTGAGTTTTATTAAGAGCCTATATAAAACCTTTTATGACCGATTCTCCTGTTGGCGTTTTCTTTAGAGGAATGCATTCAAAACAAGTAAAGAATACACCGTTGCGTCTTAGCATCGATCATTGCTAAACCACCACTACTAAATTCATCCCCATATAAAATTCGAAATAAATATTGATTAAAAAGAAAGAGTGAAAAATGGAAACCCCATCAAAAACCAAAGTTGAAAGGGATTGAAAGATTTGGGTGTGATTCGATTTTATTTGATTTCACCAGCCACCCAGACCCAGGACCAGGACCAGGACCCCCTCTCAACTCGACTCGATCCGATCCGACCCAACCCGACCCAACCCACTCCCTTTCTGTAATGATTTGACACTGATTTTGCGTAAAAGCTCAAATTGCACATATTCATATTCCCCCACCAATCAACCCCCAAGCCATCGGCCAATAGGCAAACCTGCAACACCTCCTCAACGTGGAATGGATGCAGGCCCATCACTCGTACAGTGGCCCGTTCTTTAACTACTCCGATTCTTGGGCCCATCCCAAAGCTAATTAGGCCAGGCCCAAAAACGATTCTTGAAAAGCTTTCACATGATCTGCTCATTCCTCAGCGCTATGAATGTAAATCAAGCTATATCCTATCAACACCCAAAGTCCCAAACAACCTATGAACCTAACAAACTTCAGAATGCTGCCATAAAGATAACGCTTTTCAAATCACCACATTAGGTTGGTGGTAACAACCTACCTGAGTGTCCATGTACGCGATTCTTAGCGCCACCGTCGTAACTCGTTACTCGTTAGTGTTTATCTGAGTGGGCCACAACGTCGTTTTAGTTCTTCATTATGGTACCAAATATCAAATGCACCAAAATGTTTTTTAATCGTAAACTTTATCAATGAGACTAGGTTATTATCCATCTAGTTCACCTGATCAACTAACTGAATTGACGATATATCGAGTGAAATCGCCTTTTTTTATTCCAATGAATTTTTGTATAAACTATTTTACATGATGTTATATTAGCTGGTCGACAAAATTGGGATCGTAAATAGATTTGAATATCATTCTGATTGACTATTTCAGGGTTCAATTAATAATAAAAAATTTATATATCTATTTTCTTCATTTAAAAAAAAATATTACAATGATAGTGATTCAAAGAGGCCTAAAGTAGCATTTTAGTAATTTAATTACAAAGAGTGCTCCACCTATCGGACTCTCTCTTTCGTTGTTCTCCCTTATCAATCTTTAATGACCCATATCTTATTCATTTCAATTTGTATTTTAATTTTTCGTCCTTTGTTGAGAAAAATGTAATATAACGATATTTATAAAATGATACTCCTACACTTTAAGATAATTAAAAAATTTCACGCCATCAATGAGAGATTCACGTGCAAGTGATTTGTTGACTAAATAGAATAGATAATATCGTAGTCAATTTAACGGGTCACAGATTGGGGTTTGATTAATTATGCTACATTAAAATTCTTTGTTAGTTTAGTTTAAGTGGATTGATTTGTTCATATACTATACTAACTAGGCTAATCGTTCGGCCAATTTTCATTTATGACAGGGAAATTGGCATAAATTTTCAAACAAAACCTCCTAAGACGTGCAATATATAGCTGGCAAAATACACGTTTTAGATAAGTGAAACACATAATGATACATTTGATTTGACGTACAAAAGATACTAAAATCACCGCAAATGCTGTTTCGTACTAGTATATCTATGAGATGTGTGGGGATAGCAATCCAAACTCGTCCGTTGGGAAATACCCGAGTTAAAACGGGTTGGGGAGTGTAATACTCGATCTGCAATAGTGTGGGACGAGATTGAATACCACTTTTCGTTTTATCTGGTATTATTTGACATATTGATGCTAGACTGATATGAATTTTGAAGTAAACGTCACGTTACACCCCATTTTCATCACTAATAATGTGGGATGAAGAGATGGAGAACAAATAATAAAGTTGTACACCTAATACCTCCTATCACATGAAATCGAGGGTACCAAAATAGACATGCGATGATAATTAAAAGAAGCTCAAAAGCTATAGATAGATGGAACTATATATTTTTCTCGGACCACAATTAAGGGCTAATTGTGCGAGTAGTTTACGTATTTAGTAATAAAAATCTAGGTGGATTGTGGGAAAAATATCAATACTTCGAATTTTTTTATACTAAGTTGGTCTATTATTGATCATTGGGTAAAAATGAGACATTAATACTTATAACTGTCTAGCTTTTTTCAAGTGAGTTGGCGGTTGAAAAATTGATGATGGATAAGAGTATTTTTTTACATAGAAATATTTATGATATTTTTTAATTTGTTGGTATATTAAGAGAGTGTTCATTGTAATTTTGATCTAACATGTTTTTCCCGAACTATTAGCATGTTTTGGGGCGAGTAATGCTTGTTGCGTAAGCGGAAAGGGCAAATATTTGTACTCTGCTCGATCTTACATGGGTTGTCTCATTCTCTATCCATTTCCCTTTAAATTGCATGTAATATTTACTTAAGTTACTTAGAATTTTACTGTTATTAGCTCATATTTTAGCTATAATGAAGTTATAAATAAGCGAGAACTTCAACTTCTCGAATAATTTAACTACATTTATTATATTACACTATTATAGTTTTTTTCCGGATTTTTAATTTAAAATAAATAGCGATGAGTTGACAGGCACCGACACTCGCTTCATGATAAATTATCTAACGTGATACGAGACAGGTATGTGTATCGTGATATCCACTCCTGACTCCGGACCAATCTCTATTACTATTCTTATGTCCACCGCTTATCGAAGTATTTAATTCTCTTGCTATAGTGATCACACGAAACATAAACTATTATTCTTCACCTACTAAATTAAATTTGAGTCCTTCCCGTATTTGGGGGAAAAACCATTAAATATTTAAATTGTACAAATATAAAACCCCCATTTAAACGTATATTTCAAAAGAAGAGACTAGAGAGGGAAACCACGACAAGAAAATTCAAAAGGAACTCCCATTTCTGACGCCCGCGAACTACAGTCGCCCCAATCCCAATCCCGCTCTCGCCATCTCTCGTCTCGTGTCGTCGACTACTAATCTAGATCTCTTCTCCTTCATCGCCGGAAGCATGAAGAGGGCCAACCGCCGAACAAGGCGCCCTGGCGTCACCGGCTCTCAACCGCTGAACAAGGCGTACTGGCGCACCGGCTCTCAGTCGAGTGAGATCAGAGAGGCCGGCTTAAGGGTGAGTTTGTTCGTTACTCGTGCTAACTTCCAAGGATTAACCCTTTTTCCTTTGCGCAACGCTTCCATTCGACTGCTAATCGCGATTCGTAATTGCGAATTCCAAATTTTTGAGCGGTTTGTAGCAGTAGAGTTTAGGGCGTCTGTTTAGAGCTCAGGTTCAGTGAAGAACTAGGGGGAATCGGAAGGCAATAGGTTTCCTCAAGATCTCAATGATGCTTATGTGGTAACTGGTATTTGCTCGTTGAATCTGGGTGCTGATTCAGTTCAAGCAATGGAAAAGGAATCAGAAAAGATGAGGAAGATTTGCAGTCAATATGAACATGATAAGATATGGGTTGCAGCCATTGATGAATTAGAAAGGGAAATGAAGGTAAGGCTAAATAGGTGTTGTGAATGCTTTTACTGTCAGTATTGTTCATCTTCCCATTTGTTGATGGTCTACTCCAGGCCATAAGGTCAGAACATTCTCAGCTGTCGTTTGAAGTTCGTCAATGCACCACTTCAATTCCAGGTAAACCAAATGGTAACTGCAGTTCAATCATTAGGTAATTGAAGTCAGTAACAGTAGTTACACAAGAAGGGTTGTTGCTCTCTGGAGACCACATCTCACTAATTGCTGGAATTGTACAGTAGCTTGATACGGTGATCTCAAGATGAAGATCGACGAAGAGCAGGAAAGGAGGAAGAAGTTGTACAACCCAACTGTTGGAAGCAAAAGGTTACATAGTATTAGTATCTTTCACAAATGTGATCTTAAGCACTTGCAAGCTTCTATTTTCCTTTCGTTTGCAGTTTAATGCCGGTGAGCATATGGGGTTTCTGCAGGTGCCGTCCTTTGAACATGGAGGAAGCCTCATCTAGGCCTCAAACTTTAGTAAGAATCTACTGTTGCCTAAGGTGGAGACCTTGGTTTGATAATGAATGGTTCCAACAAGAGAATCTACACATTTCATCGAGCCTACTGCCTACAACCATCAGGATGATCAACGTTTGTGCATGTCTGTACTCTGATCCCAACCCTTTCGGTTTACATGTCCATGTGCTCTATATTTGGTAAATCTCATCAACTGGTTCTGAAAAACTTGAAGGGCTATGACACTAAGAAAGAAATCAAGTAACATTATGAAGGGAAACACAAGGGTTACAAGTTTCCATGTCAAACCTGCTACCAATCCTTCAAAACTGAGGACTTGCTCAAAATCCATGGTGTCAAGAAGCATAATAAATGATGCAGGTTAGTTTCTCTAGTCTTTTTTTTGTCTCTGTTCTTATTCTGTCCTTTACCTATCTTCCTTTTACCGCTCTGGTCTTCATTTTACCGCTTTTTTCTTTGAGCCTCCGTTTCCATGGCTGCTTTCATGAGTTACTGGTCGTAGCTTGCTTCTTGCCTTTGCGTTAATCTTGCACGTTAATTTCAATGTGTCTGTTTCCGAGTAATCTGTATCTTTGTGGAGAGAAAATTCGAGTCACTCTGTTTCGGGTCGTCAGGTCTGGTTGTGGGTACGGAAGCGCATGAAATCTTCGCTTCTTGGAGATGGAACAGTGCGATTCTTGCTGGTCATTTTCTTGATCGTCAACTTCTTTGGGTGCGTTCATGGACGAGTTGGCCTTTTCCTTGTCATAGGGTTTCTCCATAGAGCTCTTCACTATCTTGGAACTTCTTTGCGTAGTAGCTGGCCGTACAATGCGTAGCGCTAATCGTTCATCTCCGATATCCTTTTCTGGTCCGTTTCAGGCTCCCTTTCTTCTTTCAGCAAGCAAAGCAAAATCCAAGAACACAGAGAGGTTTGGAAATCGAATCATCAGAGGCCTCCGAAATCTTCCTCATCGTACACCGTCAACTCCACCGTCTCCCAGTACGTCTCCCTCACCCACCCCAACCGGACATCCTTCTCCGACGACACACTCCAGCCCATCTACGGCTCGCAGATCGGGTGTATGTTCTTGCTCTCTGGCAAAATCGACTCCGGCGGGATCCAGAGCACGGTCGCCTCCTTCTCCGTCCAGCCCTTCCCCCTCTCGACCAACCTGGGAGGGGCTCCGGTGTTCCCCCGAGTCGGCGTCGGTGGGTGGTTCCTTGCTGTTGGAGTCGGGCCTGGCGGCAGGGCAGGGTACAAGGTCGGCCCAATGATGGCGGGCCGGTTGGGCCGATTGGGGGTGCTCCACTTCTTCACCCACCACTTGGAGGGTAAGGCCTTGCGATTTCTTTTGCATAGTCGTTTTGTCTTTTGTGGAATTTCTGCCGATTGCTCGTCCAAATTTTGCTGCCATTCTTTGTCACCTGGATTGTAGTTGAGGCTTTTTGTTTGTGGTATTGTAGCTGCTTCTTCTCACCATCCCCTCCACAAGTCCAGCAGCAATACCGGATCTGTGCTGGAAGGTACCGGAGGTGCTATTGCTGATGGTGAGTCAATTAGTGTACACAACATCTGTAGGCTTTACTCTAGGAAACCTGACTGCGAAATTGCCTTAGTGGTGTCCTGAACACTTGTTACACCCCTCGTGTACTTTCCTTTTGGTAATGCAATCTCACCTTTATAAAAAAAATTTGCCTTGGTGGTGAATGACAGGACTGAGCCGAGGAGCGGGAACTGCAATGGCTTACAGGGCTGTGGATGCTATCGTTGGTCCTCCACAAAAGTCTGCTTCAAATCCAGCAACACTTTCTGCTGATACTAATGCATGTGGCGGGTACTCCAAGGCTCTGCAAGATGTGAGTAATTGATCCTTTTCTTTTTTTAATGTTGGAGGAAATGGGTTGCCAAAAGCCTGAAACACAAGGGTTTTGTATTTCAGAGGGATGATATTGTGATGTTTGTCTTGGATGCTTACTCTGTCAAATCAAGGAGTCGAGCTCCTTCTCTTGTCTCGGGTGTTGAATGTTGGGCTTCTTTAGACTACATATATGCAAAAGGTTGTGTGACAAATTGCGTAGCTGGAACATCAGGAAGATATGTACATATTTCGACTGAAATTTGTTTGTATAAACATAGGTTTACTTTGACTTGAACATTGCCCTGGGGCTCAGTTCCTTGTAATAGGACATGAATTAGGAAAATTGGGGTTTTGAAGAGCTTGCTATGTGTATATTCAGGACCAGCTCAAAGGAATGAAGTCCTGTGGAAAAGATTTTCTCCGACTAAATTATTTTTTGGCTTACTGTTGTTTGTTTTTTGAAACTATTTTGCAGGATATAGTTGGGAAGCTCCGTATACTGAAGCTGATTGTCTCAGTTTTTGTCTTTTCATCGATGCCAGAACTGTTGTTCGGACTTGGTCTTTTGTACTACTTTAGGGTTTTCAAGTGGCAGATTGGATCAATCAAGTATTCAGTGAGTTACTATCCACTCTAAAACTGTTCATATTAGCCATGGTTATTGGGGTATATAATCTGTTTTATTATTTGGAGTTCCTGTGATCTTCATTTTATTTACTTTGTCTGTAACCTTGGTTGTCAAGGTGTTGCCATCCAATATGCCTTCTGCGCATGCTGCTACTCTGATGAATGTCGTTGATGTGATGGTTTTATTGCTTTTGTGTCATTTTTTCAGGCTTAACTCCTTATTTACCACACGTGGCAGTCATTCTTTGTAGTTTGCACAGTCTTAAGGATTGGCTATCGTAATTTTTGGTGTTATAGTGCTAAATATCAGCTGCAACTGTGCAGGTTTTTATACTGTTCTCTACAGTTGGATCATTGCTCTTTGAGGCCCTTGCCCTGACACTTCTAAAAGGTAAATATTGTTTCAGATCCAAGTTGTTATCATATTGATTTTTATTCTGCAATCGGTTGAACAATCCGAACTAGTGAACATGAGGATACATGGTGTAGAGAGTTGAGGGTTCCTTTGTGTATGAATTTCACAATTTAACAGCTTACACTTTGTGTGTGTGTGCAGACCCAACTCTGAACTTGCTTACATCTGGACCTTATGGCCTCAATTTCGCTTCATTTTTGCCCTTCCTCTTTGACACTCTCGTAGCAACATGGTTTCGTGTCTTTGACATCCGCTTCTCCGATAAGTCGTTCGTATATCTTGCTGGTCTGCAGGTACTGAGGAATTTCACCATTCTCCATACAGGGTTGTTGTGCCTTGTATATGGCTTTTACTTTAATGCTTTGATCTTTTTTTTGTACGGTTAGTTATGTCTATGGCTTTTCATATTGCAGCTTCTGTTAGCATCTTGGAAAAGATCCCTCGTACCTGGAATCTGTGGCATCCTAGCTGGCTCCTTGTACTGTCTAAATCTCTTTGGTGTTCCGAAAGCAAAGGTAATTTCTCTCATATGCACAAAATTTTGTATATAAAATTAGTGCTTATACAAACATGCAGTTTGACACAATGTACTTGTGTGGCCGTTAAGTGATCCAATCTATAGTTCCAATTCCTTTAATGTGGAAACATATGTTTTTTCTCTCAATACCTGCTGAATCCATGTTAAGTATGCTTTGTAATCTCTGTTACCACTTACCACATACCTTGTTTTACTGGTTGTTAGTGTCTCCTATCATCATTGTAGTTGATGATACAGTTAGCATGATGTTATTCGATGCAATGATATATATATATATCTTACTCTGCTTCTGTATCATTCTCTGCCTCAGTTCCCTGAATTCCTGGCTACATTTGCCTCCCGATTTTCCTGGCCATCTACTGGGAGTCCACGCAGGGCAACAACATGTAGGGCCAATGGTACAGCACCAACTGTTCCATCATACGCAGCTCGCCATTTGGAGGTAAAGACTGCCTTTCTGATTCATGAAAGACAATAATCTGATTTATTTCTGCATTGGGGCTATTTGTGCTACTTGTAGTGCATAATCTTTGTGGCTGGGTTTTGACACAGAACATATCCTACCACTCCAGCCCCTTCTTATGCAGAACCATCAGAGTCCGTCATCGCGCGACATTAGTTTCCATGGGCTTCGATAGCAACTCGGCAAGACAAGCACTTGTGCAGGCTACGAATGACGTCAATGCTGCTACCAACATACTTCTTGAGGCCCAAGCATACTGATTACTCATGGGTGGGTGAAAATCGCAACTGTATAGGCTGGTTTTAACTGGAAATCACAACTGTATAGGCTGGTTTCAACTGGCACGGATCAACAGAAAATGAGTCGTTACAGTACAATAGAGACAAGAAGTCCCATGTCTGATAGATCACAATCTGTTGCAATTTGGCTTGGGTGGCATCCTGAAAGGAACCAGGTTTTGCTGCTCGCTGTCCTGAATGTAGGTAAATAGTGTTAGCGTGAACAAAAGCACGTTTAGGAGATTCTTACCATTGTTTTTAGAGTCTGTTCTTGCTTCTTACAGCTCTGTCCTGCCTTTGGAACAGACAACGGATGCATTTTTTGGCTTTCTAGTATTGTGCCTATATTGAACAGCTGAGGGGTCTTCACCTTCATGACTTCAGTAATAGTTTCTGATTTGTTGAAACCTGCATATATCAGTTACTGTGATAGTGAGATTTTGACATGGCTTTGTAAATACAGAAAACCTCCATTGAATTTTGATTGTGAGGAATTGATTCTCCAGAATTTTGTGTTCTAAATTCTTTTCCTATTCGGAGTGGGAATCCCAAATCCAACCCAGATAAGGACAGAGGTGTGAATATATATATTTATATATATCTCGAGAGACAGAAGGAGTAGAAACCACTTTTTCCCATGGCTGACCAGCAGGATTGGAGCGAATTGACAGAGGATCTGTTGTGCACAATCGGACGACGGCTGATCACATTGCAGGATCTGATTCGAGCTCGAGCCGTTTGTCCGTCATGGAGGCGAGCCTTGCTAGCCGAGCAGCAGCGCAGGTTCCCGTCAACGCAGTGGCTAATGCTGCCCCATTGCACAAGCAAATTCATGAACAGAACGGCGGCGGCCGCCATGATCGGGTGCAAAGGTTCCGACAACTGCCGCTGCTTTTACGACGCGGCGGCGCAGCAATTTCACCACATCGAGTTCCCTCCCGGCTCGCACAACAGAGCCACCTGCCGCGGATCCGCATTCGGGTGGCTGTTCATGACGGGGCAAACGCCCTGCATCTCCCTGATCAACCCTCTCACCGGAGCCGAGATCCCTCTCCCTCCCATCACGTCTTTCCCCGGCGTGATAGCCTACCGCCCGGAGAAAGTCGGGCTCGAGTACCTCCTCCTCGCCGACGACGGCTTCACGATGGCATACGGCAAGAAGTACATCGAGAAGAGCTACATATGCAAAGTCGCGATGTCCGCCGAGCCCACCGCGGCAGAGGACTGCACCGTGATGGCCATCCGCTTCAACGACGATTACCGGCTCGCGATCTGCAATCCGAAAGCCGAATCGTGGACGCTGCTCTCCGACAGAGGCATTGCCTTCCAGGATGTGGTGTTCTGGAAGGGACAGTTCCACATCCTCGACTTCTACGCGAGGCTGATGGTGTGCGATCTCTCTGTACCGCATCGCCCGAAACTCTCGCTCGTCCTCGACTTGCCGTACCATCGTCAGATCACTGCACTGGATCATTACCTGGTCGTATGTCCGGCGGCTCTCGGAGGTGGTCGTGAAAGGTTGATGATGGTGACCAGAGATGTAGGCAGACCAGAGGAACCTGACGAACCTGAGCCAGAGGATCACGATTACAATGGAAATGATCACAACGATGATGATGATGAGGAGGAGGAGGAGGAGGAGGATTGTCATCATATCGATGCACCAGATTCCGAATCGGATGATGATGACGATGATAATGCTGACAGAACTTACTGGACAAGCGAGTTCAGAGTTTTCGAGCTGAACGAGGAGGAGGGAGGTGGATGGGACAAGGTCGAGAGCATCGGTGATTTTGCCTTGTTCTTGGGTTCCAACACTCCTGCTTTCGTGTCCACGTTGGATCGACCTGGCCTGGCGCGCAATTCCATCTACTTCACCGATAATCTCAGCGAGTGTCACAGCAAGAATAGTTCCGGTCACGACATGGGTATCTACGACCTCGCCACTGGCGCTGTGCAGCCTCTCTATTGTACCGCCTCTCTGCACAAGAACCCTCTGTTGATCTCTCCTTGGCCTGTATGGTTCTTTCCATCATCTACTACTACTGTTAATTAGGTCATATATAGCCTCAAAACTGGACATTCAATGCAATTGTTCTGAGGTTTTTTTCCTTCTTCCTCCTCATGCCCTATATTCCTAGTTGAGTGCTTCTTTCCCTCCCGGCAAGTTTTTTTCCTAGCAAGAATCACACTCAACAACTTCATATAATGCCGATAATCTCACGACCAAGAACAGCGACGGGAGGGCGTTGATTCGAACTCCATTTAATTTGTATAATCTCGTTTGGTTGGGCAGCGGGATCGGATGATCCTAAGTTCATTCGATTTTTAGACTATATGATATTATGATGTATATGGAAAGTAAATGGAGAACAGAGGGAGATTGAATTAGAGAAAACAAACTTGTCGTACACACAAAATCCCAAATCTACAAAAATTATAATATTTTCCAAAAATAAACGTTTGTTTGTGTGTAAAATTTTCTCAAATTTTTACACTTCTGCCGTGAGTGCACCTTTTCATCCTTATATTTCATGCCGACTAATTTATTTGAGCATTAACTAATTTCATATTTTATAACAAAGTCTCGAGTTTAGATTCATTTTCGTATTTCGCACAAAGTTTGCATTTGTGCATTAGATATTCTCTACACATTAGATACTCGTTGACCTCACTGTCAATACGAGATATGGGATATGAGGAAACCTTTTTAATTTTCTTTCAATTACTCGTGAACATGATGGAATACGTTACCTATGTGCTAATGATGAGTTCAATTTATATCATAAAATCTCAATAATAGTGTTCATAATATATTAATTTACACAGTAAAATGTATGTAATCAACATTTTCACTCTCTCTAAAAGATCCCCTCCTCACTAATCTATATTCTCCAGCCTTACGGCAAGAATATAAACCCTAGCTAATTAACCCCAAGGGAAAAGTAAAAAACTTAACAAGGTAAAAAAGTAAACAGAGACATACAAACCGGCAGAGAGGGATTCTTTCTAACGGCCTTCTGTACTGCTGTGTATACCGGCAACCTCACGGCGTCAGAGTCTGACACATAGCTCCCTCTGTTTTACATGAACAAGAAGCCGGCGGGAAAAAAAAACCCGATGATCGACGAGCGTGCAACTCCGGTATATATTTCTAGTCAGAAAAGAACTCCTCGTCGTCGAGTTCCGTCACCTGCGACAACCCGCCGCTGGGAACTGCCGTCTCCGAGTCGGAAAAATAGTACCGCTCCCGCTCATCCTCCGTCGCCGACGACCGGTAATCTCCGGCGCCGACGTCGGTATATCTCTTCTTTCCCACATCAGGGGAAGCTGCATTATCATTCCTCGTGGACGTCTCACATATGCAGGAAGAAGGGTTCTCGTGGAACTCGCCTCTTCCCGGCTTCACCTCGTTCGGCATCCCCATGAACCCAGTTTGACTCGACCGGACCTTGCCGCTGAATTCCTCCCACGTCGAGTTCCGGCGACCCAAGAAGAGCTTGTACAGTTTCTTGGCGTTCGGGCGGATCGTCGGCTTGTGCCCGAAGTATCTCCTGGAGAGAGCAAGATTTAGAGGCTCGGTTTTGGATATGGGCAAATGAGGGAAAGGAATGGAGAAATTAATTAATTAGTACCGTCGTCCGGCTAAGATTCGGGCCATGTTGCCGTTATTGTTGGTGACGAAGACGTCGCTTTCATCGCAGACAAGGAAGTCCAAGGCAGCCATACGAGAAGAGAAGGGCGCGAATGCAGCCAATTCTTCCTGGCTAGCCAAGGTCTCTTTCGAGTGGAAATTGGGGAACATGGATTTGAGTGGAGCCAGAGTCTCTTCCCCGCCGTAGACTTCCCCTGAAGCAACGTAGATGTGAACGTCGCTGCCGTAGCCCAGAGATCTCAGCATTAGCCCCACTTCCTCTGGCGTCAGCGGGCACCTCCCCAGCCTTCTCTCCTTGTCGGGGTTCTTCTGCTACATACCCGAAAGAATTAAGAGTATCAGTAATGATTTCCATTATTCCATAGAAGACCAGAAAGTTTTAGTGCTGTAGTGAAGTTTAGAAACGGGTCTCTCACGTGTAAGCTCTTCCATCTCAGCCTAATGGAACCGAGTTCTGCCCTCTCTCTGTCTCCTCCTCCGTAGTCACAGCTGGAGAACGCGAGCATATCGGACTCGAACCTGCGTTATAACGTTCCATCGCTGTGTTAGACCAGCCGAATTAGTTGAAGTGGAATGGAGAATGGAGAGAACAAGAGCATTGTTATATTACCTTAAATGGAGAGCAATGAAATGCTTACTCTTCCTTCTCATTCTATGAACCAACTTCTCACCCATTTCAACGATTGGATCGGTGAACTTCAAGGAGTGGTAGTTGACTCTGCATCTCAGCTTCTGCAAGTCCGTGTCCAGCCGGTTTGAGAGACGGTAATCGAACTTCCCTAGCCGAACAGCCTGCCAGAGACCATATTGAACAGCTCATACATAAACCGAAAGAAGAAGCAAATGGTTGATACGTAGAATGCGAATTAGGCAAGCTCGGTCTATACATGCTTCTTGTTGAGGACAGGAAGAACTTTGGTCTCGTAGCACGATGGTGTGCATTTCCTGGGAACCCGCATGGCCTGCGGGGTGATAACCTTCCCACCATCTGTTGGAAGTTGCTTGATGATCCGCACATCTTTGGAAAGAGATGAAATGAACCAGTCCACATCGAATATTTCAGAGAAATTGCTGCATACCCAGAAAAAGAAAAACCAGATGAACGAGACGGAAATTTTCCAGAAATGAATGTGGGAACATGGGATCACATTGCAATTGACGTACCTTGAATCTTTCCAGAAGGATGCCTGGTCCAGCGTTGGAACAACAAGGGTTGCATTCAAGATATATGCTGCAACAACTGCATCCGTTATCTGCAGCCATTGCAATGTGCAATTAGAGTGATAATCCAATGAATGCTGAATATCTAAAAGTCTAGTTCTACAGTGACGAACTCTAACAGAGGATTGAAATTTGGAATTAGACAGCACAAAATCAAAGAACCAATTTCTCACCCCTGTTCTCTGCTGATTCAGCCCCCCACTGGTGACGATCAACAAGTACCGATTCGGTTGGGTCTTCTTTTCAGCGGCTGGACAAAGAAATAAAGGATTGAATTAGAACCTTGAAGGTCTAATCCTTTCACGCCATAGGTTGCCATTCTGATTCCAACCCTAATAAGCTTTAGAGCAGAGTAAACAGAGTACAGGCGAAGAAGACAACAAAGGAGAAAAAGAGGGGAAAATTGAAGTAGTCCAAAATCCGGCGTGGGCCAAAACGCACAAAAGGTAGAGGAAACGTCCAAATTCTAGAAGAAAAAAGTACGGAGTCGTCGGCTTTTGTTTCGGAGATAGTTGAGATTTTCGGATACTCCAACGCAATAAATTGAAATCTTCAAAATGAAAGGAGAAGACGGAGAAGAAATAGGCGCCGCCGCGCCGGTCAGCCGGAGCGGCGGAGTTGGAGCTGGAACCGGAACTTACTCTGGAACTTATCGCTGGCGTTGCTGCAACCGTAGAAGAATTCCGACGACGGAGAGCTCCACAAGTCGTGGCCTAAATTTCCGCCGCGCTCCTGAGGAAAACCGAACAACGCACAAAATCAAAACGGAGCGCCAACGGAATCAAAACGGCGGCAACGATTCAATAGCCGGGACCGAGTGCTAGTTTTTTACCGGCGAGAAAGAAAAAAAACCCTGTGCAGTCGTCACGACATTTATCTACACTTACCGGGACGCTGAAGGCCGTCAATGTACCGGACGCCGCGTCTTCCGTCTCCTCCATGGCTCCACTGTAGGACTGTGATTTTCAAATTGAAATCAGTGAACACGAGAATGAAATCGAGAAACATACGAATTGAGAGAGAGAGAGAGAGAGAGAGCGCGAAAACGGAGAATGAGATGGCGATGATTACGAATGACGAGGAGGAGGAATGGCGGCGAGGGAGCTGGAGGAGGTGGCGGCGCTCGATGAGAGGCGGCGGAGAGGAGAGGAGAGCGGAAGCGGCGAGGAAGAGGAGAATCGAGGCGGAGAAAGCCGAGATCACCGGAAAGAGATAGCGGCCGCCGCGGCGGCAGCGGAGGATGAGGGAAATCTGGTGGAGACGAGCTGCGGCGGGGCAGTTGTAGTGATGATGAGGATGATGATGACCGCTGTTCTTCTTCTTCTTCTTCATTTCCGATTGTAAAATTACAGAGGGAATCGACGACGTTTTGCGATTCGCCGATTCTCGTTGGTTATCGCCGGACGGCAAGCTTCACAGCAATCGTACCAGCGCCGGAGTTTGCAAAAGGAGAAGAAGGGAACGAGACCATGGGAGACTGACTCTGTTTTCCTCTCTCTCCCTCTCGCCCGTTTTTGTCTTTCTTCCTCTGTTGCAATGCAACGGAAAAGAAATCCCCCAACAATATTGTCAAATACATTTCCCACGAATTAGTTTTCCTTCCTTTATACCTTTTTTAATGATTTTTTTTCCCGTTCTTTTTACAATTGATTTTTTTCCCCCGTCTAATAAATTGTTTGTTTATGTCTTTATGACACTGGTAATATATTAGGCACATTCAACGTGGTACGAGAGTGATTTCTAATTTACGAAAAATATACAATTTTAATTGACAAGGAGCATTTTGAGGTGAAATGAAATAATTTTTTTAAGAATTTTGAAATTAAAGGTGCTCAATATGGAGCAATGTAAAGAAAAACCATATCTGATAGGCTAAAATGAACAATATCTTGGGAAGAAACGGGTTGGGTTGTTACAATACTTTGGCAAAAAAAAAAAAAATTCTTTGTTTATGATATATACTGAAATTTGAGAACCACAATTGTTAGAAGTTTGTGTTATGTCTATATGATAAAAAAAAATATCGGTCGACGGTATAAACTATTCGTTCTTAAGAATTTGGTTCATCCCCACCCAAATTTAAGAGGTTGTATACATATTAAAAGAACGAAAGAGAGAAGAAGATAAATCGAGGGACTCTGAAACTCAAACCGACCATCGCATCCCGCTCATCCTACCTTGGTAACTTCTTTTGGTTTGTTTGGATGCTATATTTTTTATGAAGTATTTTGGTTAAGTTGTCAAATAGTCTCATTTGCCAACACAAAAAGAGAATGCAACAATTGGGTCGAGACAATTTGAATTAACTCATTTTACATCAATTTGAATTGAAGGGACAACGACATGTATTTTGAAATGATGCGTTATGTTAGATAATTGAGTCAAATTGCCTTATTTCAAAAATTCGTTAATGCTTGATATCCAGAGTCTGAGTACATGCAAGAAAAAAATAGGATAATTAGGAATTTGTCAATGAAATCAATCGTCTCAACTCTCGAGCCAATTTTAGTTAGAGAAGTATTATTATGTTAATCTTTCCAATCAGTTTTTTTTTTTTTTTGGTGGTTTCGCTTCGTTTGGTTGCGAGGATTCGGCGGTGCTCCGGCCGGTCCCGCCGGCGGAGAAATACAGAGAATCGAAGTCGCTCCTACGCCGGAATTGGCCTTTCCCCTCTATCTCACTTTCTTCAGCACCTCGTACCAATCGCGCCCTAAATTTTATGACAAAACCAAAACCAGCTCGCTTCATGTCCTTCCGGTTAATGCCGATGATCGCCGTCCCATTTGGCACCTTCTTTGCTGAAAAATATGCAGCTAGAGAGGTGATTTTTACACTGTTTTTTATTACCCATGCAATTATCATCCAAACTATAAAGAGTTTTACTGGAATATTTCTATTGAAATTTTATTTATATCTTCATTCTCATTTGACCGTGTTCTTCGCGTCCTTCGTTGTGGAAAATGTTCTTTCTAAACTTCTATTGTCAGTAACAATACTAATGTTACAAGTCGATACGCCAATAAAAAAAAACGTAAATGTACATACGCTTCTCGTTTTCTTGTTTATATTACAGGAAATTTGACCACTACGTTAACATATAACGTAAATTTAGAGAACATAAATTTAGTGATATCGTAAATTTAGAGAACATAAATTTAGAGATGTCGCGTATGTCTATTAAAAAAACCCATATCTACACTTTGAATTATAAAGCGATTTTGGGACATATGATTTTGTTTTCGTCACCTAAAATGAGTAAATTATAAGTCATCATTCTCGAAATCCTAACCTTAAAGCTTAAGAAGGTGAATCTAAGCGAACAAGGATTTGGTCATAGAAGTTCTACCGTTGGTTTCCTAGAAGTTATATGTTCATATCCCTTAACTAGCACATATCAATAAAATTAAAATGATATTACCCTCATAAAAAGGTGAATATATATAGCACGTTGGATGTACTTCGATGAATTAGAACCATCGATTACTGTATATGATGAAATCAAAAATCATGAGTACTTTTCTTAGAATTGGAATTTAGAACAAGTCTAGATACCATTTTCTTATTAAGGGTGTGCAATGAATTTCTTTGTCTGGACTCTGGACTATATCGAATCGAATATAATGTGGTACGGTCTTTGGCCCCATAAATATATAAATTCTAAAAAAAATAGACCGGACTAAAGTGAACCGAATGCATTGTTTGTCCGGTCCTTGGTCCGAACTATTGCACGCCGCTAGGGGTGCGAATACCCAAAATCTACGGCTGGTACCATAAAACTCCCCTTATAATATGTTATGTTGAAATCGGGCTACCCATTATTACGATACTGTCCGCTTTGGGCTAAGTCCGCACGGTGTCACCAAACTGACATCCACCGCCCCGGATCCAAACCAGACTCTTATACCACTTGTCGAAATCGGGCTGCCCATTAGTGTGATATTGTCCGCTTTGGGCCAAGCCCGTACGGTTTTACTATTGGGTGTCCTCCCCAAAAGCCCTCGTACTAATGAGTTTGCTGTACACTTATTACTTATATACAATGGTCCCTTCCCTTGTATTACTGATGTGGTACTTGAATTGTCCCATAACATTTCATTATTTTTTTTTACATAAGAATGACATAAATTAATTTTTATCTTTAGGTGCTAATTAAGATGCTAATTAAGAGATTCAAATCTATCCTTTAAATTGAAAACTAGTACTTTTTTTTTTTATTGAACACCTGGAATTTTATTAATTAGAGCTCAAAATATTACATTCCGCTTCAAGGAGCGAGAGTAGACATAATGGTGGCCTATCCTCCCAAATTTCCCTTTCATCCCACCCACACGCAAGGTGAGCCATCGTGTGGGCTGCCACATTGCCTTCCCTCTTAATGAAATTCCATCTGATCTGCCCCAACTCATGGGCCTTAGCCTGTAATTCTGTTCCAAGCCCGCCTTCCTCAGATAGAGATTCCACCTCGCCTTGAAGTTTCCCAATTGCCTCTTGACAGTCCGATTCAATCACCACCCTCGTCCACTCCTTCATTTCCACCATTTCCATAGCAAACTCAATCGCCTTCAGTTCAGCAATCTCCGGCCGCCACTGGCGACGGTCTCGGCGAACAGCCGCCAACACACATATCCCGTTCCAATCCCTCGCTACCACCCCCGACCCCGTTCCTTCTCCGGCGAAGACTGAGGCATCGACGTTTAGTTTAATCCAGCCGGTCGGTGGCTTCCCCCATTTCACATGTACAGGCTCTTTCTTCTCTTCCTCTTTCTGCCTTGCTGCTGTGAATTCGTCATAGTATGATAGGGCTCTTCCTACCACCTCCCATTCCTCCGCCTTTTTCCTATTAAAGCAGTGATTGTTTCTCTCATTCCATATATTCCATAGAATCATCGCTAATCGGACCAGCTTCTCTTCCTCAATTTAAATTGAAAACTAGTACTATTACCACTACATCACGCCATTGTTTAGCTAATATGATCATTATTATTATATCATAAATAAATCGTAACTCAAAGGTCAAGTAGTTGATATGCAATTGTTATGGCGTCAGGATACAATTTACCCGTTGGAATCTAATAATATTCTAGGTAGGAATATTAAGTGTTTCGATGAAACTTAAGACGGTTAATAATAGCTAAAACAAACAACGGTTTTCTAAATCCAATCGACCAAATCAACACAATGGCGTTAAGTTCAACATAATCTCTCCATAAACAAAATCAAGAGGGGTTTGATTAACAATGGAATGTCTAGTTAAAAAGGGAATCATATTCGTCATTACTCTTATCGATCAAAGATAATAATAAAAGTTATTGGCAATAGATTGAGTGTAGACAACAATTCGATACACGTTGGAGCTTCGTCTATGTCTATACTATCTCTTAAGCTATCGTTTTCAAGTGACGATACATTTAAGTCGCATTTCATCGACTCAACATTTGAATCAAACCGAACAAAATAGAACTTAATTTGCCAAATACACATTACGCTAAGACAACACGGCACAATTGAGTTTGTGCCATTTTGTCTGTCGTCTGGTGATTATAACGGCAAGAGTGCAATTATCTTTGCAATTAGGTAATTAAATTTGCTGGCCTAATCACTCCTTTGGGCTTTGACCCGCATTCTGATGATTTAATTTAATTTAAGTTAATAATAGTTAAGGATTGTGACGAACCATGTGATTAATTAAGATTCAACCGTTAGATATTAATTGCAGTCAGATTACTATATGATTAAATCTGGATGTGTCTCTGATAACCCAGCCAACCACTTACCTGAGATATTTTGTTTTTATTTTTTCCTGTTTTAATGAGCAGTTGAGATAGGTGATGTTGTTTGAAACCGATTTATATGAATACATATATCAATAGCACTTAACCGAGCTCAACGTGGTTAAGAAAAATTTACAGGTGCAATTCGGTTACGGTGTCTGTAGTCTTTTAAGTACTTACGACTTACGAAAACATCGTTGGATGAACGTGGTGGAAGATTTGTTGGTAATCATTATCACGGGTAGTCGGGTACATATATATATACCAAATGGTAATATATCATCACACATGCAACTTGCTTTACGTATATTTTTCTTTTCTATGTTTTATTTATTATATCGCAATGACTTGTCACGAAAGAAATATAATAAATAGTGTTGGTTAAAGATTCACTGTGGGAAGTGAGTGCTGGAAATGGGAAGTTAGTGAAAAAGAGGGTGAAATTGCTTGTGCGGGTGAAATTGCAGCCAAATAAATAGCTTTTGTTGGTTCCATGTCGAGTCCCTCTTGTAAACCTAATGCCTATACATGAAAGTGGAATCCAAGCATCTTAGTGTTGCTTTTACGTGTGAAATTCAAAGTTCACTTGACAACTAAGTTTGGAATACTAGGTAATTGTTTGGCAAATCATCTAATAACCTTTTTTAGAAGGATTCGTGTGTAGGGGATTTTCTGAGTAGGTATTCGAACAAATTCATATGAGCAATTTGATATGAATCATAAGATAATATTGTGATTTGCGAGCGAATTATTTTTGTGTTGGGCTGAACACCAAAATTAGTTAGGTTAAGGATTTCTTGAGAGCTAAACCATGCACAATACACACGGAGATTTCGAAAAAGCAGTGCAATAACTAGTTGAAAGCGGGAGGGTGATGTGAACTCTGCTTATCCACCTGAAACAAACATACAATACGTGAGCGCAACATAGAATTTTCGGATGATACTTCATTTTTTGCACAGTGAAACAAAATATACACTTTGAATACCAATAATCCTCGTTCGGAGTTTGGTTGCTGTTGTAGACTTGTCGTCATTGTGAAGAATATACTAACTGTGTAAAATTGCATCTAACCAAATTGCCAACCTACAATCTTGTAAAAAATAAGTTATGGGTCTTTTGGGATACCTCAAGAATCCATAAAGAAGAGGTTTTCCATATTGCAGAAGGGATTGTCATGGAGGGATCAATGGAGCTTTCATGAGGTGATTTGCTACATTGCCCATGATTTTATCATTTGGGACAAATAATTCTTATATTATTAATTAGGTCATCTTTTTCGCTGATCATGATACGTTGATTGGTGTTTGCCTTCCAATATGAGCAACCTAATAAAATCAATCTTATTCAACACATGTATGTGTACCGCCTTTTATTTTGCCTTGCCAATCTCTTCATTTGCTTTCATTACTTATTATTATGTACAAGCTTTCCAATTTAATTGGTATTTCATCTCACATGGACTAATTCATTATTCTGCATTGTCACTGAGGACATCGATGTATATACTATACACAAGCAAATATTATAAAATGTGAAATAAATCAATCGAAAAGTATCGTTAGATATCTCAAGACGTTTTTTGGATCTCAAGAACAAAATCGCTTAGCGATTTAACCGCAAAACATGCATTTTTTTGGACAAAGATGATACATAAAAATCATGATATAAGACTTCATGGCTATTATATCCGAGACTACTCAGATTCTTATGAATGCCCGCAAACTCATCAGAGTGAGCAATCCAGGCCTATATGTCTTATTGGGCCCAAAGGTGAATGCCATCTATAATCGACCAAGTCCAAGCCCAAGTAATGTCCAACATTAATTTTGAAATGGGCCACAAAAATTATAACCGTGTATACCATACCGAATCCAACACATTCAAGCCCAGGCCCGTTTCCATTTATGGTCAAAATGACGCCCAATTTGATTTCCACCTTACCATTCATTCATTCATTCACCAGCTCCAGCAGCCAGCCATTAATTGAAGAGATTCATAGCAGGAGGTGGTCCGGCAGATAAAAGAAAACTGACCAATGATCTTGCTTTGAAGGGCTAACACGAACATAGAGTATCACATCATATGACATCATCAAATTATACCGAAAATGTCCGGTTTGCTAATGTCTGGTTCGTTTCAGATACCTATTTGATTTGGAATTGAATTGAAACAAAACTTACTAATATATGTGATCACAGTAACATAGGTAAGTTAACAATTGATAGTATCGTGGATCCAAACATATCTTAGTTTGTTCAAGAGTACGTAAAAGATAATTCCGATCTGATTAGATTCAATATGCTTATCAAAATTTAATCGAATAATCTGAAATTCAGGTCTCCTGTTTATTTGGGTCCAAATGAAAAGAAACGATTTACTTCTTACCTAAAAATGATCTGTAATGCGACAAGAGATAAGTCTAATAAAATAATCGTTGATTTTCAATTCGAAGATTTCAAATTTGAAATCTTAGTAATTAATTTATCGTTTTCGACAAATATTATTGAGTAGAATATAAAAAAAATATTTTATTATATACAAAAATTTGAAGGAAGAGTTTGCATTTGGAGATAAATAGTGCCAGATGTCTTTTTCTTCTTATTTATTTTGGTACACTCACTCCAACAGTGGGATTCTCAATCATTATCATAGGCGATGGACACAAGAAGCACCAAGCACAAATTATTTCAAACATTCATAAAAAAAAATACTCTATTCATTAGATTCATTTTTTTTGTCTCTCTAAATGAATTTGGGAGGGAGTTTCATTGCACTTGCGAATTTAACCCATGCATTATCGTCACTATAGTAGATATTATCAAAAATCTCAGTTGATCCCAATAACTCAAATTATTAGAAGACGTTCAATAATGAATTTTATACCACTCACTAACATATATCAAGTATTTTATGACACTATTCAATAACAAATTCGACTAGAGCAGACAATAGACAAGTTAATGATCAACTAACAAATTTCATCGATGAAAGATTTCCTCAATGAATAAAAATTGGGACGATCTTTATTTTCACACTTTTTGATTTTGATGCCTTATTTTTGTGTTGTCCTGCAACTATATTATTACTGTCGTTGTTGAATAACTTGATATGGTCGCGTTAATGGGGAAATTGGCAAACCCACCCAAAATAGAAAACCTGGAAAACAATTGTCGTCCCCATAAACGGGAAGGAAGAAGAGTCCGGTGCGTGTCATCATCCATCGAGCTCATAATCATATCGCAACAAAGGAACCTAAAAAACCCCTTCTTTTCTCATATTTTCTCTTCTCCGCAGAGCGCAGACTTTCTCAGGTGACAACCAAGCCTCAAACCACCACCTAACCCGCGGCCCCTTTCTCCCCTCTGTTCATCCAGTTGCAGACAGGAAAAAGCCAACAGTCAGCCCCACAAATCCCCTCCGCCGGAGCTATCATCCTCCAAACACTCGGATATGAGCGATCCCGGGAAGCTGAACACCTCGAGCTCCGAATTGGACCTGGATCGACCCAACATCGAAGATTACCTCCCTTCTGGAGCATCCATTCATGAACCCCACGGCCAGCTTCGCCTGTATTGCATTCTACTTCTTCTTATTCTACTCCTTCCCCCATTTAATTTTATTCGAATTTGGTTTCCTCTCCCAATTGGGTCTTATTGTTAGTGACTTAGTTCCACTTGTCTGGTCGGATTAGGCGCGATTTGCTTGACATCTCCCCGACGTTAACTGAGGCTGCCGGGGCGATTATTGATGTGAGTTGCTTTCTCTTGGCTCCCTTGTCTTCTACTATCTTTCAATTGAAATGGGGAGGTTCGACATCTGAATTGCCAGTTAGTTGATGGGCCGAGGTGAAAAAAGATTGGAACTTTCCTTGCAGTAATTGAATTATTTGGGCGTAGAAGATGAAAAGGATTAGTGGGTGGGGAGGGACTATAAGTCAACCTGATGGGAAGTTCTGTGCTTTGATTTGTTAGTTGATCAAGTTTTGAGTTGGATTGTTTTGTTGCACCAGGATTCATTTACACGGTGTTTCAAGTCGAATCCGCCGGAGCCTTGGAACTGGAATGTGTACCTTTTCCCTCTATGGTGTTGCGGTGTGGTGGTTAGATATGGGATTCTCTTCCCTGTCAGGTTCGGCTATGACTTTTTTTTTCTTCCAACTTGGTTGAACTTCTTTTCTATACTTGTGTGTCTCCGATTTCATTTGCTTGCCGCTTCTCTCAGTTTGATGATGGTTGGTTTTGAGGATCTACTAACTTATGATGGCTTACCAAAATGTTGAACTTGGTATTGAGTGTTCTGCTTCTGATACATGTGTTGTTGAACAAATTCTGCAGGGTTATCGTGCTAACAATTGGGTGGATAATCTTTCTGTCAGCCTACATTCCTGTTCATGTTCTGCTCAAAGGACATGACAAATTGAGGAAGAAGATTGAGGTGCGAAATTAAGTTCTTACGGTCTTGCTCTTTATTCTGTCTGTCAACCTTAAAAGAGTTTTTCTTTTTCACTTTTGGTAGAACTCACAGATTTGACTTGGATTTGTAAAATCTTGATAGCTGTGTTTACACTTGAGCTTATTTTTCAACTGTTCCTCTTTTCTCCTCCCTAGAGATATCTGGTGGAGTTAATTTGCAGCTTCTTTGTGGCATCATGGACTGGAGTGGTGAAGTACCACGGTCCACGTCCCAGCATGCGGCCGAAACAGGTTTCTTTCTAGAGCATCCAACTTGCCCTTCCTTTATACTATAGGAGGATGGTTCAACTCCCTTGCTGACGCAAAGCTTCTGCTTGTAATTTGTATAAACAGGTTTTTGTCTCCAATCATACTTCAATGATCGATTTCATCGTCTTGGAACAGATGACTCCATTTGCTGTCATCATGCAGAAGCACCCTGGTTGGGTTGGTAAGTGATTGGTGGCTGGATGCTGAGTTCAAACATATTGATGAATGAGTTAGTTGCTGGTTGCTTGCTTGTTTTTTCAGTTTACTTTATTCAATTAGTGATTTGGTCAACCAACAATTTTTTAGATACCTTAAATAATGAGATGATGATGCAGAATTCATGATCAATTTCGCTGGTATTCTGTATAGGACTCCTGCAGAGCACCATTTTAGACAGCTTGGGATGTATCTGGTTCAATCGTAGTGAGGCAAAGGATCGTGAAACTGTAGCCAAAAAGTAAGTCCCCATTACATAAAATTTATTCCTGAAATTATGTTCATTTGATAAATCTTTCTGTACATTGTCGATCAGGTTACGAGACCATGTTCAGGGGTCTGATAACAATCCTCTTCTCATATTTCCCGAAGGAACTTGTGTAAATAACCACTATACCGTGATGTTCAAGAAGGTAATCAAGTCCCCCTCTCGCTTCCCCCCTAGTGGTTCGTAGAAGCATTGCCATTTAAAAAATTTCCTGTCTCGGTTATCTTTGTAGGGTGCCTTTGAACTAGGATGTACCGTTTGCCCGATCGCAGTCAAGTACAATAAGATTTTTGTCGATGCCTTTTGGAACAGCCGGAAGTAAGTAAATCTATGGTCATGCTAGTTTGTTTGATTCCTTACATGTCCCTTTAGCAATGTTCTACGATTTGCACATATGTTCTGCAGGCAGTCATTCACAATGCATCTACTCCAGCTCATGACATCATGGGCAGTTGTTTGTGACGTTTGGTACTTGGAGCCACAAACTCTCAAACCTGGGGAGACGGCTATTGAGTTTGCTGAGAGGTGAACGAATCTCTTTCGCAGAAGTGTGTGCCTCTTATAACAGCAACCATATTTCCCCATCTTATTGACAAATCCTTCCGAACCATTCTTGTTCAGAGTCCGGGACATAATCTCAGTGCGAGCTGGCCTCAAGAAGGTACCTTGGGACGGGTATCTGAAGTACTCCAGGCCGAGCCCTAAACACAGGGAACTAAAGTAAAGCTAACTCGCCTTCCATCTCAAACCCTCTCTTTGTTGTCCATTAAGGAACTATGAGATAGCTGACACGGCTTGCTTGTATGTTTGTCTATGTATTTTTCAGGCAACAAAGCTTTGCTGAGACGATTCTACGACGGTTGGAGGAGCGGTAGAGAAAGAAAGGAAAGGTGTAGCTGTATTTAGCAGTTCATGTCGCATCATGTAATGTTTCAAATCTAGAACTTTAGCAGCACGGGTAAGCTTATGGATTAGGTTGAGAATGATCAAAGTTTTGATAATAAGAAAAGGTGTTGCCTTTGGCTTGGCTTTTGTAGCACTTACTGTGGGAAGACCTTGTTTGTAGTAAACGCATGGATTCCTCCCTCTGGTTTTCAGTGTTTGATTTTTCCTTTCTCGATGGTGAAAGGTGTTTTTTGTTTGGCTGTTTCCAGTTTAGTCCTGCTTTAGTCGTGTCCATTACTGTACGGCAAATTCTTGTTAAGTTACGGCGGACTTTTCAGCAGGGTAAACGGTCAACTGATCTGAAAGTCACGGCAAGACTTCTTCATGTCTTCTTCCATCTCCATTGATGATAAACTACTCAGCCGGAACTAATTCCTCCGTTTACATAGCTGGATTTTCTCTCTTTGGAAAACAGGGGCTCCCCTGTTCTACTTACTCTGTTCTAACAGAGTATTACATTAACGCAGGAATAATTGTGGGGTTACTCGCCGGCCGCCGGGGTTCAACTCCGACGTCCGCCACAGGCATAGAGTAAAAGTAGTGGGAAAGGAAGATAGCTGTTCTAACTTCTAAACTCCATGTGTGAATGCACGACAAAAGATAGCTGTTCTCTCTCTAGATTCGTGTACTTCGTTTGGCAGGCTGTATTTTGATTCTATCTTGCTTAATTTGTTTTCTTTCTAGTTACATCACATTCACCTCGATCTACCGCCACTAAACAATGACATTAATCCTTAATCGCATTTCCACTTGACCACTCAAGCAAATCATTACCTCCCCGCACGCCCACAAGAATTATCAGTGGAGGAGCTTCGCTAACTTTCATGAAAACAACCATCATTACTCCCCACTTAGAAGTTGAAAACAGAGCAGCATTAGCCATTAGGCAAGCCGGCTGCGGCACCAACAACCATTCCGAGTTATATATCATCCTACCTTTTATGATCGTTGAATGCACGCAGTGACAGTTAAATCGCAAATCCCCTTTCACCGTCATTTGATGCAGACATTGTCACCGCAACCATCCAATAGTCTTTTTCAAGCTGTAACCGACATTACCCACAAAAGAAGGCAATTGAATGAATGTGAATGGGTCCAAAAAGACAACTCTACCGCATCTTCCAACTTCAAATGGCCCCTACCTCCGACGACCGCCGGTCAACCCTCGACACCGGTCCACCCTTTACCTTTCCCAATTCCCACACAGCCACAAATTTTCCACAGTCTCTCTCCCTCTTTCTCCATTAGACATTCACAAACAGCACAATAATGGAATCCCTCCCCACTTAAATTCCCCCAACCAAGTGCACAACTCCCCCATTCCTATCCATTCTCCACCCAAAACCCACCTCAATCTCCCCCACGCGCCGCCGCGCCATGCCGAACCACCGCCTGACATTCCTCCCCGTCCTCCTCCTCTGCCTCCTCCCAGCCGCTTCCACCGCGCAGCCGGCCTTCCGCTGCAGCGCCAACGCCACGTGCCGCTCCCTCCTCGGCTACAAGCCCACAAACGCCACCACCCTCTCCGCCGTCCAAACCCTCTTCGGCGTCAAGACCCTCCGCCTCCTCCTCGGCGCCAACGACCTCCCGCCCTCCACCCCGCCCACCACCGCCATATCCCCACAGCAGCTCCTCCGCGTCCCCATCCCCTGCATCTGCGTCAACGGAACAGGGGTTTCCAACAAGGTCCCAATCTACACCGTCCAGCAAGGGGATTCCCTCTCCGTCATCGCCACCAGCGTGTTCATGCGCCTGGTCACGTACCAGCAGATCGCGGCAGCGAACAGTCGGATCGTCCCGGACCCGAACGAGATCGAACCGGGGGAGAAGCTTTGGATTCCCCTGCCGTGCAGCTGCGAGGATGTGGAAGGGGAGAAGGTGGTTCACTACACGCATTTGGTGGAGGCAGGGAACAGCGTGGAAGGGATTGCGAGTGAGTTCGGGACGAGTAACGAGACTCTGTACCGGCTGAATGGGATTGCGAGTGACAGGCAGCTGATTGCTGGGACTCCGTTTGATGTCCCGTTGAGAGGTTAGTGAAGTTCTTGTTGCAACTTTTTTTAATTGTCGATCTGATTTGTGATTGGTGTGTGTAGTTGATGTTCGTGAGTGACACGTAGGATGGTAATTAGGATAAGTGGGAGAGGTATGGTTTTCGGGTCCGGTCCAGAATCTGATCGAATTTGAGAACGAATCAGATTAGGAGTGAAGGGAAAAGCGAGGATTCAAGTTAAATCATCATTCGGTTTCGCCTTTTTGCAAAACAAAAAGATCGATTTGATCTGATTCGGTTCGGTTCGGTTCGATAGAGTTGAAATCTCTGTGCAAAGGATGACTGTGAAGCGGGTTTGAAGCGGTTCGCATTTTCATTTTCGACCTTCGAACTTATACCCTCCTTCGTCATTGTCCATGGAGGTTTTGCATTTCCCAATATGGGTCGACCAAATTAGTATCACACATACCCCTGTTTTGACTTGGACCAAATTAGCCAACCTTGTTAGATCCGTCTGTTGCATCAACTCCAACCAGGACTCTTTCTTTCTTTCTTTCTTTCTTTCTTTCTTTCTTTCTTTACTTGGCTTGTTTTCAGCAAGCACAACAAAAAATGCACAATACCAAGTGTTAACACATTGTTCGACATAAGCTAATGGAATACCGGCTCGTTACAATAACTCGAACAGTTAAGAAAAACTTAAGAACAACTCTTTAACTACAATCTTGCTTGTATTCTCAAACCAAATTGAATTTGAAATTCTCCATACCTGATATTGATAAGGAAAGTCATCAAAATTTTAACACGAATTCTCGATTAAAGATTCTCACAACAATTCAAACCACTCTTCCCACCAAAGAAAACAAACAAACAAACAAACAAGCAACTTCATTTGCACCCTCCTCCCAAGATGTCATATTTTGTCTCCCAACTCCTTCACTCTAAACATTTATACCCTTTCAAGTTCCAATGGAAACCCATAAACAAACCCTACTTCACTTCACTTCACTGACCTTCCCCGTGATACCCTGTTCCACTTTTAAGTCTCCTCGCCGGAGAGAAAACCAATGGACCGCCGCAGTTTACCTCCTCTGGTTTTCCTAATCATCTCAACATTCCCCCTCTACGCGTCGGCATTCAAATGCGGGAGTTCTCCGGTGAAATGCCAGGCCCTGATCGACCACATCACCCCGGAATCCACCACGTTCGTCGAGGTACAAACCCTCTTCGCCGTCAGAAACCTCCGCACCCTTTTGGGCGCCAACAATCTCCCGCGCTCATCTCCGCCCGATCAGAAGCTTCCCGCCAAACAGACCCTGAAAATCCCCTTCCCCTGCCTCTGCCATCGCGGGGCCGGGATCTCGAACAAGCGGCCCGTGTACACCGTGAAGGAGGGGGACGACGGGCTGAAGGAGATTGCAGAGAGGGTGTTCTCCGGTGCGGTGACCGACGGCGCGATTGCAGCCGCGAACGGTATCTCCGTGAAGGATCCGGTCAAGGTCGGGCAGAACCTGTCGATTACCCTGCCTTGCAGCTGTGATGATGTGGAGGGGATGAAGGTGGTTCACTACGGTCATCTGGCGGAATCTTGGAGCTCCCTGGAGGCCATTGCTGACCGGTATGGGGTCAGCGTCCCGATCTTGATGGAGGTTAATGGGTTGAAAGATGGGTCGAGTATTCGTGGCGGGCAACTCATCGATGTCCCAATTCGAGGTAAGAACTAAGAAGAAGGAAATGAACAGGGGAAAGTTGCAGAATTTCGGTCTCTTGGCTTTGTTTAATCTAATTGGAGGGGAAAAGTTTGATTCTTTGTCGTAGAATTTATGGTTGGTGAATCTGTTACTGATAACTCAATTTAGGCAGCATTCTGTAACGATTTTGCTGAGATGCTCTGTTATTGAGCTCTCTGTTTTCCCCTGCATTTTTATGCTCTGTTTTTTTTTAATCTCTGGTTTCGCAGCTTGTAATTCGTCCATAAGATCCGACTCCATAGACTCGCAATTGCTGGTAGCTAACGGGACTTATGTCTTCACCGCTCACAATTGCGTCCAGTGCAAATGCGACTCTGCCAACAACGGACGTAAGTTTTTGTTTTTTTTGTTTTGGTACTCTGTTCATGATTTTGTTTTCTGCTCTGAATTCATGGTGGCGGAATTGAGTATTGCTCTGAATTTTCCTCAGGTTACAGTGCCAGCCGTCGGGAGTTAGACCATCGGACTGGTCGACTTGCCCTGCGATGCAATGTGGCGAAGGGAACGATGCCGTATTACTAGGGAACTCGTCGGCGTCGGCTTGCGGCGGCGCTACCTGCGCCTACGGCGGTTTCTCTTCTAACCAAACCATTTTTACCACTTTCGACGGCACCTGCTCCGGCTCTCCCTCTCCCTCTCCCGGTTCTGGTTCCTGTAAGTCTATCAACCTCTTATTCTCTCCTTTTTTTTCTTTGGATTTCAACTTTATACAATTTCTCCATTTGAATTCATTTCATTGCACGATAACTCCAATTAGATGATGAAAGGTCTCGTGTTCGAACTTTAGTTACTCTTATGTCAATCACTCATTCAAGTAATGAAGTTTGATGCAAAATAAAGATAAACTTCTTAATGACTCGAGTCGGTTTGTTTATTTAAAGTTCTTCATGATCGAGACTTTTAGTATACTGTTTTTGGTAATTCTAGTAGTATCACGTACTGTTAGTCTTCTTAAAGATATAAGTGGATCTGGTGTTAAGAGTATTTCATGAGCAAAACTTCACCTATTCTAGTCTTATTGAGCCTTATTCCGTAATCTTTTTCAATGATTTGAGTCGATAACACGATGTTTTGACACATTTTTTGGGTCTTTGTTTGCGCAGCAAATGGAGGGGAGATTGTTATGAAGAACTCGAACATGGTTTTGTTGAGTTTGGTTCATTTGATAGTACTATACCTATTTTGTATAGGTGGATGACGAATCTTGATGATTAGCATCCAATTTGTTCCTTCAGGAACACCCGATAAAATTGGAGTGATTAGCGATTTCATTGTAACGTAGGTGTATTAGTTTTGAAACATGGAAATCCCCTTGGGTTTTGCTTGCGCGAGGAACAATAATGAAGCTTAGAGTGATCAATCCCCGTTCCTTACTCCTCTACATTTCTTTTTCTTCTCGCATACATTCAACGCCCTTAGGGTATCACAAATCTTGACTCTTTCGAAAGCGTAATTCAAGATCATATCAATCATATCACCAATTCGTTAATGAATATTGTTGAACTCGCCAAATACGTGAAGTACAGTTAATAGAAGCTCGAAAGCTTAACGATCCAAAGGTCGTGTCAACTCCAGAAGTCTGCTTATTCGTCGACGAAAAGGTTTAATTACTAAAAACAGTACACTAAAACAGTACACTTCAAGCAAAACGTTGCTACAGTATGTTATTTACTGGGCCCCAGAGTCCTAGTGATCGTCTATATTGCTATACAAAAGCTAATCATCCCTTACCTACTACATAGAACAAACAAAACAGCATCAATAATGGCAGATGATCGGAAGCGGATAGCCATAATCGGAGCAGGAATCAGCGGCCTGCTCGCCTGCAAATACGCCCTCTCAAAGGGTTTCCACCCCACAGTCTTCGAAGCCCAGAACGGCGTCGGAGGGCTCTGGAACAAGACTCTGTCCACCACCAAGCTCCAAACCCCGAGAACAATCTTCCGATTCTCCGACTTGCCGTGGCCGGACTCTGTCACCGTCGAGTTCCCATCTCACGACCAAGTCCTCGGTTACCTCCGAGCCTACGCCCATCATTTCGGCCTGTCGAAGCACATCAAGTTCAACACCAAAGTCCTCAGCATCAACTACAAGGGAGTTTCGGAGGAAGGGATGGAGGCGTGGAGCCTCTGTGGAGGGAAATGGGAAGTGGAAGTTTCGACCGCCGGTGGGAGTTCGGCGAGGAGTGAGGTTTACGAAGCAGATTTTGTGGTCCTCTGCTTGGGGAAATACAGCGATGTGCCGCATATTCCCGAGTTCCCTCCTGGGAAAGGACCTGAAGCGTTTCAGGGGAGGGTGATTCATTCCATGGAGTATTCTGATTTGGAGGCAGAGGAAGCTAAAGAGTTGGTTAAAGGGAAAAAAGTTGCTGTCGTTGGATTCCAGAAACAAGCTCTGGAAACCGCCATGTTGTGCTCTGAAATTAACGGTGCGATTGGTTTGCTAACCGGTTCGAGTTATTGAGATTGATTGATTCGGATTTAGAAAATGAGTATCTGGTTTGAATTGTTTGTAGGTAAAGAAAATCCCTGCAGAGTACTGTACAGAACAGAGCACTGGAACATCCCTGATTTCCAGGCATGGAGTTTCCCATTGGCGAAACTGTACTTCAATCGGTTTGCAGAGCTATTGATTCACAAACCTGGAGAAGGGCTCTTCCTCCGTCTTTTGGCCACCATTCTTTCTCCAATCGTAAGTGATCTCCATAACTAGCCAAAACCCCCAATTGAAAAGGCTTAGTTTACAGTAATACTCTGTTTTTGCTTTCCCTTGAATTGCAGAGATGGGCGATCTCCAAGTTTGTGGAAAGCGATATCAAGCACAGGCATCAACTGGCGAAACACGGGATGGTTCCGAAGCACAGTTTCCTTCAGGCGATCACGACGTGCCTGGTTTCGACGGTCCCGGAGCAATTCTACGACAGGGTCGTAGATGGAAGCATCGTGTTGAAGAAAGCTCCGAGCTTTAGCTTCTGCGAGGAAGGGATCGAAGTGGAAGACGATGAAAATTCGGTACTGGAGACCGACGTGGTGATATTGGCTACCGGTTTCAACGGCGAGAAGAAGCTGCAGGACATTTTCGGATCGGAGAGCTTCCGGGAGATCATCGCCGGCGATCCAAACGCCGTCGTTCCTCTTTACAGGGGATGCATACCGCCGAGAATTCCGCAGCTGGCGGTATTGGGATACTCGGAGAGTTTCAACAACTTGTTCACGTCGGAGATGAGGAGCCGATGGCTGGCGGAGCTTCTGGCCGGGAAGTTTAAGCTGCCGGCGATCAGGGAGATGGAAGAGGATGCGGCGGAGTGGGATGCGTATCTGAAGGAATACGGCGGCGAGTTCTGCAAGAGATCCTCCGTTAGCGCTATCCACATATGGCACAACGACCAGCTGTGCGTGGATATGGGCTGGAAGCCCAGAAGAAAGAATGGGCTTTGGGCTGAATTGTTTGAGCCTTACGGCCCAATGGACTATGTTTCCCCTTGACCAGTAACTAATTATCCCACCTCCTTGCGGCTTGTAGTTCAGCTGTGAAATCAATAAATGTACGATAGGTGCTTGTTTTAGACTTGAACAAGCCGATAATTTAGTTAATTTCTTCTTAATAAACGTAGCGATCATTGTCATTAATTTCGTACATAACAATGGTTCCAACAGATGATAGGTATTCGTTTTAGGTTCGATTCGACTACATACCAACTTTCGCAAACGTTGGTTATATGACGAGGATTTCAGACTCGGTTTTGGTCGAATTAATTGCTTTCAGAGATGCATTGTCCATGCTTCGACAATGGCAATGGACTGATCGTCCAATCAACCTTACTGGAGATCCTCAAACAGTGGTGGACCGGTTGGAGTTAGACTTGACCGACGATGTTCATGGAGATGACATTTTATGAGAAATCCGTGACTTGTTCATTTCTTACTAGTTCATTTTGTATACACACCTCGAGATGCAAATCGAGGTGGCTTATAGCTTTATGCCGTAATTGGACATGCCTTGCGTTATCCTGGCAAAAAAATAATCCATCATCATGTGACTCTGCTGGGCCTGGAATCCAGTTGTGAGAGCCCATTGGAGCACGACCAAAACCAGTAGCCCAGTACACAGGCTTTCTGCCCTCGTTTGGAAAAGAAAAATGACATCATTCCTTCAATTCGGTACCGGTTTCTGGCTCCGTCACTCGTGCCTCCCCCTGCTTTCTCTTTGCCGGTTATGGGGAGATAGAAGAAGAGTAGTTTGTCCATTATCGTCTTTAACTTCTGCTGGAAGAAACCACTGCCGAATCCTGATAGCTCTTCCCAAGTCCAACATCAGAAGTAAAGTTCTTTCCTTTCCCAGACTTCTCCTCGTAGATTCTCTTCTGTTACGCATTTTATCATTCACCTTGGCTTCATTCAATCATTCTGCTGACCCGAGTTAAGAGTTCTCTTCTCAAGTTTCCACCTTTCTCTCTCGACGCGATTCTCGTTTTCTCCGGTATTGGGTAACTTTTCCGGAAGTCTTCCTTATCCGAGCTGTCTATGATTGTTGTTTCTTGGTTTCTTCGCTCTCTGCTATGGAATTCTCTTCTGGGTCGCTGTGTCGCTGAGCCGAGTGGGAAAAAGGCGTGATCTTTCCCGTTCCTTGTTTAATTTCGGTTAGGTTTTGCTTCTTTGTTATCTATTCAAGTATTGTTTTTGTTAACTGTTTGTTTCTTTTTTCCTCTGTTGGCCACTGCTGCCCTTGTGCTTCTGCTGTGCAATCATGTTGGACATTCGAGCTCTTGCGATTCTATGCAAATGAATAGTCCAATTATTTTTGTTTTGATGTTGCTGGTTTTCAGTTAGCTCCTCCGATGGTTGATTGATTTCATCTGCTTCTGTTTGATGGGATCATTTCCATTTTTTCTGGCTTTGTGCAGGATTTTGTTTAGTTTGAAGGTGTTAGTGATAGTTCCTTCCCAATGAGTACTACTAGGCAGTTTGGTAGTGGCACACTCTCCGGAGTGGTGACAGGTAGAACCAAATTTACAAAGAACCGGTGTTCGTGGGCTCGGTGTAGTAGAGTCCCCACAGGATTTCAATGGAGAGATAGTACTACGGAGTGCTGCTTGTTTACTAAGTATAGAAGTTCATTGTCACCACTCGTGACTTGTCGAAGAAGGCCCCAGTTGGGCGTGGTCTATAATCAGTCAACTCCTGGTTATGGTGTTGAATCCGCCGATGTACAGGAGAGACTGGATATGGAAAAAGAACATGCAGTGAATGGTTCTGCACATGAGCAATTGTAAGCCAAGCCGTATTCATCTTGTATTATGGTTCAAGATTATTACTTCCTGCTTTGTAAACTTCATGCAAAATTCTTTCAATTTCTAACTCCTTTGTTTCTGTTTAATATGGATACAGTGACTCTGTGGGATTTTCAGTTGAGAAGAAACATCAACCTACAGATGTCAAACGTGAGCTTACAATGCTTACAGTGCCTGCAATTGCTGGACAAGCAATTGACCCCTTCGCACAACTAATGGAAACGGCCTTTATTGGTAGACTAGGTAACAAAATTATTTCGCATCCTTGCATTTGATCAACATTAGTAATACTGAATCTTAGTAGGGTTCATACAGAACCATATAGTGGGGTGTTGGTTTCATGAACTTCTTCTACCTTTGAAGGTCCTATCGAGTTGGGTTCAGCTGGTGTTGCCACTATGATCTTTAACAACATTTCCAAGCTGTTCAACATCCCCCTACTAAGTGTTGCAACTTCTTTCGTTGCTGAGGACATTGCTAAGAATGCAGTGATGGACTCTACCGTTGGTAAGATGAATACCCGATAAATGATCTCCTTATAATTTCCTTCAGTCAATTCAATAGCCAAAACCTCCATTCATCAATCATTGATTTATCTTCCATTTAGTTGGTGCTGAAGAAGACCATACAAATGGAAAAGTCGTAAATAGGGTGGTTAAAAGGAAGCAACTGGCTTCTGTGTCAACAGCATTACTACTAGCCATTGGAATAGGCGTCTTTGAGGCAACCGCACTGTCATTGGGATGTGGTCCATTTCTTAACTTGATGGGTGTAACATCGGTATGAATAAATGTTCCAACTTTGTCTTACATGTTGCACTCTCCTGCGCTGTGAAGTCTTTCCTGACCACAGCTCTCTGAGCAGGATTCACCAATGCGAGTTCCTGCACAGAAATTTCTTTCAATAAAAGCACTAGGTGCTCCTGCAGTTGTACTGTCTTTGGCTCTTCAAGGCATATTCCGAGGCTTCAAGGACATGAAGACGCCTGTGATTTGTCTAGGCAAGTTCATCTTTTATATATTGGATTTGGATCTGCTATGTATTTACCTTTCAATGTTTTGTTATTACATATGCAGGTCTGGGTAATTTGTCAGCAGTTTTTCTTTTTCCATTGCTGATGTATCAGTTTAAGTTGGGTGTAACTGGGGCGGCACTCTCAACCGTCGTGTCTCAGTATGTTCTCTATCCACTGTTTTTTCTCTATTCATTTCCTTCAGTTTTGACAGCGTCCTAAGCAGTTTTAATTGATTAGATATCTTGTGACCATATTAATGCTGTGGCATCTCAATGAGAAGGTTGTACTACTCCCTCCAAGGATGGCTGATTTACAGTTTGGTGTCTATATGAAGTCTGGTAAGTCTCTCTCTCTCTCTCTCCAATGTAAATAAGACCTCTCATACCTTGAGTTGAGATTTTTAACTGGAAAGGTTGTGTCTTTACAGGTGGTTTTCTTATTGGAAGAACTCTAGCTGTTTTGATAACCATGACATTAGCGACAGCAATGGCTGCTCGCCAAGGACCAGTTGCCATGGCAGGGCATCAGATATGCATGCAAGTTTGGTTAGCTGTCTCTCTACTTACCGATGCCTTGGCTTCATCTGGTCAGGTAATAATTATCTCCACAACCACTAATAATGAATGTCACCACACATATTTACTATGTTTGATCACCTAAAAATCTATCTTCTAGGCTCTGATTGCAAGTTATTCATCGAAACGTGACTATGTGAATGTAAAAGAAGTCACAAACTTGGTGTTGAAGGTATGTTTGCTATATGCTATTCTTTTGTTTTGTTCTTTGGTTGCAGTCTTGGTTTTACTCATAGCTTCATCTGGACATTTGTATAGGTTGGCTTGGTTACAGGTATTTCCTTGGCTGCTATACTCAGCGTATCATTTGGTTCCATAGCCACCTTGTTCACCACAGATGCTGAAGTACTAGGGATCGCAAAAACTGGCATATTGGTAAAGTGCAGTTCTTTCTGTTGTTTGCTTCTTACCCTTTCCCCCCCTTTCATCTTCATCTATCTAACTGGTTATATAATCACATTTGAACTCCATCCAGTTTGTTAGTGCGAGTCAACCATTCAATGCACTAGCTTTCATTTTCGATGGCCTCCATTACGGAGTTTCTGACTTCCCATATGCAGCCTGCTCCATGGTAGATTGCAAAACTCTCTATTTTAATATCAGATTCTCAGTATCTTACATCAGCCCAATCTCACGTCCGCTCCGTTATGTTTCTAGATGTTGGTTGGAGCATTATCTTCAGTGTTCCTCCTCTATGTTCCACCAATCACTGGACTTCCCGGTGTCTGGTCCGGCTTGGCTCTCTTCATGGCCTTACGTACAGCAGCCGGAATAGCAAGGTAAGAGGGAACCGTACCGAGACACCATTACTGAATCTCAAGCTTTTACCCATTTAGCGTGGTCTCTGTTGTTTATACTAATGTGTGTGTCTGTATTTTGCAGGCTGCTGCTGAAATCTGGTCCTTGGTGGTTCCTACACAAAGACTTGCAGAATTATCAGGCTGGCTAGTCTCTTCAATCACTATATGAAGGTTTTATGTCAGCTTTTCGGGGATCGTCCGGAGTTAGAACACACGACGGCAACAGAAGCAGCAGCAGGATAGGTGGTTGAATGATGGAAACCAGGTTGATAAATGCTCCAAACCTTGAACTCTTTAGTGACCAGTTTTAGAGAATAGCACAGATTTGTAATTTTAGAAGGAAAAAGTGAACGAAAATAGATAATTTACACATAAAATGTCCTAATCAAGGGCAGACGTAGTCCGTTGGGCCGTAAGGCTCGAACAGCTCGGCCCAAAGCCCATGTTTTCTCCTGGGCTTCCAGCCCATGTCCTTGCACAACTGGTCGTTGTGCCAAATATGAATGGCGCTAATGGAGGCCCTGTCGCTGTACTCGTCGCCGTAACACTTGAAATATCCATCCCACTTCGCCGCGTCGTCTTCCATCTCCTTGATCGCCGGCAGCTTAAACTTCCCGTCGAGAAGCTCCATCAGCCACCGGCTCCTCATCTCCGACGTAAACAAGTTCGACAAGCTCTCCGAATATCCCAATACGGCTAGCTGTGGGATCCGCGGATGAATGCATTGTCTGTAGAGGGGCAAGCCGCCGGTTTCACTTCGCCGGAAGAATTTCGATCCAAATATGTCTTTCACCTTCTTTCCGCCTTTGAAACCTGTTGCCAGTATCACCAAATCGGTCTCCAATGGCGGCTGATCGTCTTCGGCTTTGATCCCTTGTTTACAGAAAGTAAAGTTCCGAGCTTTCGTCAACACGATGCTTCCTTCTTCGACCCTGTCGTAGAACTTCTCAGGAAGTTTCGCCAGAAGACACGTGCTAAAATCCTGGAGAAAGCTCTGCTTTGGAATCATCCCGTGTTTGGCCAATGGATGCTTGCTCTTGACCACACTTTCCACCAATCTGGAGACTGCCCATCTCTGGTTTTGGAAAAACTTTATCAAATTTCCGTATCGAAATGACCAAAATTTTCAGAAGTGGAACAGAGAGGACTTACAATTGGGGAAAGAAGTGTGGCGAGAAGACTGAGAAAGACACCTTCTCCAGGTTTGTGAATCAAGAGCTCTGCGAATCGAGTGAAACATAGGTATGGCAATGGCGGGAACCAATCGGGGAAGCTCCATCTCTCTGTTCTGTACATTACCCTGCACGGATTTTCCTTCCCTGCAACCCCACGAAAACAGAGCAAAAAAACAGAGTCATAACCATCGATTTCGGCAACAAAATTAGACCATGGTTCTCTCTTACCATTCGCTTCAGAGCATTCCATTGCTATATCCAGAGCCGTTTTCCGGAAACCAACAACAGTCACTCTCTTTCCTTTGACTAAATTCCGAGCCTCCTCTGCTTCCAAATCGGAATACTCCATGGAATGAATCACCTTCCCCGGAAACGCTTCAGGTCCCTGTCCTGAACTAAACTGTGGAAAATTCGGCACGTCGCTGAACTTCCCCAAGCAGAGCACCACAAAATCGGCTTCGTAAACTTCACTCTCCGGCGAACACCCGCCGGCGCCCGCAACTTCAACTTCCCATCTCGCTCCCCTGGATCCGAAACCCTCGCCGTTTCCTCCCCATAGATGCCAGCCTTCCATCTCCTCCTCGGCCACTCCCCTGTAGTTGATGCCAACGACTTTGGCGTTGAATTTGACGTGCTGAGCGAGTTGGAACCGGTCGGCGTAGGCCCGGAGGTAGTCGACGACTTGATTGTGAGTCGGGAACTCGACGGTGACGGAGTCCGGCCAGGGAAAGTCGGAGAACTGGAAGGTGGGTTTGGAATTCTGGAGCTTGGTGGTTGACAGGGTCTTTCTCCAGACTCCTCCGACGCCATTCTGGGATTCGAAGACCGTGGGCTGGAACCCTTTGGAGAGGGCGTATTTGCAGGCCAGGAGGCCGCTGATTCCTGCTCCGATTATGGCTATCCGCTTCTGATGTTGATCCGCCATTGTTTGTTGGCGATTGATTGGCAGGGGGGGAGAATGGGAAATGTTGGATTGTCTTGTTACTCTATTTCCACCCCTTGCGACGAAGCGATTTGACGAAATGAAGCACCAGGCCGACGAAGAACAAGACAAAGAGAACAGCTAATTGATTTGGATGGCTGACCCTTTTAATGGATTGGATGGGGACTTGCCAAACATTTGGTCGCTTGCCCCAAACTGACTAGGAATGGATGGATTTGTTGGTGCCAAACAGGAGCGCACTTTTGCATAATGCCATTTTAGGTAATTATAAAACTCATTCCTTTGAACTTTGATGGAAGAAATGTCATTGGGTAGAAATGTAGAATAGAGTCCACTGACAAAGTATAGTCATTTTGGGTAGGGGCTAGGGGTGGGAAACGGTAATCCGGTAAACGGTTTACCGTTTTACCGAACCGGTAACCGGCGGTAAACGGTAAATCATTTACCGGCGGTATTGGTAGCCAAGAGGAGATTTGGGTGTGTCGGTATACCGAATCCGGTATCGGTAAATACCGATGGTAAATCGGTAATACCGATACCGAATCCCATGTTATGCGTTTTTGCCCCCCACGCATCGGCAAGCTGAACTACGTCCCATTTTTCTCTTCCCTGAGCTTGCTCGTGAACATAAATCGCCGCCTCGCCGTGGCGGATGATCAGGTGTACAGCGACGAGAAGATGCAGGACGAGTTGGTGCAGTGGCTGGAGCAGCAGGAGTACTGGCGGCGGAACTACGGGAGGGATCACGTAATCGCCGCCGGAGATCTCAACGCGCTCAACCGAGTGATGGACCGAGTCAAGAACTCGGTGCTCTTGCTGTCCGATTTTGGCCGCGTGAGGCTCGATCAAGGATCGCTTATCAAGGACGTGATTGTACCGTATGCTCACCGAATCAACCCTTATAAAGGCGAAATCGGAGTGAAGAAGAGGAACACTCTGCTCTTGTTCATGGGCAATCGATACCGGAAAGATGTAATAAAGCTTTCTTCCCCCGTCTCTGCTTGATTGAAGAAGCTTTCTTTTATTCTTTTTCTTGTTTCAGGGAGGCAGAATCAGGGACTTGCTATTCCGATTGCTGGAATGGCCATTGGAAGCCGGTCACGAGAAAGCCCTTTGCGGTAATTCGGTAAACCGGTTTGTAACCGTTTACCGGTAATTCGGTAATCGGTAAACCGGTTACAAACCGGTATCGGTAATCGGTAAACAGTTTGGCCAGCGTCGGTATATCGAAACCGGTAAATTCGGTAAACGGTTTACCGTTTACCGACCGATTCCCACCCTTAGTCAATACCGGAACAGTTTTTCGGGGTTAACCGTAACCAAACAGCACCCGCACACCACATAAGAGGGTACTTAAATGGGGACAATTAGTGATATGACTTGTTTTGCGATTTGTGGTTAATCGTACCTTCTAATTTCGACCTAGTATGGAATAAATAAACACTTTAAGTTTCAATTTCGAATCCCGAACTTGGCCCAACATGTTTTCCTCTCGACTGTTCCAGCTCGACAAAGGAAAAGCTTCCACCCACCTGTTTTAATTTCTAGGGTTCCAATTCATCGTTGCTGCATCTCGACACTTTCGCCGCTCCAACTGGAAATGAGGAAGAGTCTGTTGTTGTTGTTGTGATGATGTTGTATCTTGGCGCTCTACCGCTCCAACCGGAAGGAAGAAGAATTCGCCATCGATGCTGTGTTTTTTTTTTTTGTGCATCTTGGCGCTTCGACTACCCAACAGCATCGGCATCTCTTCTCCATTTGCATCGGCGCATCTCCATGCTACCCCATCTCCATCCGCCCATTGTTATAAAATAGCCAAAAAAATTTGAAGATGTCAGACAACTGTAATAATCATTTGTTAACTTCTCCATTAACTATGGTGAAGTGGTTGACATGTCAAATAATCATATAGGCATCATCGAATTGCTTGTACTAAAATATTCAAGAACGAATATTAAAATTGATTGGTGATTGTCATTTGTGATGACGATGAGGCGATGCGACACACGTACATCAATATTCATACTTGTCCAATATTCAAAGCGGGCCAAGTTGGGTAATACGTGTGATGGTACGGGACGAGACAAGTCAACTCATTATTTCATTATTACATGCTATTTGTAGAAAATAAAAGCAAATAATCAATTGTTTAATGAGAAAATAAAGTGAAAATGCTTCATATATGAAAGGGAGAGACAATGAAATGAACAGTTGAGTATGATCAGTTAACAAAAACGGAGTCAAGCATTTATTCAAAGTTTTATGGAGGTTTCAATATGATTTTAAGATAAATTAAACGAGAAAAAATACAAGTAGCAATCAAAATACAACAAATCGAGAATCGAAAGAGAAGACGAGGGATAGAAGATTTATGATTTATGACACACATCCCAAAGACCCAAACCCAAGCCCCAAATTTGTACTTTTGGAACATGATCAAGGAGAAACGTAGTCGGTTGGGCCATAAGGCTCGAACAGTTCGGCCCAAAGCCCATTCTTCCTTCTCGGGTTCCAGCCCATGTCCTTGCACAGCTGATCGTTGTACCATACATGGACGGTGGCGATGGATGACCTGTGATAGGACTCGCCGCCGTATTCCTTGAAAAACACATCCCAATTCGCCGCATCAGCTTCCATCTTCTCGATCGCCGGCAGCCTGAACTTCCCGTCCAGAAGCTCCGCCAGCCACCGGCTCCTCATCTCCGACGTGTACAGGTTCGCGATGCTCTCCGAGTGCCCCAGCACCGCCAATTGTGGGATTCTCGGAGGAATGCATTGCCTGGTTCAAGCAATTCGTAAGCTTTTAAGTTTTAAAACGCGATTTTAATTATACTAGTTAGGATAAAACAGTTCATCATAACTACCTGTAAAGTGGAACGGTAGCGTTTGGAAGGCCGACGATGATTTCGCGGAAACGTTTCGATCCAAAAATGTCCTGGAGCTTCTTCTCGCCTTTGAAACCTGTGGCCAGTATCACCAGGTCGGCTTCCAATGGCGGCTGCTGCTGCTTGTTCTCATCCTTATCACCACCTTCGACTTTGATCCCTTCCTTACAGAAGCTAAAGCTCGGAGCTTTCTTCAAAACGATGCTTCCTTCCTCCACCCTGTCGAAGAATTTGTCAGGTACCGTCGCGATCAAGCAGGAGCTCACATCCTGGAGAAAGCTCTGCTTCGGAACCAGCCCGTGTTTCTCCAATGGATGCTTGCGCTTGATTTCCCTTTCCACAAACTTGGAGATCCCCCATCTCTGTTTTTTGTTACACCACACAAGAATTCAATTTCCCACATAATAAAGTTTGAAATTTTCAGGTTGTGGGTGTCGATGGAACAACTAACGAACACTTACGATTGGGGACAGAATTGTGGCAAGAAGGCTGAGCAAGATCCCTTCTCCAGGCTTGTGAATCAGAAGCTCCGAAAATCGACTGAGGTACAGGCATGGCAATGGCGGGAACCAATCAGGGAAACTCCATCGCTCTGTTCTGTACAATACCCTGCACGGATTTCCCTTCCCTGCAACCAAATTGTCAAAAAACAGAGTCGGTTTCAGCAAAAAACACAAATTTGACTGCAACTCTGTCTTTTTCTCTCTGTTTCCTTCTTACCGTTGATTTCAGAGCATTCCATGGCGATATCCATAGCATGTTTCCGGAAACCAACGATAGCAACCCTCTTCCCTTCCACAAGCTCTTTACTTTCCCCTGCCTCCAAACCAGAATACTGAGTCGAATGAATCACCTTCCCCTGAAAAGCTTCAGGCCCTTTTCCGTTTGGAAACTCAGGAATATTCGGGACGCCGCTGTACTTCCCCACGCAGAGTATCACAAAATCCGCCACGAAGATTTCAGTCTTATCGCTCCCATCGCTTGAAACTTCGACTTCCCATTTCCCTCCCCTGGAGCCGAAAACGTCGCCGTTTCCGCCGCAGAGCGCCCACGCCTCCACTTCCTCCTCTGCAACTCCCCTGTACTCGATGCCGATTACTTTCGTGTTGAATTTGATGTGCTTCGTCAGTTCGAAGTGGTCGGCGTAGGATTGGAGGTAATCAAGGACTTGGTCGTGGGTCGGGAAATGGGTGGCGACGGATTCCGGCCACGGGAAGTCGGCGAATTGGTAGAGTGATTTCGGGGTTTGGAGCTTGGTGGTGGGCAGAGTGTTGGCCCAGAGTCCTCCGACGCCGTTTTGGGATTCGAAGACTGTTGGGTTGAAGTCCTTGGAGAGGGCGTACTTGCAGGCCAGGAGGCCGCTGATTCCCGCTCCGATGATGGCTATCTGCTTCTGATGATGATGATGAGCCGCCATTGTTTTTGGTTTCTGGTGATGGAATGAGAAAAACAGAGCAAGCGCCTGGCCATTATATAAGCAATATAAATGGATCTGGAAGTGATGATGCCGGTTGACTCCAGGGTGGATGGATGAACTATTTTATGTGAAGATGGAGGGTTCCTTGTCTTCTTCCAAGCACTGTAATCAAAATGGAATTGGTAGGCGTATCTTAGAAAATCCATTAGAGAAATGGATTTTGTAAGATTCTGCTGGCATTGATTGATCTCTGAATCAGTGATTTTTGCTGCTGCTGTTACATTGTGATTGGTTGTCAAGTTTCTGGGTTATTATAGAAAAATGGTTTCTGGGTTCCTTCATGTGAGCAGGTCGAGATTTTGCAATTCTGTATAGAATTTTTTCAGTGATGGTCGGTTAGGGTTAGGAATATATTATTGCTTGCCAGGTTAGGAGAGGATTCGTGCACCCTCCAACCCTTAAAATAGTCATTCTCTTGATGAAGCGTGCATAGGAAATTCGGATTAATTTATATTGAAATTCAGGATGTGCTGGGTTTCTGAGTTTTGACACTTGGAGCAGCAACAAGCAGATATTCGTAGTCAGCTAAACCACTTGTTGGATGAAACTAGCTTACTTTTCATCCTATACAAGAAATCTAGCTTATATCGAGAAGGAAATCTACTATATTTGTTCATCCTATACTTATCGAGAAAGAAATCTACTATACCTATGTTTGGCCCAGCTTTTAGAAGTGTTTTTCGGTTTCAAAAGTTGAAGTAGGACTAAATGAGTAGTCAAAATGGATCTTGTTAGATTTCTTTTATATTAAATCATATGATTTTATAATTTAGTGAAAGATGGTAAAAAAGAGGAGTACCTCTCATACTCTACACTACATCAATAGTAGACCTATAAGTAAGTAAGACCACCTTTCTATAGAAAATGAGGTTTAGAATAAACTGGACATTACTATCATAATCATAAAGAACTAGTATGGAGCCCTCGCCCCGCGGCGCGGGATCTTCAAGTTTTTGCTAACGCATTTAACTGCATGCTCTTATGCATAAGTTTATTAGTTGCATCCATTTATTTCAATTTGATAACAAAATGTTGCAGACAAAAGATACTTATATATTGGAAGCTACAAGAAATTTGCATTGGAAAGAGGGTTACGAGCCTCAACACTAATTCATTCATGTTTTGCTATGGAACGATAAGCTGACCAAAAGGTAATATCCAAATTTTGCTCTAGTCGCAGGCTATATCACAAAAGTAGCATGGGTAACATGAATAAACTGCAGAGTCGGTGAAATTGACAAAACAAACTAAACAAAAAAAAATGTAAATGGAAGACCAGAAGATAACCCTTTCCAAATGAAAGAACACCCACCACTTTCAACTCAGACCTGAACTTTGGACAAACCAACTTCCAAAAACCACAAAAAAATCCAACAAAAAAAATACAACACAATATAAATTATCTGTAAACAGGAAAATATGAAATTGTAGCCGGTCTAAAGAGTACTCAAGTCCTTGGATTTTGAGTTTCCCCATTGAACTCCTCCCTGTTTCCTTGCTTCAGTTCACCATTCATTTCAATGGCTTGTCATTCTTTCTTCTTTCGCTTCTTCTTCTGTATTATCCTCGTCCTCATATGAGAAAGGAACACTCATAAGCTATAGTCGGAATTGATTTCCACCACTGATTTGTGAAAGAACGTCTCCTAGCTAAATTTAGAATGAGTTCAGTTGAGAAAAGGTAAAAATAATGCCTCGTTGAAACCTCTAACCATCTCCCCCATCATCACCAGCATGCTAACACCATTTAACATTGCTAAAAAAAACTCATTTCAATCTCGATCATTCATGTCTATATGATATCCTAGATTGAGAAACGTTACCTGCAAGATTAAGCTAAGAATGGTTGGGCACGGTGGCGGATCCAGGGCTGGGCCAACCCAGGCCCCGGTCCAGCCCTCCTCCGGATCGAGAGTTAGTTTAGTGCTTATAAAATTTTCGATTTAGATATTTGTCCCAGTGCTATTTAAAATTCTGTCTAGTTTTATTTGATAATAGGATTTTGTGTAACTAGGAAAATGGTTCAGATGAACATATCCAAACCATTACTCTAAATTTATACTAAATTTTCTATAGCCCCAATGATTTTATTTGAAAAAAGACATGAAAACCTAAAAGTGTAAAGTTTCATTAAAAAAAAAACTCTAAACTAAAGCACATCCTTCCTTTTAAAATTCAAAAAATTTCCCAATTCCCCAAAACAAAACAAGAACGAGGAGACGAGCAGATCCAAAATGGATTTCTCCTCCAGCCCGTTGAGCTGGTTTTCTTTCCATTCTTTTGATTAAGAAAATATTTACAAACTTGCCGAGTCGTGATTTAGATTGCCTTAATTGAGTGGGGCACTAGATTCTAACCGTTCTTTCTGGTGTTTTGATGAAGAAAATATTTACAAACTTGCTCAAGAGTTTAGCCTCGAGACTTTGAAGACTATGAGATGCATTTTTTTGGAGAATGTGTGAGGATGAAGTTTCTTCTCTTGCAAAATTATTAGAGAAACTAGAGGAAACAGGGATGGACACATAATACAAATTGATTTGTCGGTTGATTTGTCTAGTGTTGACCTAGCCGTTTCAACAACTACCATGAAGAGAATATTTTCAGCAATGGAACATGAACATTGATTTGTGCAACAAAATGAGCGATGAATTTCTCGTTGATTACTTAGCTATTTTATTTGAAAAAGAGTATATTATCAGTATGGATGGAGATTATATTATTGATGAATTTGCTAAATTAAAATAACTTCTTGTACAATTGGCATTGTAATGAAAACTATATTATTATATATTTTTGTTTATGATATTTAATATTCTATTCAAATACGGCTCAGTGCTTTCTTATGTCCTGGATCCACCTCTCGTTGGGCAAGAAAGGACCCATTAATATCCTTGGCACTCCAATACACCTTGTGGTCTCCTCAATTCTTTCACGGGCTTCCAGTAGCATAAGAAACGCGTAGTTAAGATGATCCAGAACCATATATACAACCTAATCTTTGTACATTCTTTCCACAGATCTACAGCAACTGCAACCATACACCCTGCCTTTCAGTTTCAGGCAACAAGACAACTGTTGTCCCATCCCCCGTCGTACTCTGCTTACATTTGCCCTTGCGTCACCCATGAAACTAACAGCTCATTTTATCACCTTCAAGAGTTGCAGGTTTCATCATTCAGATCCAGCCGAAGTTAAAAAAGGAAGGGTTCACAATCGCTAACCCACAACAATGGCTTCCACCACTAAAACCCAGCAACAAGTTCACTTCGTTCTGTTCCCATACATGGCGCAAGGCCACATGATCCCCATGGTCGACATCGCCAAGCTCCTCGCATCCCGCCCCGATGTCGTCGTCACGATCGTGACGACTCCAGTCAACGCGGCGAGGTTCAAGTCCCCGCTCGACAGGGCAATCGACGAGCTCCGCCTCCCAATCAACGTCATCTCCCTGCGGCTCCCCTGTTCCGAGGCAGGGCTCCCCGAAAACTGCGAGAATGTCGACCTGCTCCCTTCCATCACCTCCCTCATCGACATCTACCGCGCCGCGGCGTTAATGGAGCCACAGGTGGAAACCCTCTTCGAGACCCTGGAACCACCTCCCAGCTGCATCATCTCCGATTTCTGCCTTCCTTACACGAACCGGATAGCGAAGAAGTTCGATGTGCCGCGGATCAGCTTCCACGGGTTCAGCTGCTTCTGCCTCCTCTGCCTCCGCTGCGTGAAGCTCCACGGGGACGAATTCGAAGCGATGTCCAAGCACGAATACTTCGTCCTCCAGGGGTTTCCGGGCGGAATCGAGTTCACCAGAGCGCAGCTCCCGATGCATTGCAAGAATCTAGCGAGCGATTCGACCAAAGAAGGGAATTTGGATGATGTGAGCCAGGCGGAATCGGATGCTTACGGGTTCATTGTGAACACGTTCGAGGAACTGGAGGCAGAGTACCTGGAAGAACTCAAGGTGGCGAAACAGGGGAGGGTTTGGTGCGTTGGGCCCGTTTCGCTGACGAATTGTTTCGAATTGGATAAGTTGGAGAGAGGGAACTCCTCCGTCTCATCGTCCTCGTCGTCATCAGCTCACGTCGACCAATGTCTGAGATGGTTGGACGACAAGGAGCAAAATTCCGTGATTTATGTCTGCTTGGGCTCCATATGCAACCTCTCGTCAGCACAGCTTATGGAGCTTGCTCTGGGGCTCGAGGCGTCAGACAAGACGTTTCTGTGGGTCGTTAGAGAGATTGAGAAGACGAAGGAGCTTTTTCAATGGATGGAGGAAGAGAAATTTGAGGAGAGAGTCTCTTCGAAGGGCATGGTGATACGAGGATGGGCGCCCCAGTTAATGATCTTATGTCATCGTTCGATCGGAGGGTTCATGACGCATTGTGGATGGAATTCTTCCTTAGAAGGGATTAGCGCGGGGATCCCACTGGTAACCTGGCCTCTATTCGGCGACCAGTTCTGCAACGAGAAGCTGATCGTCGAGGTGGTGAAAATTGGGGTGAAAGTTGGAGCATGGCGTCCCACATACTGGAATGGAAACGAGACGGAGGAAGTGTTCGTGAAGAGGGAGCAAGTGGAGCGGGCAGTGAGATTGGTGATGGATGGTGGAGAGGAAGGAGAAGCAAGAAGGACAAGAGCAAAAGAGCTCGCCGAGATGGCGAAACGAGCTGTGGGAAATGGAGGATCTTCTCACACAAATGTTACCACGTTGATTGAAGATATCATCAAAGAACAGAGGAAACAGTAAGGGAGGCATTGTATTAGTGTTTATTCAAAATTTGGTGCCAGAACCAAAAAAAAAATCAAAGAACAAAAATGTAGGAATCTGTCAATTCTCTCTATGCATTAGTTTATTCAAAAAATGAGGGGGGAAAATAAACAAGATCTTTGGGAGGGGCAGAGTACTCTGTTTTTTAGTGTTTCTTCCATTGAATCAAAATTTCAGTCGATGTTGGCAATGACGGCGTCGACGACTTCTTGTGTGGTGCTGTCCCCGCCGATGTCCTTGGTCCGACACTTTCCATCCGCAATAACCCTCCCGACGGCGGTCTCCAGCCTGTCGGCGAACGACGGGAACTGGAGATGCCTGAGCATCATGGCCGATGAAAGCAGGAGAGCCATTGGGTTGGCCTTCTTCTCAGTTATGATATTTTCATTCTTCCCCACGTTTCCAGCCGACGTGCCTTGCTCGAACACAGCGTGGTCCGCTCCCACGTTCCCTGCGGAAAAAAACATACAAATCGCGCGTTTTGATTCGATTAATTCAATAACTCGAACTGTTGAGAGAGATCGACCGAAACCCTTACCTCCAGGCATGAAGCCTGTGCCTCCGGCAATGCCCGCGGCCGTGTTGGCGACGAGGTTGCCGTAGAGGTTGGGGGTAACCATGACGTCGAACTGCTCGGGCCGGGAGACGAGCTGCATGCAGCAGTTGTCGACGATGATCTCGTTGTAGGCGATGGCAGGGTACCGTTCGGCGACTTCTCGACAGGATTCGAGGAAGAGGCCGTCGGCGAGCTTCATGATGTTGGCCTTGTGCACCGCCGTCACCTTCTTCCGGTTGTTCAGGTAGGCGTACTCGAAAGCATACTCTGCAATCCGCTCAGAACAGTGCTTCGTTATCACCTACGTACATAAGCCCATCAAGAGCAAATGAGGGAAAGGTAGAAGAACAATCTAAGTATGAGAAAAGAGCACATAGTTGCAAAAAAATTAACGATATTCCACTCTATTCCTCGGCATTGTAACTATTACCAAAAAATCATGTGATCAACAAAAAGATAAGATGGTTAAAACATCATCCAAGAACAACATTGAACCCCTTCCCGAGTTTAAATCTAGAGACCAATATTCATAATCATAGCATGTCCACACAACTATCACCACTATAAGGAGAACAAAACAAAAACAAAATAACGATCATAAGTTTAGAAGAAAATAAGATACCAAATGAATATAGACATTATACTAGATAACAAGATCTCGTACATTTTCTTATCTCTTGATGATAACAAGAACAATCATCTCTCCAGGAGATCAAATCTCGACGGCGACATTCTGAAACCCTAGCTAATATAACTCACGCATAACCTTAACTAAAAAGATCACACATACACATCCTACAATCATCAACAACACATCACCATGCTAGACCAATTAAAGATTTAATACATTTTTTATTGTCTATGGACGATAGAAACAACTTTCATCCCTCTGGGAGATCAAATCTCGAGACCGGCATTCTGAAATCCTAGCTAGTATCTCCCATGCCGAACCTAACTCAAAAGATCAAATTTACACATCCTGCATTCACCAACAGCACATCACAATCATACTATCTCAAACGAATATGAACATTATGCTAGACCAATTCAATATCTCGTACATTTTTTATTTTATTTCATCTGTTGACGATAACAAGAACACTAGTCATCCCTTCCAGAGCTCAAACCTCGAGACAGACATTCTGAAACCCCATCTAGTATCTCCCCATGCCGGCTAACCTAACTCAAAAGATCAAATATAAACATCATACATTTACCGACAACACACCACAATCTCAAACGAATATGAACATTACGCTAGACCAGTTCAATATCTCCACGTACATTTCTTTTTTATCCAGATAGAAAGAACAGTCATCCCTTCCACAACTCAAATCTCGCGACCGACCGGCATTCTATAACCCTAGCTAGTATATCCCACATCTCACCTAACAATCAAAACATACACATCCTCTACATTCATCACTAACACATCACAAATCAAACAAACAAACACACTAAACCACAAACATCACCAAATCCAAACAAATCAAATTTGAAAAGGGAAACCTTAAGACTCTGAACAACGCCGGGAACCACCTCGTGCTCGAGCCCGGCGTACTCCCCCTCCGTGTTCTCCCTCACCACCACGATGTCCACCTTCTCGTGCCGAATCGGCAGCCCGGGCATGTTCCGGCAGTTCACCAGCGAAGCGTAGAGGTCCAGCTCCTTCCTCAGCTGCACGTTCAGAGAGCTCACCCCGCCGCCGACGGGGGTGATCAGCCCGCCTTTGAGGCAGACTTTGTTCCGCCGGATCGACTCGATCACCTCCGAGGGGAAAGCCTTCATGTCGCCGCGCACCTCGTACCGCTCGAAGTAGACCGGCGCGTGCATCGCCTCCATCACCTGCTCCACCGCGCCCGTCACCAAGGGGCCCATCCCGTCGCCGGGGATGAGGGTTACGGCGCGTGGGGTCCCGTCGCCGGGACGCGGCATGTACGTGATGGAGCGGGCCGCCGTGGCGGGGGAGAGGCGTTTCAGGAGATCGGGGAGGGATCGGCGCGCCATTGTTTTGTTTTTGTGATTGGATGTTTTTTTTTTTTGATCGGGAGGAAGACGTAGGGATTTCTTTTGTCCTGTTTTCTTCCTTCTCTTTACGGTGTTGTTATTGTTATGTCGAGGGGAAAGGGAATTTTGGGTATTGGTTAGTTTTTTTTTTGAAAAATTATCTTTTAATATTAGGAATTTGCATGGGAGTCTAATGGTGAACAAAAAGTCGGGAGAATCGGATTGGATGTTGGTTGGACCAATAATAGTAGGGGGTGGTGGAATGGTCCGGTCCGTACCGGATTAAATTGGACAGTACCAAATCGAGTATACTGTGGTTTGGTTTTTGTTACTCGTTGATTTTATGATTGTTGAATAAATGATAGACTGAACTTATATTTGAACCTAATCGAATTGGACAGAATGCAATAATGATTTGGGTTTTTATTTTAAGATGTCTTTCACTAATGGACCGCGGTTCTTATGAGTTTATTTGGAACGAACTGTTGTACACCCCACACCAATAGAGAGGAAGTCTCGTGGAGAGGAAATAACTTTCTTAGTATTCAAATTGGATATTTAAATGATATTACTTGTTGAATTCAACCATATATAAATATTATGACGATGGAATTAAATATTATGTTTAATTATGAGTATTCGTCATTATGTTTGTAATGTTGTATTTTATTTAAATATGAATCTAGACACTAGAGAAATTGTATTAAGATACGTTATATATACGTGATGTTACTAATTTTTAGAATCAACATATACCGAGTTTAACCTCGACCGGACCATACCACTTGTGAAACCAACATGTTCGAACTATATATATAGAAGTATACAAGATATATGAATTCGGTACAGATTAGTGCACTGTGAAGTGTAAACACAAACAATTTTACGTTGTACCATAACACTAAATGTACAAGTTAGAGTTGCATCATAAGTAAATTTGACATTTATGTTGTAGTACAACTTCAATTCTTCAAGTTGTATCATAACTTAAATGTACAACTTTAGTTTGTACCATAAAGAGATTTTATAAAAGAGTATACGTACAACCTAAAGTTGTACTTTAACATTAAAGATACAACTTCAAGTTGTATCATAAAAGTGCTCTAAAGCATTGGAAAATTCCTCAGAAATGTGGATGAATCAGGTACACAAAACTTTCCCCCGATGACAGTGTCAACACTATGTAGTAGGAGAAGTGGAGAACCCGTAGCCGTAGTATTCAAAATCACAGAAAAAAAAAAAAGAGGGGAACCAGTTTTCAATGAAGACTGCCCCAAAATTTCCCATTAACAGAGATTACCTACAAAAATATGGTCCACCGTCTATAGATTGTGTGCAAATCCCAAAAACCAACTCAAGCTAATCTCATCTGATTTAAATGAAGAAAAAACATCGACATACAGGGGGGAACTATGTCATATCAGAGAGTAATAATGGTTCTGCTGAGCAGCAGCCTTTCGAGTTTCCCACGCAAGATAATTGGCTACCTCATCTTCCAAATGCATATGCATATACAAAGAACATATGGGAATCTACTGAGCAGGCGCAGGTGGGTTAGCACTACTAACCCCCAATCCCATCTTTTGCCCCAACAGAGTCAACTGATCCACAAACTCTGGACCGGTCAGAATCTCCGTCGTCCCATAAACAATATGCTTCACTGGCTGCTGCCTTTGAGCAAGCTCCTGCAACCCTCCATACTCGACATAATTCCCTCCACCAACCATGAACACAATCGCTTCCTTGAACGGGCCTTTCAACCCCCCTGCCCCGGAGCTCGACTTGGGGGCCCTCGGATCAAGCACGAGATAGTTATCAATCTCAGGATTCGGTTTACCTTCCATCAGGGCCTCCACTGTCCTAGTCAACGCCAGTTGTCTACCGCCTGACAGCAAGTTCTTCACGCCAGCAGTGACAGCACTCAATGACTGACCGTACAGCTTCTCTGCCCAATCCACAATGTTACTTCTGCTTGCGGAATTTGCTGATGCAAGCTGGACGTTCAAAGACTTGATCTTCTTCACATACTGGAATGCACAGGTGTCGACTTCTGACTCCTTGAGAGCCGATTCGACTAGCTCCGCCTCTTGTGGGTTGATGGTCTCTGAAGATATGAGGTAGATGATTGCAAACCTCAGTTTGTCCATCTTGCTTCCTTTCCCTTTGAGAACCGACATTAGCTCGCTTCTATCAATCCCTCCTTTGATCATCATGTCATTCTCCTTGTTAGCATAGGAGTCCAAAGACCTCTCCTTGATCTCACCTAGCAAAACTGTTGCAATGTTGGTGTGCTTATCAATCACCTGCTTTCGTTCAGTCAGCTCGGGCAGTGAATTGACTGCATTCATCAAATGCTTTGTGTTACCAATCAAGTCGGTTCCTTCAAACTCCGGCTGTCCATCAGCACCGCCTGTCCTTCGATTCACCTCATCGACATCTTTCTTGTACTTGTTCAGCTGGGTCTCAATTGCCTCCGCGACTTCAGGGAACGCGAGAGATCCATTTGTAAGCCAGAATGGATCTGAACTGTCCAATTCATACGATCTCATCCCACCCTTCTCTCCTTGCACAGCCAGCCTGTTGAGCTTCAGCCCCAGCACATCATGAACAAGTGGACAGTACCTGAAATCGTGTTGAATCCCAACAGCCAGCTCGAAATTCCTATCGAACAAGCAAAGAATGGGCCTTTGAAACGAGCTCATGAAGTTGCCACCCTCAGAGAACAAGTTATTCTTAGCTAACAAGTGATCCCTCAACTTCTGATCCAAAGCTGAAGCTACCATCTCAGCAGGGCCTCCACGTGGGCATCTAATCACCGGGACAACCGCCAGGGTGGCCAGCACACAGAACAAGCCACTCACAATCTTCTCGACGATCTCCTCAATCTCCTTATCCCCAGCCGAAGGATCATTCAACTGGACATAAGTAGACTTCTGTGCTAAAGAGAACAAGCTATCCTCCAGTGTCACAAACTCCAAGTACTGATCATGAACCTTTGCAATTCTGTTTATCGAATCCGAGCCTAGGGTTCCCGAGGCGAGATCCTCCAGGAGTGGTCTGGGGATGGAGGACGAGAAGTTCAAGTGCAGGCTGTCGTAGAGGCCACGAGAGGCGTCGGTGATGATGCGGTGGATGTTGGGTTGGCACGGCTGGACGAAGTACACAGCGGGTACATCGTGGACCGGCTTTCGATCTTTATCAATGAGGAAGTAGAGGGTCACGCCGTGCTTGCGCAGATCCTTGACGTGGATCAATGGGGAGAGGATGTTTTGGCAGAACTTGTCGTAGATCAAGATCTTGTACACTTCTTCATTGGCCGTGCCCGTAGAATTCACGGGTTGGTTCAGATTCAACATCCTGATTATGCATTCTGTACAGCACAAAAACGAAATCCCAGATTCAACAGAGGAAAATTTTCAGCGATTTTTTCAGCAAATTGACCGGATTGATTTCAGCCAAACCTTAACATCCAGAATTCGAAAGATAACAAAGAGCGGGGCTTTCGAGCTGATTTCGGATTCACTAACTGTTCTGGAGTAACAATGGCTAGAAAGGAGATCTGGGCAGCGGAGGAAGTAATGAAAACCCTTACCTGTTTGCTTCTGGCGGAGATTGAGTGTCATGATCGCGATTCTAAGCTCGGGGTCGACTTGCTATGCAGTGTGGCGGCAATTGGGTGGCGAATCGAAGGAAGAGCTAGGAATTTCTGCTGGCAATTCGGCAGTTTTTGGAGGATTCTTGAGGGAAATCTTAACGGGCAAAAAAGGGAGTTTGCAGAGTTTAAGCATTGAAAAAGCTTCGCACATCCGCAGTAGCAAATAGCAATGGGTTGGAATTTGGAAGAGTTGGGAGTTGGGACGTGCGAAAATTGGGCTTCGGATTGAGGCCCATTAGATGTATTGGGTCGATCTAGATGCCGAAGCAAGGCCCACTTGGACAAAAGTGGTTGGTAGTCGGAGGAAGGGATCGCCGGAGCCCGGAGCGTAAATAAAAAAGTGGCGAGAGATTGCGGCGGCGGCATTATCTGTTTGCTACGTAGAAATAGGGATGGCAATGGGTCGGGTCGGGGACGGATAGTGCATATCCATTACCCTACCCAAAATAGTTCGGGTTTTACCCATACCCACATGTGAAACGGGTAGAAAATTAAAATCATGCCCATACCCGTTCGGGTTTCGGGTATCCACGGTTATCCATGAGTAATGATTTCTCTTCATAACTCCAACCAATATGTTAACATTCACACGTATTCTCACTTTACTTAAGAAGAAAAGTATGACAATAATTCACTAGAATGAAGAAAATTAATTAAAACAACACAATTTCATGAAAATATTATATTTATATGTTAAATGTAAAATATGTTAGAGAAATATAATGATTATTTATAGACAAAATACATATGTATGTGTATAATCGGGCGGGTTCGGGTTGGATAGTGAGAAACTCATGTCCATCCATTACCCGCAATATTCGGGTTCGGGTTTTACCCGTACCCACTAAATGTCCTTCGAGTTCGGGTTTTGCCCTACCCGTTTAGACCGGGTTCGGACTGATATCCACGGTTACGGATATTTTTGCCATCCCTACGTAGAAATACCAAATATGCGAAGGCATTGGGCGCGTCTGTTAAACTTTGGCAGAGGTGGCCCACTGCTTAGGGCTTTGTTCAGGTCCATTAATGGCCGGCTTGGTATGTGAGCCCATTCAGGTTTCTTTCGATCCGTTGATAATGTTCAATAATTTTTTCTTTTCTTTTTTTATAATTTTTTCTTTTTGGTGAGAATGTTTGTAACACCCTAACCCGATAGGGTGCTACTTTTACCAAAATACCCTTATAATTCAATGAACATTAAATACATTGAAAGGTAGCGGAAGCGTCATACTAAAGAAAACAATAGACATAAAAGTCAACATGGCTTGAAACATCTCTTGACGTAATAAATATCATCGTAAAATCACAGCAAGTCTCTCGTTCCACTAAAACGATGAACTTAACTTCTTGATTCTGGAGTCCTCTGGAGCCATTGATGAACCGTCAAATCCACATGCGTGCTTATGTGCTTCTATGATTCCTGAATGCGGGCCCCGAACTCATAACAACATATGCTTGAAATAAATAAACAAAGATGCTAGTGCAATGCTTGGTACATGATCATATGCTTAAAATCAATTGAATCTTAATTCTTGTGAAAGGAGGGCCCCAAACTCGACTCAACTAGCACACCGACCGGCACCAATCATAACATACGCATATGTGAGCTTCCACCTAGTGGGAAGACACATCTTACTCATAGACTTCCACCTAGTGGGAACTAAGGTAACCGCGTGCTATCTAAGCAACTGACCGGCACCGGCATAACTTATCATAATCATAAACTTCCACCTAGTGGGAAGTAAGGTAGCCGCGTGTTGCTAGTCAAGCGAGTGCTTAAAACATATTCTTACTTGATAACTTGGTAACTGCTAACATAGGTCCATAAACTTGCTTAAAACATAACTTGTATATGTTTGCTTCAAAACGTAGCTTCATGATGAAATGCAATGCCATGCTTGCTGAACATAAATAAAATTTAGGTTTCTTTGTTTTTTTTAGATGCATAATCTTTGGAGCTAAAATTTCTAGGCTAAATTTAGAGTAGTGATTTGAATATGTTCACCTTGATAATTTTTCTAGTTAAACCCAATCATATCATAAAATAACACTGGATCGAATGTCTAAAATCAAAAATTTCATAAGGACTATACTAACTACGAATCCAAAGGAGGGCTGGGCCGGGGCCCGGGTGGCCACCCCTGAATCCGCCAGTGGGAGTGATTTTGTATTGTTGAGGGAGCACCGACAATTCTTCTATCGCCCCACTCCATCCCTAATAAATTCTCTAGCCATTCACGTCATTGGCATGGGTTGGTTTATTATATGGTGGATCTGCTGCTGCTGCTGTTGTCTCATGATGATGCAGATGATAAGATAATAAATCATTATGTGTGGTGTGGAATTGCTTGTGACAATTGTGAGGCTTTGCAGGAGAGTGGGCCGTGGGGTGAGAGAGATGGGACGTTTGGGTGAGATCAATTGATAGGTGGGTGTAAAAGAGATAACTGCAATTATTTTAGGAAAGGGTAATTAGGGAAAGACCAATTTTAAGTGTGATTTGGGGTGTTACAATGTTCAATAAATTTTCATCACTGATAAATGCAGCAGCAACAACAACAACAAAAAAAAAAAAAAAAACGTTTTCAGGTTTTAGTGTTCATCGTCCTTATTTTGTATTGATTGTCTACAAAATTATTACATAGCATTTGTTCAATTCTCTTTCAAAATATATATGACAAACAATGATTGAATTTTGGCATAACAAATGTTTTACAAAAATCAAATTAGAAACAGTAAATACGCTTTCCATAATTGAGGGTGACATCAGAATCATAGATGAACAACCTTATACTTATCAAGCATCTTTATTCACAAAGAAAAACAAACACACTATTCTTGCAGAAGCTGATAGCATCACGTTCGAAACCCTAACTAATCTGCCACGAGTCTAAGATTGTCCAAAAAAGACATTCCATTAAGACCTTGCTTGTAAGATTGAGTGAGGAAATCTTCCACCGTGGTCTTCCTGTATCTCGGAGGATTTTCTTCCGACACCAGCTCTTCTATGGGTCCATAAACTCTCGAACCCGATGCATATCCAACACCGAAGAAGGCAACAACCGACGCTCTCGGTCCAACGCTCTTCACCAGCGCTCTGTGCTTCACGCTCGTAAACCTGTCATTAGACATCACCTGAAGCAGATTCGCGATGTTGACCACAATACCCTCTGAATCGGGAGGCACGTCGACCCAATGATCCCGATGAAGAACCTGAAGTCCTCCGATGTGGTCCTGTACGAGCAACGATATGAACCCAACATCGGCATGTTGGGTTGTCCCCAAAGTTAGCTCCGGTTGAGGACAGGCTGGGTAGTAATTGTACAGCAGGTTCACTCCCTCTGCGCAACCCATTTCCTTCAAGTGATCTGGCTTCAACCCTAGAGCCTCAGACAGCAGCTGGAAGAGCAATTCTCCAAATTTCAGTATCTCCCTCGAGTACTCTGTTACGACATCTCTGCAACAAGCTGGTAACTCCTCTGGCTCCGGCGGATCTGGTGCCATCTGAAACATGATGGTGTCCCTCCAATTGATGGTGGGAACTGTGTAAATGTTCAAGTTGCTGTGGTGGACGACTTTCTTCCTCATGTCGTGGCTGTAGTATTGCTTCTTCTCATCCACATCCAGCTCAAAGAATCTATGACGAAACCCATCATGTGAAAAACCCATGTATGATGATATACAAATTTCGTAATGGATGGGGAAATCGACAATGCAAGAAAGTAAAATAACAAAAAAAAAAAAAAAAATTTACGTGGTTCACTAACACGACGTGTGTTAGCTAATCCACAAACAGGAGAGATCAATTTCACTACACTTGAAGCGACATACACCCTATGACTTGTAATTGACGGCAGATAATCTATTTTAAAAAGAGTAAATGCCACATTTGATCACTGAGATTACTAAATCATGTCATGTTTAGTAACATGGGCGGAGGCTAACGGGAGAGTGACTAAATGTGACATATTTCAGTAATTCGAGTGACATTGATAAGAAGAAAAAAAAGTAATTCGAGTTATCGGAGTTAAGCGGAGGCTGCCTGTTTTAGTAATTCTAGTGATCAAAAGTTATATTAATTTTTTCTAGTGAAAACACAACACGATTTAATAATTTCGATGACCAAACATCATTTACCCATTTTAAGATCATAACAAGATGTATGTGAAAATTAGTTCTATGTTACCTGTGGGCTCCGGCTTTCATTTCCGCGACGAGACTGGCCGGGAAGCCGTGGTTGACGACTTGGAAGAACCCCCAGTTGGCCGACGCGTCACTGATCTCCGCAACAATCCGCTTCCGCTTGCCGGGATCTTGTTCCCACGCGCCGCCTTCCAGGTCGATGACGGGGAAGACGAAGTTGGGATCGCCGGCTGCAGCGGTAGGGTAGTCGTGGAGGAGATGCGGCGGCGCGTGGAAGAATCGAGGCAGCTCGGTGATGCCGGCGTCCGCCAACCCTTTCACGCCGGCTTTTGATTCGTCGAATGCCTTCAGCTCGGCGATCCGGTCGTAAGGCGCGGCGGCGGCGGCGGCCATGTCGGGAAATTAAAGGCTCTGTGGTTGTCGGTTTTCTCTGTGGGTAAAAGGTTGGGTTTTAAGATGAAGAGAGTTCTCATCTAAGCTTTTTCTCATGTTCGACCTATATATTGATTATTATATCTCTTAATCAAGTACCAGGTTGATGATTAAGGCTTTAATCATGCAAGGCCAAGCTCGCCGGCCGAGTTTAATATTCAAATTAATCAGTCATTATCAGCTCTCAATATTCTAATTAATCAGTCACCACCCGACCGGCCGACCCCCATACCCCTTCTAGTGATGGCAAATGGGATTGGCGAGCTTCTCATTTTCAAATCCTATATATTGATTATGATTACATCCCTTAATCAAATACATCTTTTTAATTCCTCGCCATGCTTACCATGTTGCTATTCCTAACATCATTTGTTTCATTATTAATTTATCACTTAGATCCCCTCGATCTTCTTCATTAATTCTCCCCAGCTCCTTATCTCTGTAACACATGTGCTAGCTGCATGCATAGTTAGTAAAATACGGTACGGGAAAGTTACGTAAAAGATACGTACGGGAATTATACTTCATCTTTAAGCTAAAATTACGTTTAATAGTACGTTAATAGTCATAAATATATAAAATTAATCATTTTAAAAATAAATAAATATATAAATAATAGTAAAGTTAACAATTTAATTCGTAAAATACGGATAATAAACGTGTTATACGGGTTTTATACGTGTTTAGTACGGGAACCATGAAATGAACGGGGGAAAATGAAACGGCTTGACAATAATACGGATACGGAAGTTTTAAACGGATAAAGTACGTACGGGTACATATACGTGTATTAAACGGAGTATTTACTAACTATGGCTGCATGTTCAGCTTCTATTATATATATTTTTTTTATGATAATGGTGACATATATGGTAATATTCCGAACCTTTTCGCGACAAAATATTGAGATCACTCATATTTGCAATGCTCTACAGTGAGCATCACGTTTCACTTTGAAATTCTTACAAAAACTCTTCTGTTTCACCACAAAACGCAACTTATATGTTAAAGTTGAGTTTTTACTTATAAATCATGAATTTCTCATCTTGATAAATACTGGGAATTTTTGACATTCGAACACAAGATCTCTCACTCGTCGAAGACTCTAGTAAAATTACGATAGAGCGGGTAATCGATAATGTAAAGTAAGAAAAAACAGACACATATATTTACATGATTCACTAACACAATATATACTATGCTAGTTAATCCACCAGAAGAGGGGAACATATTTCTTCGATTTGAATAGAGTATAGATAATAAACATACTTGAGAACAAAATAACGGGAGTGGTTATAACTAAATGACCCCACTTCTGATTAGATGTCGAAGAGAGTATTTATGGAACCTTTTTCCTAACACTTCTAAGGTAATAGGTTAGCATGGTTACTTAATTTTAGTAATCATCGTGGCTACCAAAATCTACACCATTCATTATCTCTATTTTACATTATTTTTAAATTAACGGTGAAGATTAGATTAAGAGTAAATTTGGAAATGAAAAAATACCCCACCTTATTACTTTATATATTATACTCAAACCCTAATCCTACTACAACTCATCTCTCTCCCCATCGTCCCTCTTCCCTCCCCGATTTCCTCCGCCTCACACCACCCGCTACCTCCCGTTATTTAATTTCCTCCTCTCCCTCGGATGATCTCCTCACTCTCTCTCTCTCTCTCTCTCTCTCTCTCTCTCTCTCTAGGAGCACATGAGAGGCTTTGATTTGATTTTTTTATTGTTTTGGTATTGGTTTTCTTTGTTTCGTTTTATGAAATGGTATAGTTTTGTTTTTCATAATGGTATTGATTTATTTATGCAATGGTATTATTTGATTTATATAATGGATTGGTATTGATTATCATGTAATGGTATTAATTTACATGTTTTGATTTTGATTGAATCTGCAATCGTATTGGTGTTTTGTGAAATTGTAGTGTTTTTATTTCTCGAATGATATTGGTGTTTTGTGCAATTTTGGTGTTTTTCGAAGTTGTAGTGGTTGTTTAATGGATTGGTATTGGTTTCTTGTTATAATGGTATTGGTGTTTTTAGAAGTGGTGGTGGCTAATGGATTGATAGTAATTTTTTTTTTTTTTGCAGAAAAAATGAGAAAAATAAGGAAAGGATGTTTGTAACTGCACAAAATGTAATTTATTATAAAAATTAATTAATAAAAATTATTTTTTCATACCCAACTTACCTTACCTTACCTTAACCTGTCCCCACTTCTAAGCACATCGTTTTGAACCATGGAAATAACCATTCATTGAAAATCAAATGTTTTATGAACAACCCCAAATGTCATTTATCTAATTAGCCCGTATTTTTGTATATTAACAAATAGATAATGAATCTTGACATGTAATAATATTAATTAATTTTCCATGCGAATGATGAAAATCTAATTAAAATATTAGCACGCAGTTGCTGCAATTTATTACACGAGATATTGCAAAATATTAATGTTGAAAGATCATGTCCAAACTTCTGAATGATCCGTCTTCCGTTGAATCTGATCCGTCTTTTCAAAGCGTTGTAAACTCTTTCTTTTATTAAAGAAACTGGTTATATTTAACGTTTAAATCTAGCTATTTAGCTAACGATATATGCAGATGATAGATCTAGATCTAGAAACTAGCTTCAATGTCGGATCAATTTCGAATAAAGCAATACAATTCTTCAATTCTGTTTTCTTAGCTATTGGTGTTGAATGATATCTAAGAGTAGTTTGGTTGGTAAAGTTTACAATACATGCATGTACATAATCAGTGACGGATTCAGAAATTTTATATAGGGGCGTCCTCTCATAAAAATTAAGTTAAATTAATTATTAAATAATTATTAAATAAGAAAATATCTGACTTGTCCAAATTACAACAAAGCACATGACGTGTTTTGTATTTCGAAAAAATTGAAAAATACAATCGGTGTCTAACAATGCTCTACAAATCTCTCTCAATATATCTCACTAGACAAGGGGAGCCCGTAATTGGGTTTAATTGTTAGTTTTTGAACATAATTGCGATAAGAAATAGCTTTTAACTATTATATTTGAATTTGAAATACAAGAACAAATGAGTTATAGTCTAATGAAAAATATGTTTACTAATAGTAGCAGCACCCAAGTTCATATCACATAGGGATTCGAACATAAGACCACTGAATCATAGAAAGCTTTGATACAATGTCAAAAGCGAGTTGATCCCAATAACTCGAGTTATTGAGACCAGTTGATTTATGACATGTTATAAGAGCTAGTTTGTCTTTGAGATCACGTGTACAAGTTCTCACGACCCCCGATATTAAACTTTGTCTTAATGCACATGGTGTGTTGGCTGGCCTTGGCCCTATGCAAACTTTAAACTCATTACTTTACTTTCATTTGAGGGGACGTATAAGAAAATGGTTAAATATCATTCATGGACCTCTGCCAACAACATTTTGATGAATCAGATGGCAATTCTGGATGGATTGTTAGGGATTTATCGTGCACCCTCGCACACCCCACCAAACTCCTTAAATAAAACTTATACTATTATTATTATTATTATTATTATTACATCCCTTAATCAAGTAGGGTTTTTTTTAAGATCATGCATTAATTAAATATAGGATTGATGATGAAGACTTTAAATTTTAATCATGCAAGTCCAAGCTCGCCAGCCGAGGCTAATATTCTAATTAGTCAACGGCAATTATCCATAAATGAGGCTCACCATGCTTACCTTACCATGTTGCTCTTCATAACCTCATTTATGTCACTCAGACACTCACCAGTCACCACCGAACACTCAGATCCCCACGATCTTGCTTCCCATGTACTAGCTGTTAGCTTCAATTGTTTTTTCTTTTTGTTGATAATGGTGATATATACGGTAACACAATCCAGCATCGACAAAGCCTGAGAAATATTCATGGTTTATAAATAAGAAATCGATATTAACGGAGAAGATGCGATTTTTAGGTGAAATGAAAGAGTTACAAGAACTCAAAGTTAAACGTGTTTAGCGTGGAGCATTACAAGTATGAGTGACTTATGATAAGTCCCCTTGATATGTACCTCAAGGCAAAAATTGTGCATGTGTATGCCCAACGCAGACAATATCTTGGTCGGAAAAATGATATCAAAGCCCCTCCGCGTCCCTCTTGAATGAAAACGATTATATTTAATGCTTAATTTAACTAACAATACATGTCGAACATAGACCTATATTTAGAAACTAGCTTCAATTTTGTGATAAATTTTGAATAAAGTAACAATTTCCCTACGCTTTTCTTAGCTCTTGCTGTTGAATGATATCTTCGATCAACATGGCAACATTTTTATGAGAAGATCCTCCATTTCCCACGGCTCGTCTCGCCATACCAGCAAGCTCCTGTGCTCTCTTCCTTCTCGCTTCTTCTTCCTCTCCACCATCCATCGCTAGTCTCACCGCCCTCTCCACTTGCTCCCTCGTCACCAACACTTCTTTCGTTTCCTCCTTCCCATCCCAGATCGTGGGGCGCCACGCTCCAACTTTCACACCTGTTCTCACCACTTCAACGATTAGCTTCTCGTTGCAGAATTGATCCGCAAACATAGGCCACGTCACCAATGGAACCCCTGCACTGATCCCCTCCAGGGAAGAATTCCAGCCACAGTGAGTGAGGAACCCTCCAACGGAAGGGTGGGACAAGATCAGCACCTGCGGCGCCCACCCTCGTATCACCATCCCTCTCGGAGAAACCCTCTCCTCGAACTTCTCATCCGCCATCCACTCGAGAAGCTCCTTGGTCTTCTCAATCTCCTTAACAACCCATACAAATACCTTCTCCGACGCCTCGAGCCCCAAAGCGAGCTCGATCAGTTGAGCCGACGAGAGGTTGCATATAGAGCCCAGGCAGATATAAATCGCAGAATTACATTCCTTGTCATCTAACCAACTTAGACACTGATCGACACGAACTGACGACGAAGAGTTCCCTCTCTCCAAGTCATCCAATTCGAAACGTTTCGTCAGCGAAACTGGCCCAACGCACCAAACCCTCCCCTGTTTCGCCTCCTTGAATTCCTTCAGGTACTCTGCCTCCATTTCCTCGAACGAGTTCACAATGACCCCATAAGCCTCCGACTCTGCCTCCGACTCCGCCTTCCCTAGATCATCCCCTGGCTTCTTCGACTGCAACGGAAGCTGCTCCCTGGTGAGCTCGATTCCTCCCGGGAACCCCGGAACGACGAAGTATTCGTGGTCGGAGCTCGCGCAGCTCTGGAATTCGTCCTCGTGGAGCTTCATCAAGTGGAGGCAGAGGAGGCTGAAGCAGCTGAATCCGTGGAAGCTGATCCTCGGCACGTCGAATTTCTTCGCTATCCTGTTGGTGTAAGGGAGGCAGAAGTCGGAGACGATGCAGCTGGGAGGCGGATTGAGGGTTTGGAAGAGGGTTTCGACCTGAGGCTCCATTAATGCGGCGGCGCGGAAGATTCCGGCGAGGGAGGCGACGGAAGGGAGCAGGTCGACGCATTCGCAGTTTTCGGGTAGCCCTGCTTCGGAGCAGGGGAAACGGAGCTGGACGACGGTGATCGGAAGGCGGAGCTCGTTGATTGCGCGGTCGAGCGGGGATTTGAATCGGGCGGCGTTGACCGGAGTTGTGACGATGGTGACGAGGACGCCGTGGCGGGAGGCTAGGAGCTTGGCGATGTCGACCATGGGGATCATGTGGCCTTGTGCCATGAACGGGAAAAGGACGAAGTGCACTTGCTGTGGTAACGTCGCGGCGGCGACTGTGGGTGGTGAAGCGGCCATGTTTTGGGTTCGGATGTTTCTCTTCTTGGGAAGAAAATGGAGAAGAATGGACGATGGAATTGGTTTGTGGTGTCCGAAGGAGAACTCGAATAAAGTTGGGTCCATCACTAGGGGTTGGTTTCGGTCGACCCGATTCAAAACCAGATCGAATCATGACAGAATTTAATAAGAAACATAAGAAGAATCAGAATCAAAATTGGACCAAAATCATGTTTGATTTATTTGGGCTGGTAAATTTTGATTTCAATCCATTTTTTTTTATATTTAAAATAATTCTTAAGACTAAAATTGAACATAAATTTATTCGATTTAAATGACTCGGTATCAATTTGGTACAATTCGATCTGATTTGATGTGAATTGGATCTTAACCCACGAAAAAAATAAAAATAAAAGAAGCATATGATTCCATTTCCACTTGTCTTGAGAATGTAGATCTAAAGCTCCGTTCTTGCAATTGGGATTAGGAGTGTGATTAACTAGTAATTTAGTAGGATTATCGGTGTGTGAATGTGAGGCCGGCGTGGATAGTTAATTAATAATTTAACGTTGCAACTAGCTCTAGGAGGAGTTGGCGTGAATTGCGTGGGCTGGAATAAATTAGACCCGTTATCTAGAAGTGGGCTCCATATGACGGCCCAGAGAGTGTTAATTGGGCCAGATTTGGATGCCCGGCCGGTATGAACAAAATCGATTGGTCGTTGCTCGTTGGTCACTGACGATTGCTGATATTCTTCTGCCAATCCCCCCGCGATCGCCGGAGAGTGAATAAGAAAAGTGGCGACGGAGATGGCGGAGAAGGAGGAGGCGGCGGCACCGGCACCGGCGCCAGCGTTCTTGAGGAATAGATACTGGGTACTGAGGCATGGGAAAAGCATTCCAAACGAGAAAGGAATCATCGTCTCCTCAATGGTTACTTCCTTTCCCCCCACTTCCCCCTTTACTTTCACGAATTGTAAAGATTGAATTTTTACAGTATTTAGTACCAACCTAGTGAGCGTTTTCTGGTTGAAGACTATGTATTTTGATCACCAGTGTCTGGGTTTCTGCTGGATTCACATTTGCTTTATAGTATTTAGTTATTACTGACTGGTGAGCATTTGAACAGGAGAATGGCATCCGTCCAGAATACCAACTCGCCGAGGAAGGCGTTATTCAGGCACAGTTGGCTGGAGAATTGCTCCTCAAGGTTACATATTTTTCCTTTTCCATTGGCTTTCTGAAGATTCCGTTCTTCTACAATGTTGCCAAGCAAACTCATTGCAATAAGGCTTTGTTGGGGAACTTGTAAAATCGTTTGGTGTATGCAGGAGTTGAAGGAAAACGGTATTCCACTTGATAGTGTGAGAATCTGCTATTCTCCATTTGCTAGAACAAGCCACACTGCTAGAGTTGCTGCATCAGCTTTGAGTATCCCATTTGAAGGCCCTCAATGTAAGGTCAGTATGTTAATGAGCTCTGCTCTTGTGCTGTCCCTCGTATGAACTATGCATAAGAACAACACACAGCAGTCTAAGAGTGCTGAGGTATCCTCAGCCATTTTGTTCTCGAACAGAAGTAACCAGATTCAGCGCAGTGAAAGTTGTTGTTTGCTGGACTCTGCGTTTGGTTTCTAGTTCCTAACCGCACTGAATGAATCACATGTTACTACATCAGGTGATTGAAGATCTCAGGGAACGGTATTTTGGCCCTTCGTTCGAACTTAAGTCACACGATAAGGTTAGTCGATGTGTTCATATCGTTTGTAGTACTGTTTCAGTTCAGCTTTACTTTTCATCCTTATTATTGGTTTTTCTATTCGATAACAGTATGCAGAGATATGGGCACTTGATGAGAAGGACCCATTCGCGCAACCAGAAGGTGGAGAAAGTGTGAATGATGTTGCTACCAGACTTTCTACTGTCATCTCAAAACTAGAGTTGGAATTTGAAAGGTGAGTACAACTAATTATTGCTTGTCAAAGAAGTCATTCCAACATTTGAACCAAATTCGATTCTGACATATTATTCAACTACAGATGTGCAATCTTGGTGGTTAGCCATGGTGATCCCTTGCAAATCTTGCAGACAGTACTCCAAGCTGCCAAGCAAGAAGGACCAACAGGGAGTGAAGACGTTGTGTCCAGACTCCAAGCAGTCAGAATCCCTTCTGTCTTATCCCAGCACCGGAAGTTTGCCTTGCTAACTGGAGAACTGCGAGGAGTTGTATGAACTAGGGCCGAAAATATAAGGCTTTCCGATTTCAATTCATGGCTGCAGATGTAACAAACAAAACCAAAATGTTGATTTCATTAATAGCAATAAGCATCTGCCTATCGTTGTGCACTTCTGTGCGTGTAATTTCCCATTGAGCGTTAACTCTTTCAGCTGCAATGGTGATGAAGATATGCTTAGCTAAATTGAAAGAAACGAAGTGGGAGTTCTTCAAACAAGGTTACCAAATTTTCTTAATACATTCAGAGTCATAGCAGCATCACAAAAATAGCAAGCTCTCTATAGATACTCTATACAAGTTGCAATAATCATCTGGCCAGTTCTTTTACGTTTTCTCCTAATCTTTAGTAATCCACCTGTTGCCCCTGACCTGATAACCACCATAGCTCTGGTCGCTGTTGCTTTCTCCCCCACTCTCGCCACTATTATTATTACTATTCCCTGCTCTCCGTCGATGCTTCTTCGTTCTTGTTACCCCGCTGTCACTCAAACTCCCATTTAAGAGAGGGTCATCTATACCACGAATGACTCTCCGCGGGGATGATAAACAACTATCATCCTTCGTTCTCTTCTTATCCTTATCATGCTTTCTCATATTCTCAGAGATCTTGTGTAATTTCTCATTGAATTTCGTGATTCCCTTCTCCACTGGCTCCACTGCCTGGGTTACAGTGAACTTAACGTCGTTGACTATCTGCAGAAGGTATGAAAAGTGAACATTCAGAACGAGACAAATGCAGGAAACACAGTATAGATAAAATGGCTTCAGTCAAATACTTGATAACCGGACTCATAAAAACATAAGGCGTGACTGGTAGATTGTTGAGATGGCTAGATTGTTCAGAATTGAAAGCCTTTTGAAATCAATTGTTGGGTTAGCAGTCAGTCCACCATTCAAATCCATAAGCCAAAACGGCAGGAATCAAGTCTTCACTAAAGTAGGTAGGGTTAGTAGCAACCAGTATGGAAGCTCACAACATGACAACATTATGTTAGAAATGGAGTTGCGAACAATTTTCCTAGTAGTAGTAGATGTATGCATCAACCACTTTCTTTCATCTCAGCTAAGTGGCTACACAACCATTGAGCTATTCATAACAATTGGCGTCATAGTTTCAAAATAACTTACAAATCCACCGCCACCAACAACCACATCCCGCATACTTTCTTTCAGTGTCATCCCGCTCCTGACATCTTCATCAGGCTGGGGGAGGCGTAGTTTAGTAGGGCGCTCACTGTCCCTGACCTCATCGGGATCTATAGGGCAATCCACTGATGCATAATCTCCAAGGACAGAAATTGTTCCGGTGAAACGATCTCCCATCAGTGCATATGGCTTTGCAGGGAAAACATACAGATGAACAACCGAAGCAATGCCCATCTGTCCTGGATGAATCCATCAGACCTGTTAGACCTCAATCATCTCCAAGAAAAAGAAATTACTCTAGATATATGATTTCAAATACCAATTAGACTATAACTATGATGACACGAGATCGATCGTCACCAAATATACCTCAACACAGATTATGAAGTCCTGCACACTTGACTTGAATTCCAAGGCTTGAGCGATGGGACCTCGGAACAAATTGAGGGAAGAGAGAAGTGCGATTGTGACTCCTTGCCACCACGTCAGAAACACAATCGATTTGAAGGTTAAGAATTTATATAATGGGTTTATGTGGGCTAGCTCATGCTTTGTTACGGTGTAGAATTGCACTAAACAGTAGAGAGCCCATGACTGGCTAAAGTTTAGAACTACTGCCAGGTAAGGATACCTGAAAAACCAAGGGCAATACCCAAAAATTCAGATGGTACAAACTTATATGCTTGTCAAAGCCAGTGCAAGAAACATTGCGAATTCAATAACTTAAGCACGAAGCAGACAAAACACTCCATTAAGCATTCATAATACAACTTACCCACAGTTCCATTTGAACTCGCCTTCACAATAGACTCCAAAGGCCTCAAGAACTACAGCTGAAATCGAAGTGAAAGCCTTAATGATCATCTGCCAAAGATAAGAGTGAACGAAGTTTCAAGCTAAGGAATATTTAGAAAACAAAAACAATAGTAAACAAAATGTGTGAATTTCAGGGGAAGTAGGAACATACATATTGAACAATACCAAACTTCACAACTTGGTAAAACCACCGGCCAAGCCTCCACGGCTTTACGAAATAATTCATCGGAAACGGGTGCTTAACGGTTCCCTTCTCGTGACCATGTTCTAAAAGTGGAGTCTTGGTGCTTGCACGCCCTTGTCTCTCCATAAACTCGACTGCTCTTTCTTCTCCACCTTTGAAATGAACAAGAGGAAATCAAGTTAAAATGCTGTCAGATATTAATCAAAACCCTCAAATGTGAACCTATTTAACCTTATTCTTGGTTTTCTGAAGGTTTTGGCAAGAGCTTCATGGAGAATACAAAGCTCAAGTGGCTATTCTAGTTCTAGAACTAACAAGGTGTGGCACTACATTCATAAATAAATCTATATGCAAAGACTACACCCCAGATTTCCTAAACAAGGTAGAAACTGGTATGCTTTCGATTATGCTATCATGACACTCCAGCAACATCTCATAGCCAACCATGTGCATTGAATTTTAAACTAAGGAACCAGCATCATTCACAACACAAGAGCTCTTAAAGAAGTTACTACATACATACCCAAGCAAGCCACAAGGTACCTCCCAAAGCAATACATGGCAAAGGATTCATAGCAATCCCGTAGAATCCCAACATCAACACTAACTGATGGATGGACCAACGATATAAACTGTCAAAAATTCAAACTCAATTCATTAAATTAATGATAGAGAAAAGGGAACAACAGCAAACACTGAAGGAGAACAATCTAGCTTATCTTACAGATTCTGTGGCATAACAAGGAACCATGAGAATTACTCCAATCAGAAACTTCTGTTCCTGTAAAAATGGGGGTGAAAAAACATGAAACAAAACTGAACATTCAGTACCGAGTGGAAACCAAAGGAGGAGCTAAAATTCCACGATCGAATTCAGAAGCCGGGGGAAGAAGAAAAACCTCAGGGTTCTTGTAAGCAGAGAGGTGCTCGAAGAGGAGGTAACAAGACAATGAGAGGCTGACCGCCATTAAAGCACCGGCGAGCATAGACGCCCATATCGGAGGAGAATAGCCCAGCAGGATGTAGTAATGAGACAAGAGATCCTGATAGTTCATTCGCCTGCTTCCCCTCCCCCTCCCACTCCTTCAACTAATTTCTGAATCCTTCTTCCCTCTGCCGATGCCCCAAAGCATAATTCTTTTTTCCCGGGAAAATTTTTCTCTCCAGGGAGGAAGATCAAAACTTTCTTCCCTTACTTTCAGGTGGAATCTTCAACTGAATTGATCCGATTAAACCCAGAAACAAAAAGACGAGAAATTTGGAGCGAATTGGGAATAGAAAACAGAGGATTTCAGTGAAGACGACGAGAGTTGGTTAGGAGGAAGAAAGCAGAGAAAGAGAGAGAGAGAGAAACGTAAAAGGGAAAACAAATTACAGATTGCGAAGAAGAAATTCAGAAAAGGAAAAGTCTGACCAGCCTATTGGCTTTCGCCCACTAATATCTGTGGGGAAGGAACTGTGCAGAATAAATAAATTAAATAATCAGTAAAATAATCATGAATTCAACTGGTTAAAATTTTAATTAGCAGTTAGTTATCCTCTGCGGGAAATTAGACAGAAAGGGGAGAAAAGGGAAAAAGAAAAAACATAGCCGCCGGAAGAAAACAGATGGAGAACGCGCCGGCGATTCTGAGAGAGTGGTTCGACCGAGTTGACTCGGAGAAAGCCGGGAGCATCACTGCAACTCAGCTCAAGGTACCTTCTTCTCACTCAATCCTCTCTATCTATTTCTCACTACAAAATTGCCCGGAGTAATAAATGAAATCGATGGTATTGATGATGACCATCTCAATCAGAGTGCTTTGGCGGTTGGCAACCTGGAATTCCCTATTTCTGTGGTTCAACAAATGATCAGGTGGCTTTTCTGCAGCTTGCCCACTTTCTCAATTCTGTATGCCTGGTTTGAGCTATTGTTGAGCTGAGGTTTTAATGGTGGTTTATGTGTGTTCTTTCATCAGGATGTACGATTTTGATGGGAATGGGACTATGAGCTTTGATGGTAAGATTGAAAAGCCTTAAACTTTGATCATGACCTTGGACATGTGGTTCCTATTGTTTGCTGATGAACTGATCTGTTGTTTTCTTGGTGCTGCATGTGCAGAATTCGTTGCACTGAACAAGTTCCTCATAAAGGTTAGAGTTTTCTCCTCTTGGTCTATAACCAGAAAACCAGAATGATGTGATGGCTGGAGCAATGATATGGTCATCTTCCTGTCTTTTACTAGAATGACCCAGGCGGCCTTTCTGTTGGTTTACTGGCTGTTAGGACTGTAGTTGAAAGTAGTGATTGCTGCAATGGGTTCTTTTGCACTCTTACTTCCTAGGATTTGGAAAATGGAAACTGCATGCCTGCTTTGGCATCCAAATTCTACTGGTGTTTGATTCATTTCAAAAGATGGCTTCCTCCTCCCTGTCCATGATGCTCTATTTTTCATCTTCATTCTGGTAGAAACCAATGTATCATGCATGTCATGAAGAATGACATATATGTTAATAGTAGCTTTTGCTGATTGTCCACTTTGCAGGTTCAACACGCCTTCTCAGACCTAGAGAGGTAAGTAGGTTGCTTTAAGCCTTTATACAATTAGAACTCCATGTACTTCTCTCTTTTTCCCCTTCTTGCATGCACAAATTACTCACTAGAAGTCCTTGTGTCGCTATGTAGCTACAAGAAGAAACACCCACCCTAATGTCGCTCTTTTGGATCTTATGGATGAGAGACTTACCATTGCAGTTCATTCTGTCTCTGTGATATTCTTGATTAGATATCTTAGTTTTTTTCTAGTTACGACGCTGCTCTTGCTTATTTGGTTTAGCTAAGATCTAGACATGTTAAGTATTGCATGCTACCAATGAGTAGTCAAAACAATGCTTGGAAGGTCCGATTCATGACTCATCAGAGGACACATTTTGTTGGTCCAACTGCTGTGTCCGTAGTTAGACTGCAATCAGTATGTGGCATGTCTGCAGTCATTTGAAAGGTCTTTCTTTCTCTTTTTTGGCAGGAATCGTGGGTACCTTGTTGCTGATGATGTATACGAGGTAGCTCCAAACATGATCTGTTATTCATTATGCTCACTTAAGTCATGGGCTCTTTTTGGCCATTGTTGTCAGACTCTTAAGTGCATCCACCTACTATAGCTTCAATGTTGATTCCATGTTTGCAGGGATTAGTAAAAGTTGGTTTCTCCCTCGACTCACCGTCTTTCTACACAGTGTGTGAGGTAATTCAGCCACTCGATCTCCGAATTTTACTGAAGTTAAATGTCAAATTACTTGCTAAGATCAAATGTATCATACCAAATGTTTGTGATAAGTTTCTGGGGTTCTCTCAGAGCTTTGATAAGAAGAAGGATGGAAAATTCCGTCTGGACGACTTCATTTCTCTCTGTATCTTTGTACAGTCAGCTCGGTATGTTTCCCCTTCAAGACAGAAATCCAATTGCTTTTGCTAACTGGGATTCGACATATGGTGATGCTTCATACCTTATTGTAATGACAGGAACCTTTTCAATTCCTTCGATACAGCTAAGCAAGGCAGAATTAGTCTTGATCTCAACCAGTTCATCTACTGCAGTAAGCAGTCACAGCAAGCTTCTGCCATCTTCTTTATAGTTCCTTTTTCCTCATAATCATAGTTTGTCAAATCCACAATCCAACTATCTGTTCTTTGCCATTGCAGCTGCCAATTGTAGAATATGAAGGAGTTACATCAGCCATTGCTCCTTCCTCAACCAGTGAACACTTTGAGCTTGATTCTTTACCCTACTTATCTCTCTTGTGTAGTTTCTTTCCTGGGAATTTGGTTATGCTAAGCTCCATTCATGAGCATTCTTGTTGATGTAATGTGTAAGCGACATTCTCACGATACCCTACTTCACGAAACAAGATGAAAAAATTGATTTCATGAAGTTATCTTCCCTCAACCATGATGAACCAAATGGACATCTGAGAAGAACTATACCTTACCAAATGAGATTCGTGTAACGTCCGAAATTTTCACATCTCTCGTCGCAAAATTATTTCTCTTCATCTTGACTCATGTCTAATGACATTATTAATATAAGCAAGGGTATAATGGTGGACAATGGTTCACATTTCACACGCACTTGATTGTAAGATCAAGCTATACTATTTGAATGTGTTTGTAATTCAATATCGATTTGTACTTTTCTTTCTCTTTAAGGGCTTCCCTAGATGTGTTCTCTCTCAAGGGTCCTTTTTCTTATGAAAAAAAGATACAGGCACTAATCGATAAAGTTAGCAGAGTTGAGGGACTTGTAAGTAAATTTCTTCAGAGAGTAAAATAAAGAAAATAGAGTTCCGAGGAGGAAAAGGGGAAAAGGGAAAAAAAGTCGATGTCGTACGAGAGGAAAAAAAGAATATTCCGCGAAACGTAAATAACAACAAGCACACAGCAATTGCCCTTTTCATCAATCCCCTCTCGAAATTGCGATCCCTACCCCTTCCGCAAGACAGAGAGAAGAAAGAACTCTTCCGATTCTCGTACAAAAACCCTTTTCCTCTCGTTTCAATTTTCCGCTCCCCGATTTCCATTCGTCCGCGCTTTTTTTTTCTCTCCATCGCCGCTGATCAGCCCCGATCGACGATTTGGGTTGGTTTTTTTAGGGTTTGTTCGATTAGTTGGGGAGTGTTTTGTGTATTGGATAATTGATTAGAGAGATGGGAGCCGAAGGAGACTCGAGTAGCTCGACGAAACCCGCCGGAAGTGAGGCAGGCGGTGGTGATCAGCCGCCCCAGCAGCAGCAAGGAGGGGAGGATTTGGTCGTGGTTAATGTTAGATGCTCCAACGGCACCAAATTTTCGGTGAGGACGAGCCTTGAGTCGACTGTGCAGGCGTTTAAGGTGCTCTTGGCCCAGAATTGCGATGTGGCCGCTGATCAGCAGAGGTTGATTTACAAGGGTCGTATACTCAAGGACGACCAAACCCTTGTTAGCTATGGTGGGTAATTTTAATCCCAATTTCATTTATCTTGGAATTTTCCCAGTAATGTGTTATTCTTGCTTGGTTAGCTTCTTTAACTGGGTTCTGGCCTGGATCTTCCGTGGATTGCATTAGCATTTATTTGGTTCAGTGCAGCTATTGGCACTTGAGTATTGAGTCGAGTGGGTTGATTAGGCAGATTGTTTCAGTTGGTTAACTCCCTACGTGTGATTGAATGGAGAGATTGCTGGGGATGCCTTTCTTCTAGTAATTTTTGTTAATGATCTATTGATTTCTGCTGTTTTTAGAGCACGTATATTTCCAATTGCTGTAGATAAGTGAAAAGGGGGGGAAAACTGAAGGGGAAGTGATCTCTGTTCGGGCGTTTTGGCAGTCCTGAAATGATTATGAGATGGGATGATGTGTAGTAAATTTTCTGTACCCTTTCAGCCGAATATTACTTGGGCCTGAGATTTGCGGATTAGACGTTGGAGATTAGGTGCATTGGCACTTGCTATACACTAGATTCTAGTTAAATTGCAATATGAACCCTGGGCTTCATCTCATGATAGACACAACTCTTTGGTCTATTTTTTTTGCTTCTCGAGGTTGACCCTTTTCTATTCGTGTTCTTTCTTTGGGTCGAAGGTCTGCAGGCTGATCACACAGTCCATATGGTTCGTGGTTTCTCTCCAGCTTCATCAACTCCTGCATCTGGTGCTGCCCCCACACCTGCAGCAAATCCCGCAAGTCAGAATACTACACCAGGCGTTACAAGGGGTGTGGGCTCCAATGAAGGTGGGCCGTTTGGTGGTGCTGGGCTCGGTTCATCTCTGTTTCCTGGACTCGGATTGAATATGCTTGGTGGTGGTGGTGGTGGTGGTGGAGGCGCTGGTGGAGCTCCTAACTTGTTTGGAACTGGGCTCCCAGAGTTTGAACAAGTACAGCAGCAGCTGACACAGAACCCGAACATGATGAGGGAAATAATGAACATGCCTGCTATCCAGAGCCTGATGAACAACCCTGATTTGATGCGGAGCTTGATTATGAGCAATCCTCAAATGCGTGAAATCATTGACAGGAACCCCGAGCTTGCACATGTGCTCAACGACCCTAGCATTCTCAGGCAGACTCTTGAAGCTGCTAGGAATCCTGAACTCATGCGAGAGATGATGAGAAACACCGATCGAGCAATGAGCAATATTGAAGCTTCCCCCGAGGGATTTAACATGCTCAGGCGTATGTATGAAAATGTCCAGGAACCATTTCTTAACGCAACCACAATGGGTAATACTAATGCTGGGAGTAACCCAAATTCAAACCCGTTTGCTGCACTTCTTGGGAACCAAGGTGGGACACAGGCCAGGGATGCATCAAATAACTCTTCAGCCACCGGTGCAGAGGGAACCCCGGGTCTAACTGTTCCAAATACAAACCCACTGCCTAATCCTTGGAACAGTAATTCTGGTAAGATGGTGGTTTATGCTCTTAAGAAACCTCCTCTGTGCAATATTCTTGCTTCATCATAGGTATTTGATACCTAAGTACTATTTATCTCTCATATTCTCACTTTGTTACCTCGTATTTATATATTGCATTCAACTAAGTGATTCTACTTCGCATTCAAGATTTTGTTAATTAGGCTCTAAGACTGGAACTTTGACTATATGAGATTCTACTGTTGTGATTCAACTTTTCCTGCAAGGTTGTATTTCGAATGACGGGTTGTGATTGAGTTCAACTATTAGGTTACTATGTATATGCATACCGTACCTGAAGCGGGCATTTATATTTTCTCTTTTACCATATTTGAAAGGTGGAAGCCAGACGACCACTACAACAAGGTCAGTTCCTGCTGCTGGGGATGCCAGGGCAGCTGGTCTTGCTGGACTTGGAGGGCTTGGTCTCCCGGGAATGGAACAAATGATGGGGAATATGCCTGATGCTGGTAATTTGAATCAGTTCTTGCAGAATCCAGCTGTTTCACAGATGATGCAAAACATGCTTTCCAACCCTGAATACATGAACCAGGTAGTGACCAATGTTTGGTTGGTGGATTCATTTTTGAGAGTTCATGATTCTTAGATTTTTAGTTTCGTTCTTCAGTTGTCATAGTTGGTATTCTCTTACTTCTAACCTGCAATGAAGACTAACACACATTCTTGCTGAGGGATGATGACAGACATCCCAAACCAGTTGATTAGCCAAGACATTGTATATTTCATATACTAACATTAGGTGTACATCGATGGTCATTGTGGTCGTGTGAAACATCATTCATTGAAGATTTACGTGTGACTAGCAATGCGGTTATATTTTTCTCAGTATGTTTGCCCTTGTCTCACAGTCCTTCCTTTTATGTATTTGTAACAGATGCTAACGCTGCAGCAGTCACTTATGTCTCAGATGAACCGGCAGCAGTCAACCCAGTAAGACGACCCCCCTTTGGAATACCCAGTTTCCGATCGTATGACTGCCAAGAAGATGTCGTTCTCTCTCTCTCTCTCTTGATACTTACCATTTTATTTTGTCATTTGCAGGGAATCTCCGCAGACGGGTACTACCCCAGGTACCCAAGAGTTGCAAAAACTTTTCTCAACACTGTAGTTTACAGGTTCATAAAAAAAAAAATTTGTCTTGAATGTCTTCTTATGTGGCAGGAATGCCTAATGCTGCTAACCTAGAGTTGTTGATGAACATGTTTGGCGGCCTTGGTGCTGGAGGTTTATCTACTCCGAACCAACCAGATGGTATTATATAATATAACCTTCTCATCTCCTTCACTTATTTGGGTCTTTACTGTGGATCTGATTATTGAAACTTCCTCACCTGCTGCATATAACAGTGCCACCAGAAGAACTATACGCGACTCAGCTCACCCAGCTTCAGGAGATGGGGTTCTTCGATACCCAGGAGAACGTCAGGGCGTTGCGTGCTACTGCTGGTAACGTTCATGCAGCAGTGGAGCGGCTGTTGGGTGGGAACAACGGACCTTGAGAGATCTTCTTGTTCTTCCCTCCTCCTCCCTTTGAATCGAAACTGCTCTCAACTTTTCCTCTCCAGTCTCTCTTCTTTTCTTTCAGATAAAAGTTTTTGTAAGTTTTATCTGACAGTCCAATCATCATCAGCGTCGTCATTGTCTTCATCGATCATGTATTACTACTAATACACACCCCAGACTACTGCTGCTGCTACATCTTTCTTCTTCGGGTCAAAAAATTGTATTTGTAAAATTGTTGGAGATAAAAGAAGTGATCATTATTATCATTGATGTTTAGAAAGGTCAGATGATTTGAGTTTGTTTTGTGGGCTTACTTTGTGCTCCCTTTTGCTTATCTCCTTCATCGTCCTCCCATTCAGTTATCCACCCATTTAGAAACTCGTCATTGTAGGTTAAATTATCAATACAATTTGCCAACTTGGAGGTTCCAAGTTTTCGAATTCGTTAGTGTAATACTAAAGGCAAACTATTCTATTTCACTCTTATTAAAGAAACAATGATCAATACAAGTCTTTCCCTTCTACGCTGTTTGTTGCAATTCTATAGAACTCGAATTAGAGTATTTCTACCATGCTTTAAAGTATTAGTATACAATTCTGTAGAACTCAAATTAGAGCACTTTTATTATGATTTAAAGCATTGGTACATTAAAGAAAAACTTTAACATGTATTATAACATTAAAGATACTGTCACGACTCTTTTGTTCGGATCGGGAAATTGGAGGATTCAACAATACAAGAATACGAAAGCACACACACGACACACAATTTACGTGGCCCACTAACACAATGTGTGTTAGCTAGTCCACGGGTAGCAAAGAGCAAGTTTCACTATACTTTTAAGAGATACAGATCACAGAGGAGTATGAGAAGTATTTTAGTACGTCTTTTGGTTCTAACCCTAATCAAAGCTAGTCCACGGGCAGTGAGACCCCCGTGACTTCCAGTCCTAGCGACTGATAGTCTGATTCAAGTCACATCAACAGGTACAAATTGAAGTTGTACCATAAGAGAATTTGCAACTTTATGTTATCGTACAACTTCAAATTGTATAATAACATAAATGTACAACTTTAGTTTGCTCCATAAAAAGATTTATACAAAAGACTATAGGTACAACCTAAAGTTGTATCATAAAGGCAAAAAATCAAAGCACCATTGCTTTAAAGCATTGTAAACTTCCTCCTCGGATTAAAATTGCAGTGTCGTTTGGAGTCTTTGATTCATTCAATTAGTTGGTTTCTGTTCATTTTGGTGTGCATCTTCCTTGTGAGTCCAAGTAAAATAAGCGGCATTTTCAGGTGTTTCAAGGTGAAAGAACCCTGATCAAGGATTGTATCGAGCTTGGAAGATTTGTTTAGTCCGGTATCACCCCAGCTCCAAGGTACGTATGTATCTATGGTATCGTCTTACTGATAATTATAATCTTTCTAGCAAGCACGAGGCGGGATTCATTGATTTCAGGGGAGTTTCAAAAGTGGATGTTACGTTCGAGATTGACGAGAATGGAATACTCAAAGTGACGTCAAGGGAGAAGATCCCCGGAGCAAAATCTCAGTCCCTAACCATCACCAACTACAAAGGAGGTCTGACGCAACAAGAGATTGAGAGAATGATCAAAGAAGCAAAGGAAATGGCAGAGCAAGACAAGACAGTCAAGGCACGTTTGGATGCCAGGATCGTGTTGGAGCGCTACGTCTATGATGTCAAGAATGCCATCTTTAGTAGTGATGCGCTGCAGCAGGTGGGCGATGAGAGGAGAAAGGAGGAGATGAGCTCTGTGCTAGCAACTTCACGTTGGTTGGACGAGAACCAAGGGGCTGCCAAAGAAGATTACGATAAGAAGCTGAATGAGCTGAGAGGCGTTTGGGATCCTATTCTGAGCAAGCGCAAGAAGATGTGAGCTGTTCAGATCCTACTCTTAACCAAACTTGTGAATGCCTGGGAAGTCCTCTTCTAATTTCTAGTTCGCTCGGTACTCTGATTTTGTTTCTCTTCTTATTGTGGGTTTTCTTTGTTTTGGACGTAATTTTGTGGTGATCCAGCAGAAACCCAGAAACTGGTGATTGAAATACACAATCTAGAACAAGAAATGCTTACTGGGTTGCTAGTAAAGACTGTAAAAATTCAGTCTTTACACTTTGGTGGAACCAAAGGGGAAAACAGGGGAAATGAAGGAAGTAACAATTGGAGGACGATGGTTCCTTTTTTATGATTATCCAATGTCTCGGTAGTCAGTACACTCAGTTTCTGTTCCTCAAGAACGTCGACGCCGGCGCTTCCTCCTTCTCCGTCAAAATAGTCGGCACTATTCTAATTCATCCTCCGGCGATCTCCTGATCCGATCCGGATTCCGGACTCCGTTGCTGTCGCCAAATGCGTTCGCGGGGCATTTAAATCTGGCCCAATAGCACCCAATGGGCCGCAATCCGAAGCCCACTTCTCGATTTTCTATTTCCTTAACTTAGTTGTGTGACCATTTTGGTATAACTCCATAGTTGCGTGACCGTATTGGCATTTTTCAAAATAAATTATTCTCCATAAGTCGGAGGAGTAAACAAGATAAAATCCTAGACTTCGTTTTGTGAGAGTAGAGAAAGAGAGAGAGACAAGGCAATAAGGCATTGTTCTTTTGAAACCCCTCTTCCCCCTTTCAATCTCTCTCTTCTTTCTTCCCCCTCTTTCTCTCTCTCTCAGCTCTCTCCGAATTCAACGAGCTAAGCTTATCACGGTAATGCTCTTCGCTCTCTGTTTTTTCAGATTCGAATCCTTGTTCTTCGTAATGCTCGGCTTTTCATTTCTCTTTCCCCTTCCCTGTCGAAGATAACTTATTTGCAGCATGCATTCATTGCAGGGTATGCTTGATTTCCTTCGACAATCCTGCTTCTCAATTTGATGGGTGTTGTTTATTTCAGGTGATTACTACAACCCATCTCTTGAAATGTTGTTGGTCTTTCCTCTTTGTCAATTCCGTGTTCTATTTGGTTGCAGAACTTGCTCTAGATGTTCAATTGCATTTGGTTAACTGATGACAAACCTTGCCTTAGCTCTAGGGTGATGTGAACTGATGCTAGGTTTGTGAACGGTTGCGCTAAGTATGGCTTCGATTTATGCTTTTGTATCAGTTGATTTCCATGGATTATGATGTTTTGACACTTGTAGTGCCAAGAATGGTATAGCTTAGTTGCTTAACATCATGCATTTTCCATGCTATATATGTGTTCCATGGATCGATTACCATCTGAAATGGTGGTTGCATCTGACCTAATCAGCTGAAAACTACTATGCTTGGGTTTAGATTTCTGGTTTTCGATTATCGATCTTTTCATTCTGCAAGCAAAGATATTAAACCTAGTTTTGGTCCCTGATGTATCTTTACTGTAAAAATTGGCTAGTAGTTGATCTGAGATAGTTTGAAGTTCTGTAGATCAATTACAATCGCAATGGTGGCTTTATCTGATTTAATTACCTGAAAACTACAGTGCTTGGCTTTAGTTTTCTGCTTTTAAATTTCCAATCTTTCTTACTTCTGCAAGCAATGATAACATACCTAGTTTGGTTCCTGATGTATACAGTATATATATTACAAAAGTAGGCTAGTAGTTGATCTGCGAGAGCTTGAAGTCTCTGACTTGCTGATTAACCACCTATTGGGAACTTTCACATCTTGCAGCTTTACCCTTTTCCTTGTTTAATTTGAATGAGTCGTAAGTTTTAAAATCGTTTGGAGTGTCTAGCTGTTGATTCAGAACAACCTGATCTGTCTTTCAGATGGTTCAGCAAATGATAGACTCCAAATTCGTTGAGTATGGGTTGGCCACAACCGAGCCAAACTTGACGACTGCTGGTGATAAACAGTTTCCAGTTGCTGTAAAGAAAGCAGCTTTGCGAGATGTTCAGAATCAAAATAGGGCTCACAACTTCATCAGCAACTCTCCATTGACTAAGAACAGTGGACAAAGTATGGATCCCATTAATAAGGTTTCTGGTACCAAGAGGCCCTCTCCCGAGAGTCCAATAGCACATAACCAGTCCCCAAATGGTAATGCTGCAAATGCTCAACTAGTTTATGTGCGCCGGAAAGCCGAAGCTGAAATTGCCAAGATTAATGCTAACTCCCCCAATCAACAAGTTGGGCACTCTGGGGAGACCAACCAGCCAAAATCAATGACTAAGGAACAACCAAAGGTTTCTCAATTTTCAGCATTCATGGCACCTATGCCCGTCGGCACCACAATAAGTACATCGAAGCCTTCAGTTTCCCTTCCTATAACACAGTCTAGTACTCCGAGATTTGCATCGGTGCAGCCCACTTATCATCCCTTTTCTGCTTCTGCTGTACCTGTGTCTGATAAAGGGAAGGGGATGAGAGTTATGCACTGGGAGGAACGATATTACCAGTTACAAGTTCTGTTAAAGAAAATAGATCAAGCAGACGAAGAGGACTACATACAGAGTAAGTTTTTCTGTCAAGTCAAATACTTATACCATGTTAATTCTTGACTGACTGTTAACGGCGTGTATTGTGTATTGTCATCTCAGTGCTCCGATCTCTTTCTTCAGTTGAGCTTAGCAGACATGCAGTCGAGTTAGAGAAGCGATCCATTCAGCTTTCTCTGGAAGAAGGTAACATAAACCTGTTAGAACACGTGATCTCTTTTGCCATATCGGATAAAACCTGAATCTAAACACTTTTAACCTATTTCTTCTTAGCGTCAGTTGGCTAGTTATTTTACTTAGATGCTCCAACTATTTATGATTAGTCTTGCCTTGCTTACATTCATTGCATATTTGATAACTCGAAAAGCCTGCTAATTCTACCAATAAGGATAAAGGAAGCTTTGCCCGACAACCCGAAAGTTGAATGTTGTTTTGTTAAGGCTAGACTTCGTTCTTGTATGCATCAGAACCATGCTACCAAATACTAGTTTAATGGAATCACTCCACTTATGGTCACTTTAATCTCTGTCTGCTCATGGGTTGTCATCAGAATGAGTTAGCACTGTCCATAAGGTTGAATGTATCCCACAAACATATAAATGCATTGCTCTCGATCTGCACAATATATTCTTTTATTGCTGGTCGATTAAGTTGCCATGTGAAGATAGCTAAAGACATCATAAAATGACTGGCTCTGTCTCAATGTTGATTGCTTGCTACAGCGAAGGAAATACAGCGAGTGGCATTCCTTAACATACTGGGGAGGAATCTCAAAGCACCACCCACAATTCAGCAGAGGAAATGACACCCTGTGTTCATACGGATCTCTTTCGGGTTATATCTACTACTACTCTTACCACTGTGGTCATCATCGTCATCCCTTTGTTCAATCGCAATTTTGTAAGCTGTTGTATGCTAGTTCGCTCTATTTGTCTCTCATAATTTTTAACTGTAAGTGTTGTATATTTGAAGTGAGTACTAAACTAATTCAAGGAGGGGGCCATGGGAGGAAGGTAAATTAGGCAGTTCCCTAACTTGAATGTTTTTGAGACAGAAGTTCACGACTAGCTAGCATTTTTATCAGAAAGAAGTGTGTTGTTATCGATTTGGTGTAGAGGATTGGATTAAATCCTTATCTTATGGGCAGTTTTTTCTGTCCAAGATTCAGACATGATATCATTGTTTCTGTAATGAACATGGCAGTTATCCTTTTTCTCGTTTATCTGATAAAACAGTTACCAAACCCAAATAACAGGAACTTAAAATGAGGAAAACGTGCTGATTTCTCCACATTGAATGTTCTTGCTCCGCTCTGGACTTTGCTATACGCAGAAGTGATCGCGGATTATTATATCGGAGTGTTACCTATATGAATTCCAAGTAAAAAAAGATCAAATAAGATCCAAAACTTTGACCAAAAATAATTTTGTTTTCATTCGATTCTTTTCGATCCAAAGTGTTCATCGAATTGAACTCGAAAAAATCACATATTTGAGAACCAAATCGCAATGTGAGTGTCAATTAGGGGAAGATGGAACTTGGCCACCTCTAACCATAACCCTGAAATTCGTTCGTTTTCCCACCTTCCTTCTTCCACTCCCCCATGTTCCGAAGTTAGTTTACCACATGACCAACGAAGAAGTCCCGAACTTTTTTATTTCTTGGTGCCAAAGCTATGAACTTTGAACTGTTTGAAGGGTGTTCTTTCGTATTTCCCGCGCAAATAGGGGCAGTATGGTAAGTGGACTAGTGGAGAAGGTGGGTTCCTCTGGATAATCACGAACAAACGACCATTACCCCCCACTAACTGTAAACCAAAGGGCAAAACCGCCATGTTTGTCTCACTTACTCTCCAAATCGGTAACCGTTTTTCTCTCTGAGTTTCCTTCTTCTTCCCCACCACTACATAAGCAAAGCTTCCCCCTTTCTTCCAACTTTTTCCGCCTGTCTTCGTTTCCTGATCACACCCTCTGTTTTTCCTACCTTCCCCTGTTTCCCCCCTAATAATTCCCAAGTTTCACCAGAGTGATTCGCGATAATGACCAACCAAAACAACGCGAATTCCAACCCCATCTTCCCTTCTTCTTCGTCGTCTCCTCCTTCCCCACTTCCTCCGCCGCAGATTTCTTCCCTCCCGAACCCTAACCACCATCGGAAGAAGCGAACGAAGTTGAACAAGATTCTGCTCGAACCCTCTCCGATTCCCCCGCCAATTTTCCCCAATCCGTTTGCATCCCCTCCTCCCGCTGCTTCTTCGTCGTCGTCTTCTTTGCCGACCCACAATGCGGCTGAGGCGGCGGCGAGTGGGAGCGCCAGGAAGAACAAGGGCAGCGGCGGTGGGGGGAAAAAGGCGGACCCATCAGCGCCGAAGACCAAGCCGTGTACGGAGTGCGGGAAGATGTTCTCGTCTTGGAAAGCTCTGTTTGGTCACATGAGGTGTCACCCTGAGAGAGATTGGCGCGGGATTAACCCTCCCCCAAATCACCGCCGCCGCCCTCCTCCGCCGCAGATTCCCCTTACGATTTGCCCTCCCTCACCGCCGCCGCCGCCGCACCTTCACGGGACCCACATCGGGGAATTGATGACGATGACCGCAGCGGATCACGAGGTGGCTGATTGCTTACTCGCCTTGGCCAATTTCACCGTCAGTCACCAATCCCCTGTTTTAGCAGCGGCAGAGCGAAATTGGGGAAACAGAGCATCCTCCGCCGCCGCCGAAGGAGGCGAATTTGGCGGCGCAATTGTACCTTTCCGAGATCACAATCGAGAAGGCGAAGGAGGGGATTCGGTTCGGTTCGAGTTATCCAGTAGCAAGAAGGTATTCGGGTCGCAACAGGCGCTAGGAAGTCACCGCGCCAGCCACACACTTTTTCCCGCGGACGATTTTCGGCAGAACAGTTCATTAGCCGAAAGCAGCAGCGCGGGTTGTGGTGATGTAAATTCAGCAGAGACGACGACGGCCGCGGTCGTGTTGGCCGGAGGAGATGGCAGTTCCGTAACCGGCGGCAACCACAAATGTAGCATTTGCCTTCGAGTTTTCCCCAGCGGGCAGGCGCTCGGCGGGCATAAGAGATGCCATTGGGACAATCAGAGAGCCAATCAGCAGCATCAGAATCAAGGATCTCAATCTTCGTCTCCGATGTTGATGGTGGACCTGAATTTGCCGGCGCCAGTCCCATCGCCGGCTGTGATTCCTCCGGCCAAAGATGAAGAGCATGAATGCTCCTCCTCCTCCCCGGTCTCTCTGTCGTCGCCCCCAACTCTGGACTTGAGGTTGGGCCTTTGATCTTGGGCCTGTTCTCTTTTGGGTCCATCGCTTTTAGGGCCCATTTTTTCCCGTATTGGGATTATGAACACTAATCATGTTTAGTTTAGATGATTAGGAGATTGTGTTAGTGTCGCCTGGATATTTGTTTGTTCATATGATGATGTGATTTGTGAGATTGTAAAACTTATTGCGCCCTTATTTGAGAGGCGGATTAGGTTAGTGTGGTTGTGTAAGAAGATTATATAGGTGTAGAAGTTTGTGATATACTAGACATTCTTGTGTTAATAAGTCGCGATGTAACTTTTTTTTAACCCTTAATGGTTGTTTGTGATGAATGTTGATGATAATAATGATAGTGTGCTTATGTTAATGTTGTAAGCTTAGTTGCAATTGAGGAAGCAATTGAGAGGTCTTGCCGGATTTTTATCGTAGTTGGACTAGTTGATGTTTCATGCTATCACTTATCAATAATGTTATATGTTAAGTTAGTCGAGTTTAAAAAACGAAGGGCTATAGTCCAACTCAAAATTATTATCCATTCGATGAATATTTTTTTTCTTTTCGGATATAGAGTGAGTCCATGCCAAAGCTCCTTTGCCCAAATCTAAGAATTTATCCACGAACTCAAGGAAGTTCAACCCATGTTCGATTGTCTATCGATTCACGTGATTACTGTTGGAAAATTATTTTAAGAGGAGTACATAAAATCATAGGAATTCGAGACTCGACTGAGCTCGAATATTTAGAGAGAGACTCGTCATTGTTTAGCAGCATAGTAATGGACACGAATGTCGGTGACACCCTGGCAAAAAAGATAACCACTCTTGAGATTTCATTCACGTCAATGAAAAAATCAACTAAAGTGATTAAGACGTAAAACTCATCCGAGAAACTCATGTTGAATAGCAGATCGCGATGACGAGGAGAACAAGTAGAAATTTGTTTGCATGATTGATGAGTTTAGAAGTTTCTTGGATGCCTTCATTTATCTTTAACTAATTGTTTGTTTAAGGGAGAGGGAGAAAGTGATTAAAGAAGATGCGGAAAAATGACTCCTTGAGTGAGTGAGTGAGCATCTACTAGGCAGTACTTGTCTTTGTATTAATAGTTCTAACCATATTGGATTATTGGTGGTTTTTGTGAGTCCCACAAACCCTAATGATGGTGCAACTCTCATCATCCATTTCCTCTGTATTTTGCTTCTTAAAAATTCATGAAAAATGTATTAATAAGTTTGTCAATTATTGTGTGTGTTGATTTATGCCATCATCCCCCATGCAGATTTGTGTTAGGCTACTTGAATAATTTAAGGCAAAAATTACCTGGCAGTATTATTAGTTTTAGTGTGTTTGATACGATGGGGATTAGGTCATTTATTCTTATCTATCTGTCGTTGTAGTTTATGTATACAAATGAACCTCAAATAATCATCGATCAATTTTATTTCACTAAAAAATTAACATTTTGTATTAGTTCATACATACATACATCATAAAGTATTTTTTATCCTAAATTCATATTTGAAGAACACCTGGTTGGATTTAACGAGTAAGATTACACATAATGCACCAAAAAATTTATATAAGTAGGCTATTGACTATGGTATCAAATTCTTAATCAAAGGATACAAATAATCAAATCTGGTTTGCTAAACTGCCCAAAATAGAAGTATTTAAAAAGGTTATCAACAACAAAAATGACAAACAAAGCCATTGCCTTTCTTTTTAAGGAAAGTCAATCTACAAATAAACTAGGAAATTCATCCAAAATAATAATGAAACAAAGTCAAACTCTATCAAATCTGTTTATTTTATTCCTACAAAAAAAAAATCTGCTTATTTTATGATTTTGGTTGAAATTCGTCCAATTTAGTTGATCATATATCTCAACCAAAACTCAGACGTAGCCATTATTAATTGATTTGTGTTTCCTATTTTGGCGATGACGACATAATTCACTTCAGCCTGATAAATTGCTTGTTAAAACACATTAGTAAGTTAGATGTTGATGATGATATAGGTGGGTTCAATTTGGATTCATTTCTCAACCCCAACTGAATAATTGAGACACATAGTTTGTGCATTTCAGGGTTAGGATGTAAGCTTGATCATAACTTAACACTATAATTATATGATCTTTGTCACTTTCATTGATGAATGTGCCAAGAAGTAGTAGCTGCATAATTAATGACTAAAATAGTTGTAGATGTAGGCCATTAAGTTTCTCAACCAACATTAATTGGCTTGGTCTATAAACATTAGTTATTTGACGAAGAGAAAAACCAATAGGTGGAGATGGTAAAAGCATAGATTGTGGGTTCTTCGAGATTCATGGGAGTCGGGATTTATCATTTTTTACGGATTTCTCTCGTATTTGAATAATAAAAAGAGAAGGCAAGAATAATTTTAGTTAGCGAGAAGAGACGTGTAATCATAAAATTAGCGAGAAGAGAATACAACTTAAACGTCAAGATAATATACAATTCTTGCAAGTCACAGAAAGGACTCGTTATTTGTTTCCCTATTTCTCATAAAAAAATGTATACATGTAAGTTAAAAATAATGTGCCACTAGTAACTGAAAATAAGAGAGTGAATACCAAACCCTAACCCTAAATATTTCTAGTTAATAACCTTTATATATCATGATGTCATCACTTTGGGCTAACCCATTTTATAACCCAGAAATAATGAATGTCTGAGGTAATTGAAAATGATTGAAGTAGTTCATCAGCTGATGAACCATCATACATTTACAAAATAAGAAAAAAATTATATACACTTAGATGTTTTGGATAACTCGTTGTATGGAACCATTTGGTTTTATTGTAGGTTTGGTATGGTTGATTGGTTTTCTCTAGAGCTTAATTATTTTTCTGACATATGAAGTTGGTTCGTATTAAACAATAACGTAACTGGATATTATAAGTACACATAAAAACTGTATTTTAAAAGGGTTGTAAAAAATAACAAAAATGATAGTATTTCTTATTATCTCTATTATCTCGACGCATCACCTCCTCATACCAAGCTCTTAAATCATGACCCACAAAGTAATTGCGCGATCGAATAGTAATTACATCACATTTAATAATAGATTGAGGGTTAAGTCCCGTTAAATATTGAAAGGACTCTGAAATTTTCACATATATTTTTTTTTCTGGAAACCCAACAACTCATTACAAATCATAATCAAACACTTCTGATAATATTATATGATGATTGGATAACATCCTTCAATTACTTTAATTAACATCTGAAATAATAATAATTATTATAAGCATATAATTTTTGCTGATTGTAATCAAACTCTATATTTACAAGATAATAAATTGTGCACTTTTGTGTCAATTTTACATCACTTTCCAGTTTCCACCCTCTTGCTAGAGCCTAGAGGGGGCTTATCAGTTATCACCACCACCACTTGCTTATATCCAACAGGTCGGCTATAACATAATAATAAAACCATTGATTGATTAATTTAATACAATACATGTACCCATCAAAATGACCTATAATTGGCCCACCATCTATTGAAAAATTGTGTTAAGCAGCTTAATTAATAATATAATTGTAGATTGTGGGATCCTCTAATTCATAGCTTAGCTGATGGTATCATTGATGTGGTGATTAATTTACTATATAATTATTATTTGTGAGCATAGGGTCTACTTAATAAATTATATGTAATAATTACAACAAAAAATTCAGTTTTTGAATTGGTTTTGCTTAGCTCAATGTTCTGTAGTTGAGATTGTTCCCTATAAAGCAACAAAAGTAGGCCATGTTGCTTTTCCTTCGAGCAATGAGATCACACCTCCCTCAAGGCTTTTGTCTAGTCACCCTTCTCTTACTTACAAATTTCTAATATTCTCGAATTGTACAAATCCTTTCTCGAAACTCCTCCGTCTCCCAACAACTTAATTTATTGATCAAACAAGTTGGATTTTTTGTATTAAGAATCAATTGATTTCGATAAACTGAGTTGTTAAGAGATTTTCAATTATAGATCTTATATCGTTTGCTGCCAATTATGAGAGCTAAAATGGAGCACTTGAGGTTCTGCTGTAGGAGATATGACTAACACGCCCTCAAACGAGTGCCAACCCATGCAGACTTGAAATTTGCACAGGTCTGAATACCATGTGCTTAACATTGGGGGGTTGTCATGATTCGGACACAAGACCTCTCGGTCTTCAAAAACTCTGATATCATGTAAAAAACCAATCGATCTCACTAACTCGAGTTGTTTGAAGGTATTAAATTATGGATCTTTTGTACTTATAGCTAAGTTTTCTCTTCAATTTCCGAAATACGAATAATTCAACTTCACAGCGAATACTCAAACATGAGACCTATATAGATCACCGTTCACTATCAAGAAACTTACAAGCTCCTCTAAAAACTAATTGAATGCTAATCCACTACAGAGATGGTTTGTGTGCAGCTTCGTTTACGCGATTCGATATATTATGTCCTTTGGTTTGTTATTAATGATTGGAATCACAACCCAAGAGCAGATTTGACTGCATATGATGTGGATTCCATGATTTGTCTCTGACCAATGGTATTGGTACACCTCTCACTTTAATCACGATTGAGCCCTATACTTAATTATACTAATCCCCATCCTTTAATTATACTTAGAATCGTGTTAATGAGGTGATGAGACGCGACGAATTGGAGATATGACTGTAAAGATTCAATGGCCCCTTGGGAATCTTAGAGGGGCAACATAACCCATAAATTGTGCCAGCAATCCAACAACCTTGCAACAGATTGGATGACTCCTAAAAGCTCCCATTAATTAGGCAAAATAAATCACTTTTTGTATGTATATTCTTGAATATTCAGAAAATATTTTTTTAAAAAAGTAAGGTTAGATACATCTAGGGTTTTTGGATATCAATGTATGGGGATGATCTCATCACCTTAATTGTCACTTTTTGATGGACAAATAAATTAAGCTTGATTTGTTTTTTTGTTTTAATGTGTGGTACATAAGTGAAACCAAGAGTGGAACCTATGAGGCAATGGAAAAAACAAATTTAGGCTAATATGCTTGTATAGGCACCTCTGTGATTACTACGGGTTTATACAGTTAGATTTGTGTTTTTTCATGTAATTTCAGTTGTTAGATATATACAATGGCGATTTTATAAAATAGAATCGTAGTTGCTGTAATTTAATGATTGGGATCAGGAGACAATCGAATAATGTTAGTTTGCACTTGCAGATAGAGGTCACATATAGATTACATTCGTGGATTGGATTCATGAATTCAAGTAGCTTCTAAATTCTGGATAACTGTGTGTATTTTGAAATTTTGTTATACTAAAATGCCACTATAAAAAAATTAGGTACCAAATGTAGTTTTGAGTAATATTTTTCTATTAAAAATTAAGATTTAGATATAACATGTATGGCAAAGCACATGCATGGTAAAAATGAATTTTCTCAGCTTTTGATATAGAGAATCTTTTACGTGGGCTTGTTAGAATAGTCAAAAAGTTAAAGGAAATATCATATTGATAGGAGAAGGAAAGTGCAAATGGGTTTTAAGTTTGCTTTCCATTCTAGCTTATTGGATAAAGTGGTTAGTGGGTTTTTGGAAAAAGTGTGAGCTATTTAATTAATTACCAAAATTATTTTGATTAATTAATTCTGGATAATTAATTGATTTATGACTTTTGTGAAACGACGTAACCCTTCGAAGGGAATTGTCGTTTTCACAATAAAAGGCTTCTGCAGCCAGATTTTTCATCCAACGCTCATCTTCTTCTCCTCGTTTTCGTTCTCCAAAAACACAAACACAGAAGTCACGAAAGGTGCTGCTTTCTGACTTTGATTAGAGGGACTATGGGGGTGGTTTGCCTAAATCCTACCAGCAACAACGTAGTAAGGGCAAATAACACTCTAAGTAGAGTGATCAAAATCACGCTTGCAATCTCTTCCTACCGTTTTCCTTGATAATACCTAACCCTTTGTCCAGATTCTTTGTTCCCAAAGAGAATATTTCTTTCTTCGTAAATGAAGGCTACATTAGGAATCCTTTTTCCCTAAAACTGACAGCTCCTCTTGCCTCTTATTCCATGCCATACATGGCTCCCAGCTTTTCGCAGAAAAGAAAATGCTTGGGAGGACAGAATGCAGAGAATATCTGAAGAAAGGTAGGAGAGAGTGACAAGTACAAAAGCTAGCTAGGTGTTTGGATGCCGATTCTGTACTCAGACTCGTTTGCTTTTATCTAAATTAAATTTAAATTCTTGATATAATGTTGTTTTCTTTTTGAACTTGAGTTGTTTTTAGTATTTTTTATAGGGGTGATACAGGTTTAAATTTTTTGTGATTAAAGTACTATTCAAGAGATTCGAACATGCGAACTATAGGTTCTAAACCAGTGATATTGTGATTAAGACCACAAGACCAAATCCTTATTCGTGTTTTTAGTTCTTTCTTTGGCTTGTAAATTGTGTTGCACTAACAATGAGCAAAAAGAACATGACTAAAAAGATTCAAGCACGAGATCTCTCTAGTTTATCCGAACCAAATCGGTTATAAGTTTATATTGTGCTTACCTAGGTGCAGAATTGCTGATAAATGCCCACAAGAGGCAGAGGAACGTGGACAAAAGTTCTGAAACTAGCAACAATTCTTTGCCTTGTGGCACCCACCCACTCATTTTTCTCGTTTTGTTTTGTCTTGGATGGGTCCTATGTTCGTTTTGTGTTCGGGAAGGAAAGATTCTTCTCAGTTCTCATCCACTCGCACAGAAAGGGGAAGAAAATGGAAAAATAACGCAAGCAAGCACTTGATACCTCATGTTAAAAAGAAAATAAAAAGTAACGATGATAAAAATGGAAGGCCAGAAGTCCAGAACACAAAAAGCTTTCGTCTTTTCGGTTGATGGTTAAAAAGCTCCCAACTTTCTCCGAGCCCTGAAAGAATTTTTCCTCTGAATTCACGGTTTCCTGCTCCATCTGTTACTCAGAGAGACTTTGATTTGCTCATTCCGGGCTGGTGGCACTGCCAGTTCTCACGGTTCATAAACTGATTCCTTCTGCAAGAGAGTGAACTCTTCACTTTGCAAAGTGAGTTCTTATTGGGTTCCTTAATTTCCCCCTCTTCACAGCTCCTCAGCTTTTTCTCTATGTTGCTTGAATTGGGTTCTGGCTAGGAAAAGGATTAGAATTTAGAACCCAGTGGTTTTTGTTTGAAAGTTACTTCCTTTGCCATGCCCTGTGGTTTTTTTCATACTGTCTTCTAACTTTGCCTTGTGGTGATGGTTTCATGAAAAATCTCCAATTGGGTCATCCAGAAAGTTGTAGTTCTTGACAAATAGACAAGTGTTTCTAGTCTGTATTGTTCTTATGTGACTTGGTGGTGTCAGTACTTGAATGAATGGTTGGTTCTCCCTCTAAAATGGATCTGTGATTGCAGTTGAACTTGAACACAGCACAAACATCACTTATTTGATTGAGCGATGTTGCTGCGAGTGGGGCGTGCTGGGTATTCGGATATGAGCAATACAAATCCATCCTGGAAGTTCCTCTTTTTGTTTTTCATCTTCACTGTTCTCTTGTGCTTTGGCTCATGAATCATGATGATGAGCTCTGAGTAGTTTAACCAATTTTCGGTTTGGTTATAGCTTTGTTGCACACTCTGAAGCGAAAAGGTACTGGATATGGATGATGATTGTGCCAACTCTACCTATGGGAACTTCCCATCCACCACTAGCACCATGGATTTGGATTTCATGGAGGAACTCTTTGATGAAGGAAGTTGGATGGGGACTCCTGATGGATTCACCTTCCCACAACAGCAGTACCCTCCGACCAACGATCTATATGCCCCGTCGAGATTCTTCCCCTCCCTTGATCCCTTCGCTGCTCAACAAAAAATCCACCAAGAAACTGACTTTCATGACGACTCAACTGCCAAAGGAGCTCAACCTGTTGAAATGGATTCCAAAAAGGGCTACAATGTCGCTTCAATCTCGTATATAGCCGGGTACAAGAGCCGTTCATCGATCAAAGACCGATTGGAGTATGCTATAAAGAAGTTGAAAGAGTACACAGAGCATAGAGATGTCCTTGTGCAGATATGGGTGCCCATATACCGAGGAGGCAAGCATGTCCTTACCACCAAAGACCAGCCTTACTTCCTTACAACCAAGTGCATGAACCTTGCTAGATATAGAGATGTCTCAAGTGAGTATCAGTTTGGAGCTGAGGTGGATTCCAAGGAGTTGGTTGGGCTACCTGGTCGAGTTTTCTTGGGGAAGTTGCCGGAGTGGACACCAGATGTTCGGTATTTCAAGAACGAGGAGTACCCACGAAGAAACTATGCAGCTCAATATAGCATCTGTGGCTCTCTTGCATTTCCTGTTTTCGAACGTAGCAGTGGCAGTTGCTTGGGGGTTGTTGAGGTTATAACAACAACCCGAGATATCAAGTACCGCCCTGAACTAGAGAATGTCTGCAAAGCTCTTGAGGTTGTCTCTTCTGTCTTCCTTTTCGGTCTTCCATTGGCTTTACTCATTAAAAATGTACATCATTTCATTTCTTATGCTATGCTTCATTTTGCAGATAAGAAATGTTCACTTATTATAAATCTTGCAACTTGACTATCGTAAAATGGCCAAAGCGATCTACTTTTAGATAGAAAGATGAAATTTGTTTTAATGAAAAAGTAATGATGAAATACGCTTTTGCCCATTAAATCTTAGATACACCTCACATGGATCTCGATTTCGGATTGTGTTCTTGTTATTTCCATGATCATGTAGCATTCTTGAACTTGAAATTTGCATCTCGTTGCTTCATGAAATAGCTTCTACGTTCTTGTTTATGGTCTTCATGGAAGAACTTCTACCTTTTATGGAGGTCAATTGTCTCTAGAAAGGCATATTAGCATATGAACTTTCTGCATTTTCTTTCCTAATGAGCATGGTTTCGTCTGCAGGCTGTTGATTTAAGCAGTTCAAACGACTTTGTCCCTCCTAATGTAAAGGTAACCACAACTAATAAACTCCATGTTTTAACCATCTTAACCTTGTTTATAACCAACTGATGTCATATCACTTAGCTTTCTTTATACAGGGCTGTAAGGAGTTCTGTCAAGCCGCAGTTCCTGAACTGCAAGACATCTTGGCATCCGTCTGCAACACTCACAAGCTACCTCTAGCTCTAACATGGGCCCCATGTTTTAGGCAGGGCAAAGGTGGATGCCGCCATTTCGACGAGAGCTATGCTCACTACATCTCCTCCGTGGACAAAGCCTGCTCCGTGGCCGACACAGAGCTCCTCGGGTTCCTTGCTGCTTGCTCCGAGCAGTACCTTTTCCTCGGCCAAGGAATCGTTGGCAAAGCATTCACAACGAACAAACAATGCTTCGCAAATGATGTCACGGCATTCAGCAAGTCAACCTATCCCCTTTCTCACCAGGCCATGGTGTTCGGCTTAAACGCTGCTGTGGCAATCCCACTACAGAGTCAAATTGGTGGTCCAGCCGATTTCGTGCTGGAGTTCTTCTTGCCAAAGGATTGCCAAGACAGAAAGAAGCTTCGAGACTTGCTTCCCCTGACTGTTCAGCAGGCTTCTCGTAGCTTACGTGTTGTAATGCAGAAAGAGGCAGAGGAAGAGATGGACCAGCAAGCTTCAGTTCCAGAAGAGTCTTCTTGGATAAGCATATTTATGGAGGCTCAAGGGAAAGGTGACACTTTTTCTTTCTCAAAGGAATGTGCAAAGGAAGAACCTCAAGAGGAGTTCAAGGTAGTGAGATACTGGGAGACCAATCAGAAGGAGATGAACCATAGGCCTGTCTCTATCAAACATCAATCATCGAGCAGTATTAGAAGAACGATCGAGAAGAGACGGACCAAAACCGAGAAGACGGTTAGCTTGGAAGTGCTGAGGCAGTACTTTGCTGGGAGCCTTAAAGATGCTGCTAAGAGTCTTGGTGGTAAGAAGCATATAATGCTGTAGTTAGTTACTAAGTTTTTTTTTCTTTTCTTTTCAGGAATTTAATTTTGACCATAGATTGATTAGGGGTCAATCACATAGATGTCACTAGTCAGTAACTTTTGTCTTTGATTACTCCATTAGTGCACAATTCCCTGCCCCAGTACAAACTATTGCTTGAAACTGCACTTTCTATTAGATCATTTACAACTAAACTAAACCATAAACCTCTTCATTTGCAGTGTGCCCCACTACTCTGAAAAGGATATGCAGGCAATATGGCATCAACCGATGGCCTTCTCGTAAGATCAAGAAGGTTGGCCACACTCTGAAGAAGCTCCAACTTGTAATCGACTCGGTGCAAGGTGCAGAAGGCTCCATTCAAATCGGTTCCTTCTACACTGCTTTCCCCGACTTGACATCTCCGAAGGAAGCCGATAGCAGCATGCTCTACAATGTAACAGCAGCAGGAACCGCTTCGAAATCAACATCCACGTCCAGCAGCCAAAGCTCAGGTTGTAGTTCATGCCAGCAAGATGCATTTTTTCTAACCGAAGACCCAAGCAGTTTGCTCAAGAGAACACACAGCGATGCAGAATTGCTTGTATTGAACCGTCACGAGGAACCAACAAGGCAGCACCACCTTTCCCGATCACAGAGCCACAGGATGCTGGCAGACTGTCCTAAACCCTGTTGCAGGAGGTTGAAAGAAGGGAATGCTTTCCGTGTTAAGGCCTCTTTTGGAGAAGACACGATCCGATTCAGCTTGCCATCCAGCTGGGGGTTCATGGAGTTGCAGCAAGAGCTTCTGTCCCGGTTCAATGTTGATACAACCTGCAGAATCGATCTCAAGTACTTGGACGACGATCACGAGTGGGTGCTTCTCACGTGTGATGCGGATCTCGAGGAGTGCAAAGATGTTTACATGTCAGAACAGCGGCACACTATCAAGCTTTCGGTCCATCGTTCGGTGCTAAGAGCTGGGACAGCAAGTTCAATACAACAATGAACGAGCAGTTTTTCTTCTTCTAGTGATTAGAGATATAGTTTTGGCTACTGTTTCTCTTAGCATGTGTTTGTGTATGCAACAGTTCTACAGATCTACCCATCTTGTGAAAATACAAAGGTGGGAGATCAATTTTACTGGGGGGGAAGGTTTGTAGTTCTGATAAAACTGCCACTGGGATCTTGTTTTATAGATCACTGGCAATAATCTATAGTATGGATATATGACAGTAGAACAACCATTGGTTGTTGCATCATCATATGTGTACCAGGTTTGTATATTAGTAAAAAACTGGTAATCTTTGCAGTAAGAACTCGATCTTGAAGCAAAAGAAAATGAGAAGTGAGAAGCAAGGAAACATGGGCTTAAGAAAGTATGGGAGTCGGTTAAGTTTATAGTAAACCACATGGCTCAGCGGGCCGATGGTTAAAGTGGGCCTCACTTGCCAACTTGAGAATGGTTCAGTTGGGCTAAAGAAAGCCTAAAATCCTAACACGGGCCGACCAAGCCAAACTTTTCTAAACGAGGATCGTTTGGAAGTTGTGATTTCAAATGGTGTATTGATCCAATTAATGTATTTGTGAGATTAAGTCGTTTTTTTGGTTTATATAGAACTAGAATACATGCATTTACTTTTTGGAGGCTCCACCACAATCACTCAATATTGAGGGATTTACAATCTCTACTTTTTGTTGAGATTATTCACAATCACTCAATACTAACTTTTTTACCTTTGGAACAAAAACACAATCTAAACCTCCAAACAAGATATTTACCTAATACATCAATTGACTCAATCCATCAAATGATAATACACTAATTGTCCCAATACATCAATTTGAAGAATCACAACTTCCAAACAACCCCGGGAAGCAATGTGTGTATTGTAGAATCCATGTAATTGTAAATTTCATCAACAAACCTAAAATACTTGTTGGTTAAGGGTCTCTCTTTACCAAAAGGGTTGGTTAGGAGAAATGGTTAAATACTTATATAACAAACATTAATCGGATTGTGAAGTCTGTATATATTCGTCATGCTAAGCATATTCTTGTCAACTATTTATGGAGTCCTATCTTTCATATCTAAGCCACAATGTGGTAGTGAGAACAACATTATCTTGCTCACCTAAACGTCGTATTTCAGAGATTTTTGTTGTCTTCTATTTTAGAATTTTTGTATGGTTCTGCTTACATTTTCCCAAGTAGTGAGATTCGATATAAAATGTCTACATATTAAGATCCTTTTTGTAACGTATCTCTAGACACAAATTCAACAATTCAGGAAACACATGCCACCACCCACTCTCGGTCCTTTTTCTCAACTTTGTGAGCCAATAGACAACGAGGAAAAAAAAACCCCGAGTAGACATGGAAAAACTCCTAAACATTCCTTCAATTTTTTCTTATAAAAAATAAGTTTTATACGAATTAACTTGTTTCTAATTAGACCAATCAATCGTTTGCGACCTTAGATACGATTTAGATTTCAAATCTTTTCACCTTTTGTAGAGGTTGGGGAGGGGGGTCCTACCTCTTTTTTCTTGGACTAATTAAGCTTGTTTAGTGTGTGATTAGTAGGTGCATTTATTGGTGGTCATTTCAGAAAATTGTCAGGTTATATATGTCAATGGGGTGAGTAAAATAGTTTGAAAAAATGAGTAAAACAAATGCATTTCATTTTTCAAATTCGAACATTTTCCCTCAGAAACAGAAATTTTGTACGTTTGATAGCACTAGCATAACAAACGGATCTTTGTGTCAATATCCAGCTCCCTTTAATCTTCACTACCCCTTGCTTTCACCTTTTGTATCGTCGAGTAAATACGATGATATGAATATTTAATAAATATATAAAAATGAATTACTAGAATTAACGACTTTGTTGTTAGATTTTGTATTTGACACGTATCCATGATTGATAAGCATCACACATCTTTGCAAGGAGGAGTTAGAATCTTAATTTCCTCCTCATGAGGTTTGTTGCAAAACTTTCTGAATTTAAGAATGCCCAAGCTAGTTGCGATGAGGAGTTAGCTAGAATATTAATTTCCTCCTCGTGAGGTTTGTTGCAAAACGTTCTGAATTTGAGAATGCTCAAACTAGCTTGTAGGTAGTTGTGTTTCAAGTCAGTTTACGGTTTTTTCTTAGTCTCTCTCATGCTAATGCACCAAATCAAGAGTAACTAACGACCACGATTTAGGAATATCGAAAAGTCCTCTATACATTAACCTAATGAATGTCAGGATACTTATAATAGTTTGGCTACTAGGGTTAGTTTTGCCATGTTCTCTCTTTGGCCAGATGTATAATATGGATATAAGAACATACATGCGTGCCTTCTACAACAAAGTTTGAGATATGTCATTACTGTATATTCACATGTCTATCATATGGAAAGGGACCAGCCATTTGTTAATTTCATCTCATATATAGTCCCCAATTATTGGAAAATAACATCAACCGCGAACGCTTTCGATACCATATTTCACGATATTGGATTAGATCAACTCCCAATTGATTGAAATACACGATAGAGGTATACTGAGCGATAATGCTACATATTTTACCAACTTATTGTTATTGAACTGGACCAACTACCAAGATATTTAAATTAATATACAAATTATCCATTCATTTTGATTGATAAATTTGTTCCTATGATGGTCATTGATATATTCCACACAATTGTTTTGTTCATTGTTATACAACTAAAGGTTAATTGAGATGGTTTTGATACAAATATAACTATCAAAATGACGATTATGATCATATTGCTATGCAACCAACATTAAGGGTGTAAATGCTCTTAGAACAAATTCAATAAAATAAAACAAAAGGCTAGGGCATCCTTGTTCTTTATGTATGACCTGACAATCAAAATTGGTTTGCGTGTATAGGGTAATACCCTATAGCTTTGACAAAAAAGGAAGAAAAGTTACCAACTAATTATCCATCATCTTAATTAGTTTAATCAAAGTTTAGAGGAGAAAAATGGATTAGTTAAATATCAAACAAACTTAGAGAAGCTTAAGTGTGTGGGAAATGAGGATTAAGGACAAAAAGAGGGCATCACGTTGGGGGCCAAAGGCATGGAAGAAAGATTAATTAAAGCTAACTAAGTGGTCCAACAAAATTAAATAATTAAAAGCATGCAAATCCCAAATGATCACTAACTAATAATCTCACTCTTGTTATTAAAAAAAAAAACTCACTCCTACACATGGCAACCATATACTTAATGCATAGTCCGTTATAATTAACACTTTTAGGTGGTAATACTATGGCTAAGCCTCCATTACTAGCTAGTTAGCTTCCATTTAGCTACATAACTCTTGGATGTAAAGGCAGAGATTCGCGTTTGATTTCATGAAATTATTCTAAAACTACTTAATTTTTCAAACTAACAAAATTCCACTCTTAATGTTTATCCCTTCAAATAACCATTCACAATTTCATTTTGCTCAATTTGAAGGTTGATCAACTGTTGCATTGCTAAAAAGTTTATATCAACATGTGTATTGACTAAATGAAGCAACAAACTAAACATAGTTACATAAACAAATACATTGATGGAAACCAATTTTCCCCTGTTATCATAGAAAGTTTAATGTTTTGCTCTAATAATATGCACCTCTTACCCATTGTGATAAACTATACTATATTACTGTAGAAATTAGTGAGTAGAATTAGGTTATATAAGTGATTGTGGTTGTGATGGTAAATAGTTGGCAATTAACATTAAAATTTGAGGGTTCACATTTCATTATTGGTATATTTATACTACTATGTTTTGTGTATTCTCCAAATCAAAAGGGTTTCATGGAACCCCCTTTCATAACTCTAGCTCCGCCCCTGCTACACGATAAACATGAAATAATACTTGCTAACGAAGTTGTGTCTTGGATATATATTAGATCTTGGTATGAATTGAGTATTTTTCGTCTTCTTCATATATGACCAAATTAACTAAACCAATTAACCCGAATGTTACTATATGATTTTATCGCCTCTTTTAATATTTGAGATCGTTAATTACTAGTATTTCAACATAAGATAATATACTCTGATACCATGTCACCCGTCAGTCCTAATAATTCGAGTTATTGCGATAGATCCAATAGTGAATCTTGTACCATTAGTTCCTTGCAAAGTTTCCTCCTTTTGAATCTCCACATGTACCTTCACCCCCAAATTCCATTTCCACTTCTTCCCCATGCTGTCGTTAAGGTTAATTACATAAATCAAAGATGCATTATATTAATTAACGCAGTGGCGGGCACCTGGAAAGTAATTAACAGGCTTGCTTATGTACTAATTACGAATAAACATTATAATGTAATTAGCTGGAGGTTCTTAATATGGGATCTGTGATCTCACTAATACCCAACTAATCACCAATGAACTGCTAATCATTCTTCCACTAGTCCAGCCATTAATTGACACGAATCGAATCTGTGGAGCTCTGGTGTAAATCCTGACAAATCCGTGGAAATGAGTTGGTAATAATGTGGAGAGAATCGATCCCTTTATGTTTTTGTTAATCGTCACCTTTTTAATTAATCGTCACCTTTTTAATATTTAAATGAGGGAAAGTGTGTTACAGGTTGATGTATGGAATCGAATCTTACTACCAAAAAAAAGAAGATTTTCTGGTTCAGAATTAAGGGGCGTTTAAGGGTTCAATGTTCTCATTAGTTGGAAATAAATAGAGGTTTAATCAAGTGAAAGTATGGCGGCCGGTTTGGTTTGAGGGAACTAGATAGGTTTCATGATTAAGCATGAGATGGATGGTTATAGTTTCCTGATGGCCTTGGGAGTTTTAGGACATTGTTTAGGTTGATGATGGCGTTGATAAGATTTGAATTAGATTATCTCTCGTTGTTATCTGGAAGTTATGGGAATTCGTTGTATAGTGAAAATGATGTGGTTTTTGTAGCTTTATTATTTACAAGATTGGATTAGGGTTAGGTCGTATGCACTTTGAAAAATTACTATAAATACTTTTCATGTTTCTCTGTAATCTGTATCTCCTCAATTATAGTGAAATTGTCTCTCTCATGCCCATTAATTAGCTAACACACATTGTGTTAGTTAACCACGTGAATTATTTGTGTGTTCTTTACTTTCTTGCATTGTCCATTACCCAATCCGTTTTAACGATTGGTTTGTTGAAATGAGCATATTGCTAACCAAAATTTTTATATGGGAGGATTCATCGAACGTCAGAATGTGAGGCTAGGGTTATGAGAAAACGGAAGAATTAGAGCTTGTTCTAAATGGAAATTCTGAAAATGAGAAATCGAG